GCATAGTAAACTGTCGCAGGATGTCAAAGTCCTCGTCCAAAGAAATGACATGAGTCTTCAAAATTCCCTTTAGGCAGTTCGCTTCTGCGGACAGGTAGCAGATAAGAAACTCGCAAAGGTGACTAGATACTGTTGTCACCTATAGGGAAACTCCCTGGTGAATTCAGTTTGAATCAAAACTATGCCCCTATTTCCCAACTGAACCAGCCTGAGGCCCCAACACTGCCAGTGCCCGCCAGGCCATTGCCGACCGCAAAAAGATGAAACAGATCCTACAGCACCACTGCTAACGAAAGTAAAATTAGACGAGACCCTTACAGGAAATTTATGCTTAACCTAAACTGTACCCAAATTAGAAATAGTACCAGGATATACCTGCACTATCGTATTCGTATTAGTGGTATCATTGAAATTAAACGCACAGATCTCATAACACTACTAATTCCTATGTACTCGTCTCGGATATATACATCGCACCATCATCTGCATCCATCCACGCGCCTAGCCTACTTGATTACCATTGCAAATGATTCTAGTCGAGTAGTCATCAATACACATTCTCCACATGCAAAAACACCCCCGGCAACCCAGACCCTTTACAAACAGCCAGATGATCCGACACTCGGACCACCGCCTGTCGCACAGAAACGGTTAGCCCAATGGGTCCGCAAACAGCAACAGCTATTTCTTCCTTCGCCTGCAAGACTGCGTCCTCAATGTAACCGTCAAACGAAGGTCTTCCGTGCTGGAAGGAGACGCTGGGCGGTCCAGAGGCTTCGAGGACCGAATCGGGCTCCGTGCAAGGAGAAGAAGGGGTTATTTGCTCGATTTTATCGACGTCGTCGGTGTCGTCGGCATAATTGTTGTTGGAAGTGCAGAGGCAGGGATTTGTGCAGGCACAGGTTTGTTTTTCATCATTGTTCTTGATGTCTGGGAGGCAAACAGAGTCCTGGGTGACGAATATCTTGACGCGGATTTGAATGTTTGTGTTCTGCAGCTTCTGCATCGCGGCTTCAAGCTCGGCCAAGGCCCATGACGCTTGGCGGCTTTCCTTGATTACCCAGATGAAGAGGACTTGGCGGAGAGGCAACGACCCGTCTGTGGAACGGTGTGCGACGTGGAGGAGTTGGGATAGAGTGAATGTCACACCTGTGCCACCTGCGAGGAACAAGACGGAATCGAAAGATGTGAAGTCTGGAGAGGAGCTTGCGTAGGGGCCGTCGATTAGGGCCGTGTATGAGCGCTTTGTTTGTGTGGATTCGGCATCTTTGGGGCCGTTGGTGATGGCCTCTGCTGTGTTGATCAACTTTCTTGTGAAGCCCTTGTGGGCTTTTAGGATGAGGACGAGTTCGCCATCGTGTGATGATGGTATGGATGAGATGGTTGCTGGGTGTGAGAGCTGGAACCCTAGTCGCGGGAGTGATAGAAGGATATGTGATCCGGGCTTCCAATTACGGATCTTCCGAGCTGTGATTCGGACCTTGGTCGCCCCGCCTTCTAGGGGTTCTACTGTGGCTCGTGCGGGACGGGAGTTGATATAGCTGTAGTAGACGAATCGCAGGATCAAACCCGCGACGTAAATACCGGCGGTGACGTAGATGTACCGTTGAGCGTTGGGGGCTGGACCTGTGTCCAGATGATAGGAGAGCGCGATGATGAAACCGAAGAACGTGATGATGTGTTGTACGACGAAGAACTCGTAGCTCATGTGTCGGAAGGGAGCTAATGTTGTGAGGTTCATCCATAGGATAAAAGCGTAGGCAGCGATGCCCTTTGTGGGACAGTCATCTGTGTCCCACTCCAGTTTACTTATATGGTAGAGATCCCACCCATGGTTTTGGAAGGCGAAATGGAAAGTCGAAAGCAGCAAGAGCCCTCGAGATACCCAGCGATGGTAGATATTCAGTCGAACATAGGGAATGCCGCAGAGCATACCGATCAAATTTCTTTTGCCGGCAAGGGCTACAAGGAGGGGAATCTGAGCGGTTGCAAGCCATCCAGCGCGGACTCCGAGAAACTGCCAGTATCCAGCTCCTGCAACATGGTTGTTGATGAACTCCAAAATAATAATGAAGACGAAGTATGCGAGGATGATATATATTGGTCCGAATGGCGGGAGCATGAACCAAGGTGACAGTCCACGGGGGGTCCACTGGAGATAAGATGGCTCTCGAGCCAGCGCTGTAATGGTTGAGAGAGTGGACAGGGCGATCTTGGCAAGGTAAGAATTTTGAGTTATACTTGGATGGAACCTTTCCGCGACACCGACTCACTTATTAGCATGATATCCGAGACAAGTCACTGAAGAACCCAATATGCTGACTCACCTCAAGCGTCGAACAAGTGAGTACACTCTGTTGATGACTGCGACCACAACCAGCAGAACAATAATCCCATACCAGAAATACTCTGCATAGCGTGCTCCTAGGATAGGAAGATACTCCAGATGCTTGAGCTCATGCAGAAATGTCTCGACCTGAGTGATATTGGCGAAATCAACGTCGGAGGCATGCAAGACGCCATAGTACGTCCCCCCGCTCATACCCTCCATCTGCATTTTGGCAGACGAGTCACCGAGGCGGTGATAAAAATCAATTGACAATCTTTGGTGCAGAGGTAGTTGCCCGACCACGTTCTTACTTATAGGGCAGTGGGTTCTACTGGATGATGGATCATATTCCCGCCCCACCTTCGGAGCTTAGCCTTTCTAGCGCCGTTTACGCCTTGTCGATATCGTAATAATCTGCTCACAGCACAGATTTCCTCCATCCTATGCGATTGGTCTACAAAGCACATTCTGACGGGGATACAGTCCTGTCGCGGTGGTATGACCAAGCTGTATATTATACGCTTTCTGATTTGTTCAAAACATGCAAGACTGTCAAGTTGATGTACTTTCCGGGAAAGATAAGAATGTTTAATCAAGCAAGTGAAGTCCGTGCAAAGAAGCACGCGGAAGCCCGCATACATCAATCGCTGCTGGGTGTTCCATGAAAAGGATCCTTCAGTCACATGAAATAAGCGGTATGTGGTGGTTTCCAGTGATCGGGGTATTCATTTCTCCCCTTTTCCACAAAGAGGGTCCGGCTGTATGTGAATAGCCGGAGAAACCTCGTCCTTTACTAAGGATACCAGCCTAGCAAATGAAGATGCAGCAAGGTGGTCTGCTCCCTCGAAGAAACGAAAGTATAGCGCAGTATGCTGCATAAGTAGCCCGGCCTCCGGCTCCAAATCAAGGCGAAACTGCCCATTTATTGTGGGGTCGTTATCCGACAGATACAGCCGAAGAAGAGATCATCGGAGAAGGTACGCCTCGAGTCTGTTTCTTTTAACGGTTCAAGAGAAGTACTATTCAGAGAGGGCATGCAAAAGCTGCGCCGTTTGACTAATTCCGCAGCATTTAAGTGTGTTTCAGCGATGAGATTGAATTCAATGCTGGTTATCCTGAGTGTCTTGAGTGAGGCAGGAAAATGGTGAATGAAGAATTTCGAATGACCCTCATATGTGCATTGATCTGGAAGCCCTCTAGGATTTAGAAACGGTATAGTGAGATGCTCCAGAGCACACAAATCCTTGAGTGACGACAATCGAAAAATTGCTCATCTTGAGAAGATGCAAATCTGGCTCTCTCTCTAAGGCCTTGCTGTAATTTTTCATCTAGTTGAACAGAAAGAGGCTTTAGGGTGTGCTTAACCATCAGTAGCCCTTGGCGTGAATAGCCGGTGACTGTTACCCCACATGACTTATCACGAGATTAAGACGCTCGAGATTGATAGATTTTTTGAACCATTGGACAATCTCGTTGCAATCTTTCGACGGCCAAATAGTAACCTCTTTGACTGGACAATCTGTAATCATGAGCTCGTTGTGACGCAGTCACTTGTAAGGTCTTTTTCATAATCCTAATCATCAAACTGTCCATACACACTGACATGGTTGAGATCTGGTATAGAGAGCGGATATAGTATATGCTGTGAAGGAAGCATTGTTCGTCCGAAGAAATGCCTGCTGCTTTGGAAGAGGAAGATCACTTTGAGACGTTGAAATGGAGCAGTGTGAACTGGTAGTTGTGGACAAAAAGCTGCTGATCTCCATATTTGTGCTAGGTACGTCTCATTATGCTATGCTAATGAAATCTGCAGCCATCCTCCTTAATCGTGACCAAATTCAAGACAGTAAAATGAGGTTGTAAGACGGTGAATCCCCTAGTCAAGGCGAGTTCCATTTACAGCTTGATGCAGGAGCCATTTCCCTGGTCGCAAAGCTTCCTGTTACGAATGACTTGTCATCATATTCTCGACTGGCTCGGATTGTTCAGTTGGCGCAGCTCATACCTGATGGCTTGCAGGCATTGTCGGGCTGAGAATCATACGGAGGGTTTACTGAATAGTGATGTTATAGCGCGCTAGAATTATACACATGACATTCGACAGGAATTTACCGTGTCTGGTGGCTTTTCGGTTATGCTGGTTTACAACCAGCACGCCAACCGCGGAGTCCTACGGCTTGAATGTGAAGAATTTGATCATAAATACACCAGCTCTACGGATTATCGCACGCAGTGGCAAGCTGGCCAGCTCGCCAACTATCCGAAAATAGAATATTGGGGTTCTACTCTAGTGAAGCTGCACCTTACGTTGGTGATGAATGGCCGAGCTTCATCCGGGCCGATAGCCAAGAGCTACAGTTTAGTTCGCTGACAAGTTATATGTAAGGAGGGTTTATTTGTCTTGGCTTAGTAGCTGATGGCGAGATTGTAGCCTCTTGAAGTTGTAAGGGGCAAGAGTAGATTCATTGTACCCCTTGCACACGATCTCGAAAGCAGTGACAACGTCCCTGTGGTACTCGGGATCTTTCTCCGCTACTGAACTGCCGGATTTGAGATCGAAAGATCAAGAGAGAATTTATTGTCTCAAGTGCGAAGAACACACATAAATTCTATTAACAGCATGCACAGTCGCCTATTAGCCAATGGCCAGGAACGTTCCTAGTAGATGGGGAAGGCGGGCACTGCTAGATATGTTTGTGGAGTGGTCAAATACATGACGAGGCGTGTACAGCGTAAGCAAGGCTAGTTTGGCTTATGAAGGTTCGAAGAATCCGAATCCAAGCCAAGATGGAACTTGAGGCATTCATGTACTGCATACAACCAGCAGGTACACTCACGTGACCGACACGTCCATAACTCGGGCCCTGCCATCCAGGGTCTACGTGTTTCCCTCCAAGGTTGCGGGTCGGCATGTGTTCTGCGGCATGCTGTCTCTCATCCGGTGCCTTCCAAGCCTCCAGCCGAGCTGCCTGCAATGATCAGCAGGCCACCAGGGTAGTCTATACGTGTGACACCGCGGATTGCTAACATGACTGCTTGTATCGCTCCTCCATACCTGCACACCAGGTACCGTTTCCTGACAGAGAGTGAACTTGACCTTTCTACTTACCGAGCTAACCCACATCTTGCATCGCAATGCAGCATGGCGGATTCGCCTGCCCGTCGGAAAGGGGTAAGGTCCACATTGAACCTTCTTCTCCGAGTGGATCTCGGCCAAGCGAAAAGGAGGAAAGGCTAAGGAAGCGTAAAAAGCAAAACATGTGTTCCGATCACATAATTTGTCAAACAGGAAATGTTGTCTTGTGCCATACGCAGTACCCTCCATTCCCTGAATTGGACCCAATGCCCAAGTATGCGGATACTATGGCGGCGGGTATTGACCGGGCCTGTCATGCCTCGGCCCTGTCCAGGTATGCAGGTGCAGGCTGGGAAAGTCTTCGAGCATAGAACCATGAATGGTTTGATTTAAGTCCGGTCTTCGCCTCTTGCCTTCATAGTCCTGAATCAGGCTACCGACCTGGGCCATTCGTTCTTCCTCTCGCTCAGGTCCTGTCAGACTGTTCCGGTTCTAACGAGACAGTATACGGCCTGTTGGTTGGATTGAATGGATTTTCTTCCTGTCGACGCATTGATTTCTGTTGTGTAATTCATACACCGCCATCAATAGGTCTCAATCATGGGTTCCTTTACTGTCTCTTTTCTTGTAACTATATTATGCATCTTCTCACTTCAAGTATGGGCAGTGCCCCATGGAGGATGGAGCAATAGCTCAGCGTCGCGTGTAATGTCGGCGTTACAATACGTTCCTCCGATCACTTACCAACCGAAGCCCTCGTGAGTCTTATAGCTTTACTTTGTCCATTCACATGTCTCGAGATGCTGACTGAAAAAGCGGGATTCCTTATACGATAAGAAACCAGTCTGCCAAACCGTGGCTTTATCGAACAACGGCCCCCGTGACTCATTCAACACTTGCGCAGGACTCTCTTTGCGCCTCATCCAGCAACACGTCTGGATACTGGTATGAACAGATTGGTCATAATGGACAGTCTTCCTTCATGGATTCGAAGTACAAGGCCAACTATACTGTCTTCCGCAACGTCGTCAAGGATTTTGGCGCGGACAATACTGGAAAGAAGGACGCAGCAGCAGCTATTTCTGCTGCAATCAAAGGTACGGTCAAGCTTAGTACCCATACCAAGCATTTTCTAAGACTGAACATCATACAGCTGGACCAACAAATGGACCTGACCGCAGTTCTTCTTCCATGGGTACAACTGGGCAACCAGCTGTCATCTATTTGCCAGCAGGAACGTATCTCATGAAGTCATCTCTGCAGCTGTATGTTGGGACTGTCATAATCGGTGACCCTACGAACCCTCCAGTCCTGAAGGCGTCATCTGATTTCAAGGATGACCACATCATCTACGGCAAGGATCCCAACTTTGGGGGTACGATCAATTTCTACATTGGAATAAAGAACATTATCATCGACTCAACCGGCATTGGGACTGATAAGTCGATCACTCTTCTTGATTGGACAGTTAGCCAGGCAACTCAGCTCACAAATGTCGGCTTCAATATGCCTACAAATACCGCCAAACACGTCGGCCTAACTACACAATACGACTACAACAGTAACTTGATATTGGTAATTATGCCCTCGACGAGATGGTCTGGCCTAGCACTGACAGCTTACAGAACGACCTTTGGTTCAAAGGTGGCGCAACCGGCATGAAGTTGAGTGGCCAACAATGGGTGTTCAAGAACATATCATTCAGTGGCACCACTACTGGAGTTGAGGCTGGAGGGACCGATATTGTATTTCTGGGCTGTCGCTTCGAGCAGGGTACACTGGGAATTGACGCCCAGGGTACATCCGGATCTCTAACCGTCGTCGATACTACTGGTGTTGGCATGGGTACTCTTATTTCATCGTCTAGTTCGAGCACTGCAGGAAATTCCATCGTCCTAGACAACGTTCAGAATTCAGGCGCCACAGTGAAGATAGGAGGACAAACCACGTTGAGCGGGAATGTGGCCAACACTTGGGTACATGGGCATCTGGTAAGTTGATAATATGCGCTCCTAAGCAAGGAAAGCATGATGATCTGACTGAACTATTAGTATACTTCCAAAAATGCCAAGTTCCAGTCGCAGCAGGGTCAGACAGTCACGACTTCTCGGTCCTCATCTCTTTTGTCAGGGAAAAACTATTTTACCATGGCGCCCCCGACATATCAAGAGTATGGCACCGGGCAGGTATTGAACATCAAAAATGTTCCAGGTATCCCGGTTTATGGGGACGGTGAGACGGATGACACTCATAACATTAACCTTATTTTGTCCCGCTACAAGTCATCCTGCTCGCTCATGTACTTCCCCGCCGGTACATACATTGTTACGGATACCATTTTCGTGCCCGCTGGTACCCGGATCATTGGTGATGCTTTTGCCTCGACGATTAGTGCCGTCGGAAGCAACTTTGAGGATGAGTCGGCTCCTCGCGCCATGTTCAGGGTAGGATACCCGGGCGATGTGGGCGTCGCGCAAGTCAGCGACATGGTGTTCACTGTGGCAGATGTTCTTCCGGGCTGCAAATTGGTAAGACATGATCTCTTTCTTACGTCTGTGTTCGCTGGTCGCTAATATGTTTTTCTGCTCTAGGTTGAGATCAACATTGCTGCCAGGTCGCCCGGGGACGTTGGCTTCTGGAACACGCACTTCCGCATTGGTGGAGCAGCGGGTAGCCAAGTGGAGAGTAAATGTACGAGCGATCCTAACAACTGCAAGGCAGCCTGGGGGCTCCTCCACCTAACCACTACATCATCTGCCTACATTGAGAACATGTGGGGATGGACAGCGGATCACGATCTTGATGGGGACAACCCGCAAACCATCTCCACCGGCCGTGGGCTACTAGTGGAAGGTACAGCCGCAACCTGGCTCATTGGCACAGGATCCGAGCACAATACACTCTATCAGTACAACTTTCAGTATGCCCGGAACGTCTTCACTGCAATGCAGCAGAGTGAAACACCATACTGGCAGGGAGCTGGGAGCCGCGCTCTCAACCCAGCCCCATGGACGTATCTCGACAGCAGTGATCCAGACTATAGCAACTGCGCTGCCAGTGATAGCAAATGCCGCATGGCATTGTTCGAACGCATTTATGGCTCGTCCGACCTCTTCTTGTACGGTGGTTGCAACTGGGTCTTTTTCAACAACAATGGTGATTGCAGCGGTGACTGCCAGACCAATGCGATCGATATAGCCAACTCAACCTCCATATACCTGTATGGAACAAACACAAAGAGCACGACTAATATGGTTCTTGAAGGAACCAAGGTCATTGCTACGCAGAGTGATAATGCTGGCGGTTGGGGAGGAGTCATTGCCGGATATTTGTATGATTCATAACCGGCAATGACTGGGGTACATATGAGTATTATTCCTATCCATAGTACTAATTTTCATTTCCCACTATAGACTGGACTATATGATAGTTGATAATATAATTGGCGCAAATCGGTCACATTTTCGCTAGGTTTTGATGCGTGGACAGTTTAATACTAGTCAGTCATAGTGACTGTGTAGGTTGTGTCGACCTGAATATATATCTTGTTAATCTCTGTGGTCCGGAGTCCACATGCAATCCTGATGTTAGCGGTGATCAACAGCAATCCAATCACTCATGAGTTATTTAAACAAATAAACGACTGGTTCCCCCCGGAACAACAAACTTTTCAATATCACAATGTGAAGTGATGGGAACCGTGGGTGGGAAACAAAGGGTCTGAGTGGATCGGGCCGTAACCTTGGATCGGGCGGTGGCTCTCGCTCAAGGCGATCCATCCATCAAGGGCCAACTCAACCCAACTCAACCCCCGTCACACATCCTTAGCCTCCCTGACAGTTTGAACATCATGTCTCGTCGACAATATTATCCAATCACTGATGACCATGTCGATGATCCCAAGGGCTAAACAGGCACTAATGCCCTGCGCTGTCCGATCGGCCCTTTGCTCCTCGGGCTTGCGGTGGCTGGGCCCGAGGAGGCTGGGAGACATCACCGGCCGTATAACCAACCACCCCAATCGTGATACCAGCCCAATTCAACAGCGTCCCTTACCTTTTTGTTTGCTGCACTTGCCTCTTATTACCTCGTGGGCAGGTTCAGGGTCTGCATCTGAGGGAATGTTCATCGGACACATCCACAATCCGCACTGCAAGTGAGCTGTTCACCGCATACATTCCTCGGTTGATTTTCGGCCGCCATGCTCGCTCCGGGCTCTGGGAATGTGAGTCTCAGAACTGTCAGTTGTAAGTTGACTCTGCATAACCTTGGCACCCAGCCAAGGAAAAGCATGATGCGTCTTCGAATTCAGGCTGACCGATGACTGATCCCCTCACAGCTAATCGACCACAATTAATGCACACCCAGTCTCAACAGTCTATCGCCGCCTCCGACGACTACTACTCTTTCTCAAGTCCATCCTCAAGTGCAAGATCCCGAGCCAGTGGCAGTCGACTCACCGTGGCGCGGTATGCGACACCGAACTCTCATCCTCCGTCCCGAACATCGTCTCCTAGCATCTCTCGGACGCATCTAGCCTCGCAGCCGGCTGGTGCACGATCGGAACATTCCTTAAACGTTCCGAGTGAGAACAGGAATTTTGTTACACCCCCTTCTCAGACAATACGTGCAGTCGAAGAGGAAGATCCTGAGCCCAGCCCCATGTCAGATACCACGAGTCGCCGGGAACTCAGTGACAGCTATGCTGGGCGGCCGCCTACTCCTGGGGTGGATGACTCGCCATACATTCATTTTGCCATCAGCCAGCTTACGCGTGATGAGGAAGTTGCTGGGCCCAGACGGCGAAGCTCGCTCGCCAGTAATGACAGTCCTCTCGAGCCACTGCTTTGGGATGAAGGATTGGGCTGCTTCATTCGCTCGCCTGGACAACCGGCAACCCCGCCAGCACGGCAACCGCAACAATCATCCGACTCTATCGGGAGGGCGCCCCAAAACTCGGTAGATCCAGAATCGTTCGTCGCGGTGGAACCTCCGCATGACAGCCTGCTGTACCCACCGTTGGACTATGTGCCTATAGTATTACGGTCATGGGCTCTGGCTGCCATAATTATCTGTTGCCTGCTCATGATTGCTGGACTGAGCTTCTGCAATGTATGGTCGCGGCGGCATGACGGGCTTTGGGACTATACGGGACTAGGGGGATCCCACTACTTTGTGATGCAATTCCTACCGCAAATCTTGGGCATGGTCATTACTATCTGGACCTTCGTGATCCAAGCGGCAGTGTATAGAATAATGCCGTTTGCCATCATGGCTTCAGAGCGGCCGCTCGGCCACGTCCTTCAGAGCCTGCCTATCCTATCACGGAACTTCCTGATACCGGACTTCTCCTACTTTCGGCATGGCGAGGGCATAGTCGGTTTCTCTTTGTTCACCATGTGGTTGTCAAACCTGATCACACTACCACTGCTAAGTTGCCTCTTCCAGGCTAAGTGGTACTTGATCGATGGACAAGGGACGTGGCGGTGGGCCTCGGTTTCGGCGGTTGGGTGGACCCTGGTGGCCATCTATGCGTTGTTGACCATTGGCCTGCTCCTGCTCATGTTTCGTTTTGTACGCACATGGTCGGGGTTGATGTGGGACCCTGTGAGTCTCGCCGACCTGATTTCAATCATCCAGCGATCGAACATCTTGCACGACTTTGAACAATCGGAGACTCTGCCGAATGTCGGCGAATCGCTCGATCCGCGATTCCTCCGATTGGGCTACTGGAAACTATCAAACCGTGCGGATATATTCTATGGAATTGGCGAGGTGGATGCACCGGTTCGGACGCCGTCATTACACCGAAAGGAGAAGAACCTTCAGATGCAGTCACATGGCCTGTCAAGGGTATCATTCGACATTGAGCAGCATGGTCTCGCAGAGAAGGAAGAGTACTATCAGCATCTATACTCACCCGCTATCCGCTATCGTTGGATCCCATGGTTTCTTCGCGACGGCTTTGTCGTTCTATGGACGGTAATCATTTGCGCCTTGTTTATTGCATTCGTGTTGGTCAGCTTCATCCACGGTGCGATCAAAGACGGATTCCCCCCGCGTTTGCCAACACTGCCATCTACTGGTGCATTTTCCTCTTCCAACTTTTGCTATAGCTTCATTCCTGCTTTCATTGGGAATGTCCTCTTCCTAGCATGGCAGCCGATCGACGTCTATTTCCGTGCGTTGCAGCCTTTTGCAGCTCTAGCTTCCCCGACCGGTGCTCGAGCAGAGCAGAGCCTTTTGTTGTCATACCCGTCCTGCTTTCCCTTCCAGGTGACGCTAGTGGCGGTTTTGAACAAGCATTACAAAGTGGCCTGGGTTTCATTCATGAGTACGGTGTCTGCGGCGATTCCTATCCTGGCCGGAGGGATGTTCATTGCCTTGTACCATCCGTCTGACGGGACGATCCTGATCTCTGCTCTGATGCCTGCGTTCTATGCTATTGTGGCCTTCTGTGCACTATACATGGTGTCTTTCCTGTGCATTTGGCCCCGTCGCTGCCGCCGCCTGCCACATGACATTAGCACTTTGGCTGATCAGATGAGCTTCCTATACCAAAGCCCACTGCTCGCCGATAAAATCCTGCGCGAGCCTCGGAGCAAGGCGGATCTGGTCACTCGATTGGTCGTCGCGCCTCCTGGAGATCGGGAGCATTCTATGTACGGCTTTGGCATCTATGTTGGTCGAGATGGCAAGGAGCATCTGGGAATTGATCGTTTCGACCGTCCTGGCCGGGCGGATATGTTGATTACTACCGGATATTTACGATAGGATGCAGCTTGAGCATCCCAAAAAAAAGTCCTTGTACGATGACTGGGTGGTTGTCTGCTGCTTGGATTGCATATATGCGGTTTTAGCCGCAGAGCTTGATATTTTGCGATGAATTATGCGTTATGAACAGCGATGAAAATTACGACAGAGCTGTATACCCTTCAACTTTCGCATCAGATGACGCCTATTAATGATAATGTGGTATAGCGATGGACTTATGATTTGATGATGTTTCATGATTGATGTTGTCTCTTTTTGTTCGTTCGGGACTTGTGAACTTTACGATGGAATTTATGTACTTGATATCCTCAACAGCTTTGGCGGGCGATGTGCCTGTTTACATGATTGAAATGACTTTCACATTAACATGACTTTTAACTTCTATATGCTTGTGTCTGATTGTGTAGCCTTCAATGTATCACTATGCTAACCTCTAAGAATCTTATCGTATTGATAAGCTAAGCTGACTCATGCGCCACGTGAGCGACGATAAGGCGATCGGTTGACACCTGCCAGGCCTGATTTCCTGGCGGCTTTGGTCCCGCAACGCTGGATCTGTGCGACAACTAATGAAGATACGAGCCTGGCAGCTAAATATTCCAGTGGATCGGCCATTGAACTATGGGCTTGCTAGGAACCGTTCCAGAAGTGCTAGAACTTGTGCTTGTGTGGAACCACTATTCGGATTCGACTGCATACACCAACGATTAGTACGAGACCAATCTTGCCGCCTGATCGGAAAAGCAATATTCGTCATGGTATACGGCGGGAAGCCAAGTACTGGGTGCCAGAACTGTCGCAAACGACGCATCAAGGTATGCTGCATCGGCGAATCGAATAGCGAAATGCTAATAGTGTAGTGCGATGAAACTCGTCCGCACTGCCGAGCATGTGTTCGGACAGGCCGGACATGTCCTGGCTATCCCGACCCTTTTGATGTCATGTTAAGAGACCAAGTAGCGTTCCACCGCAAGAAGCGACACACATCTAGTAAGGTCTCCACTCCGAAGATCGAAGTGGAGTCAATTCGATCTTCACCTGCTCCGGTAGTATCCAACGATGCTTTGATTAGCACCAGGCCTAGCGCAGATCTCTCGCAGACGGGATCGGTACTGCGCACTGCGCAGCAAGAGGTCCCAAGAGGGTTGGCTCTACCAACTGACGATACTGTGACTGCGATGTTCTTCAATTCGTACATCTACTCGCCTAGAGATCCGCTGATTTTGCGGGGTTTCATGGATATCTTGCCTGATGTCTTCTGCTATACTCAGCCTGGCTCTCATTTGCATGTCGGCACTTTGGCCGTGTCGTACTTTTCGGTGGCTGCCTGGACGGGGAATCGCTCTTTTCTCCAGTCAGCGCAGCAGTTGTTTGTGAAGGCTGTCGCCAAGACTAGGGAAGCGTTACAGGGTGACATTACTCATAATGTGGATGATATTCTGATGACCATTCTTCTTTTGTCTACTTATGAGGTATGTCAACACGCTATTTTCTGTTGGATAATAGCTAATGTGCGGTAGGAGTTCTGCGCTATCAAAGAAAATAGACCGTCAAGAAGGACCCATTTGCGAGGTGCTGTTGCTCTGGTGAACAGCAAACGGCCTGAGCAGCGATCGTCGATTATATCATTGATCTTAGAGAATGCGGTCCAGGTACAGCTGGTATGTATCGTGATCTTTTAGACAACCATATACTAACCAGGACAGATCAAATCATCAAAAGGTCTGGCCTATCCCACAATGCAGACGCCAAATCAATGGCCCCCGTCTGCACCCGTTCCACAGTCAGCATCGTCACAGCTATTAACGATCACCTCCGAGCTGGTCAGTCTCCGACAAGCATGGGATAGATTCAACGAAGAAGGAACAAACCATGTCCATGACATCCAGGAGATCCTCTCACGGGCCTACAGCCTGGACGCGAATCTAGAAGCTTGGAAATACGCACTCCCTGAACACTGGAAACCATTGCCTGCGGTCTATGTTCCCCAGTCCGTGCGGGAAGCCGGCATGTACAAAAACCGCTGCGACTGCTACACCGACCTCTGGATGGCAGGGACATGGAACTTTTACCGGGATTCCCGGATAGTCGTCCAAAATATCATACTTCGCTGTTTGCGGATCCTACCTGATGGTGTGATGCTGGAGCATATACAGGAGACTATTAACCTGATTGAGACTCTTGCTCTGGATATCTGCGCCACCGTGCCGTACATCCTTGGCAGCCAGACGATGTCAGTGCATGTTAGTGGGCAAAAAATCGAGTATCCGGAAGCCGATGGACGGCGGGTGACGACGCCTCATTATCCGACTGCTGCGCTTGTGGGGGGATGGATGGTATCGTCTCACTTGTCGAATCTAGAATTGCTGTGTCTGAGTGAGGAGATGAATACATGGATTCGGGCGCAGAAGGAGCGAGTACTGCAGATATATACGTTTGGGGGAAACGGCAGTCAGATAAGCATGTAATATGTATATAGTCTATCACATAAATAATCAAATGTATATTTCAATTCAATAGTATCCTGTTGCTCATGTATATCTTTACCGATATAGGTCACATGACATTGACTTTCCCGATTGGTCATCATCTCCGCAGAATCTCCAATCGCAGTCAGACAGACTCATTATTACCTCTACAGAACATAAAACCAACACTGTCCAATCTCATACCATTACTCTACTATTCTACCTCCAATACCCTCTCCGGACCACAATTGTCACTGCTACCACAACGACAACCAACCCACAACCACCACCACCCCAAACCACCTCATCACCACCACCACCACCAACCAACCAACCAACCAACCAACCCACCAAAATGCTCTTCTCCTCCCTCTTCTCCTCCTCCTCCACGCCGTCCAACCCAGAACCCCAACCCGCACCCCCCTCCACGCCCTCCCCCGAACCTCAATCCCAACCCACCCGCTCCCCCAGCGACGAATTCGACCCCCCGCTCCCCAAACTCTGGACACCCAAAACGAACCTCAAGCTGCTCCTCGGCGGCCTGGCCTTTTTCACATTCAGCATCTACAGCACGCGGCGAGCCATGAACCGCAAGTTACTCGCCAGCGTCCCGCCGTACTACACAAGCAGCGTGTACCACAAACCGAAAGTCAGCGGCGGGGCGGAGGCATTCGAGGCGCTGCATCTGGCGACGATGAACGTGCTGTCGTTCGGAATGATGAGTGCGGGGGGCGCGTTGTATGCGCTGGATATCAATGGGGTGGAGGATATGAGGAAGTTCGTGAGGAAGGGGATGGTGGAGGGGGATGGGGCGTTGATGAGGGGTGAGGATAAGGAGTTGGAGAAGGAGGTGGAGGGGTGGGTTGCGAAGGTGTTGGGGGAGAAGTTTGGGAAGGAGTTGCAGAAGGAGAAGGAGAGGAGTGCTGCTGCTGCTGCGGCTGCGGAGAACAAGGAGTGAGGATGTGGTGGTGTGATTGGAAGATAGATACCCTGGTCATGGATGATGGATCTCTACTCTTTGTTTTCTTTTCGGGGGTTATGGGATGGGGTTATTGTATTATATTTGCATTGCGTGCATAGGGTTCATAGTGACGGTGTAAAGGAATTAAAAAACTACTGTACATGCTATCGGTCTAGCTTCTCGTATCGTTCTCGTGCCGTTTGCTTCGTCTTCTCCAGGAATTCGTCGTACCGGTTGCGCGTGTTGCGGCCGGCTTCTTCTGTTGCGTCTCCCAGTTTGCTGCCCTGCGCTCCTAAGCCCACGCCCTGGGCATATACCTCTGTGGCTATTGGGGCGGTCATGCCTGTGCCTTGAGCACCCAAGCCAGCTCCGGTCCATCCCATTTTGCTGAGGAGAGATGCTCCCTTTGATGTGCTCTGCACTGGAGGTTCCTCTTCCTTTGGCGGGGGCGGAGCGGGTTTGTTCTTTGCTGAGGGCTTCGAGCTGCCGAATGCCTTGCGCCGCTCCCGTGCGCGATCACGATACTCCATCGGCGCTGGGATAATTCCGTGCTTGACGAGTTTGCGAATCCCCCTGGCTACCGATTCTTCATTCTGGAGATTTCCACGATGGAGTTGACTGAGACGCTCGTGGCGATTAACCTCCGCCGATGACTTGAATTGGCGCAAGCACAAGTAGCAGCAATTGCGGTTGGGATCGGCATAGGATTGAGATGGTGGAGCGGATGTATCGGATGGAGAGCCTGCGTGGTCTGAGCCATGTTCTGTGCTTTTCTCGTCCGCGTCCTTCTTTTGGATACCATGCAATTCGGCATGGCGGTTGCTCCAGAACTGCAAATGTGACGGGACGGCCATCTTCTTGGCTCCGGCAGCGGCGGCCGCTTCCGCCTTGCGTTTCTTCGCCTTATCTGCATCCTTGGATTTGTGATCGGTTTGACCGGCTGGTTTCTCTCCCTTGGGGTTATCGAGTTCTGCAGTTGATACCGTAAGCTCACTGGCGTATGCCTCCTCATCCCAGTACATAAGTTTTAGCGATGGGTTGTTCAAAGGACTGAATGTGAAGCGTTCACTGCTTGTGGGATTGAGCACCGGAACGAATACACCGGCGTGGATGTAGCTGACGAGAACCGGCCTGGATGATATGGTGAATTTTTCGAACGAGTTCAGGCGTGTAATGGCAGCTTGGGCATCCTATATGGCGTTAGAAAGCTCTGAGGTGTAATGGTGACATGCTTACCTGAATAGTCGCAAACTCGGCGAACCCATAGCGCCAGCTCTCGTTACTGCGACGGTCTCTCACCAGCAAGACACGACGGATGGAGCCCTCCCTGGCGCCAAGGTTAGAATCGCCCGTAGTAGAAGCCACCTTCGCCCCCTTCTTCCCATTGCCTGGCGCCTCGTTCCCAGATGCAGGACGATACAGCTTGGCAACACCCTTGGCGAGAAGCTCTTCCGTCACGGAAGGTTCCAGTCCGCGGAAGAGAAGGAACTGAGAGGGCTGATTCTCCGGCGCAGCATCATTGTCGCCATGGTTTTCCACCTTCGGTGCAGGCAACCCAGGAGGACCAGCCGGGCCAGCGTCTACTCAGATTAGAAAAGTGATAGTGTGATAGAAGCCGGCAGCGAACGTACCAGGTCGGGGCGCTTGACACCTAAAGCATTTCTGACGAGTAGAGTAATTCACAATGCCACACTGCATGCGTTAGCTCCATGCTTATAAACCTCTGTGTGTGAAACATACCATCATGCAGTTCCAGTCCGCCTCTGCTCTCGCACGAGCACGGTCCTCCCTTTCACGGCTATATGCGATGCGGACCTTTGTGCCGCGGTCGTCCTGTGCGCTGGGTCCATGTAGGTAGATCGTAGGAAAGTTGCGCTCGACGAATGCGCGAGACAAGCTTAGATTCCGAAACCTCAAAAACCCAAGTTGTCGGGAAAGCTCTAGCCACCTGTTAGCACCGCAGCAGGGATAGGTTAAGTCACACTCACTCGTCTGTCGATCACGAATGACACGAACGTCATCTAGGCCTTCAACTTGATAAAACTCTTTAAGCTCTTTGGTAATCTGTAAACCACGTCGACCGGAACCCGGTGACATGCATTCTCAGCCTCTTGCCATCAAATGGTGTTGGGCGGAGCACCGCTCCGAAGTCCGCAACAAAAATCAAGGGGAAGGAGTTGTCGAACGTCTTCTTCCACCATATCCACCGGTAGACCATCCATCATCACCTCTCTGCTTTCGTGCCCGTAATGGGGTTGTCGGCTACGGCGAGGACTGCGGCTGCGGCTGCGACTGTAGCTCCGGCTTCGGCTGTGGTATCCTGGGGAGCGATAGCCCTCACGGTCGCGATCCCGGTAGGCTGGTCTGCCCCGCCTGGGAGGAGGGGAGCGTGATGAGCGCCGTCGAAAGTCATCGCGATCGCGACTGCGGTAACGGGGTCTAGAGTCGACTCGGTCTCTGGAATATTCGGGTCTTCTGTCCGCCGCAGGCCCACGGGGAGGCGAGCGTGAGAGATCTTCTCATGTATTGAGTTAGTAACAGCTAGATCTGAGGAAGCAAGTGGACGCTTGTCCAAGGAAAGCATGCGCTCTGTGCTACTGGTTGCGGGGAGGAGAGCGTATACCGCCAGGCGAGCGCGATCGGGATGGCGAACGATCGTCGTACATGCGGCCGTCCCGGTCGTCACGGCGGGGCATAGGTCTGTGTGATGGACCAGGCGGATACCTGGCCTCATCCGGATGAAAATGAGACATGGCTAAGGTGATCGGATACAATAAGATTGATTGTGGAGGAAAGTCGTCGGATCATTGCTTGAAGCCAGAAAGCCCCGGACTCGGCAGAATCTGACCGCCCGCGCTGCAGCTCCAATCGTAGTTTTCTCAATCATTGACAGCTCCATTCATTGCTTCTCTAGCCATTACTCCTGTCACTTCCAGAAGTATTCACTTTGATGCCTGGTGTTCAATGATTTTTCCTATTATTGAATCAAATATTTTGTGCTATAGCTATAACATCGCTCATATTTTCCCGGTAGGATGTTAATACACCACATCAGTCCTCCCAAGTCGCTTCTGCACAATTTCATGGCTAATGACATGAGCTGTCATCTGGACCATAACATGCTGCTTGGCAACTGTAGAAATAGCATCCATCTGACTTCATCTCGCTTCAGCGTGTAGTGATTCTAACTGTTCTCCCGGATGCCAAGTTTCTGACTGTCGGTAGCGAACCTAATCCGGTAGCTTTTCCCGGCGTGAAGTCTGTTGCTGTTCCTACGCCAATAACGGCTAAGTCGCGGCCAATAACTTCCTGCTAGCGGATTTCATTCGTTCATATCACGCCCGACTAGGGGAAATGAACCATATTAGATAATTGGAACTGGTGCAGTTGCCTGATTGAGGGTCTCCACTCCGGCCTTGTTGATGATGCAGGCTTGGCAGCCAGCAATCCGGCCTCGTTGCTCCGAGAACCCCGTGGTTTGCGCAGGATATGCGATGGGTGAAATATTCAGTGGCTGTGCTGGACCATTAACGTCTTGTCATATTTCCACCCGGGGCCGTTGTAGAGGTTGAGTTCCGAAGGTTTACCTAAACAGTGTTTTTCGTTTGGGAACGCGGAAGGGTCTAAGTTTCGGGCTGCCCCATAGGGCTGAGCCTATGCCATTCCAGTTGGAACCCTGACTGCACAGGAGGATACTATTTTGGATCGCCTCAATATTATTCTGCTGCCTGGCACCACCTTCCAATCGGGTACCCCCGTTTCATAGACCCTGACTGGGGTTTCTGCACTAGCTTAGTTGAACGAGACACAATGCAATCACAATAGGGTCCTCAATAATATCTCAGGCACCACAAACTCAGGGCCGAGGATGTCTACATGCTGCGCCTTGCCTGGCTTGGCCCTGCCACCTCAGATTTTGCTGTGCTCCATTTATGCATTCGGAGATTTTGGTACGCAGGAATCAGTAAGCTCTAATAGTGTGGTCCGCTCGTCAATTTCTTATAAATCACCCTGGGGCACCCTCACTCCCAATGCACTGAGTCTGTGTTATGCTAGACGTGTCACTTGGTGCAACCCAAAGCAGACATGAAGTTCAATGCACTCTTAACGACCCTCGCGGCGCTGGGGTATATCCAAGGTATATTTCCGATCTTGAAACTCATCATGCAGCACTAACTCATGCTGACCCGCCCATAGGAGGCGCCGCGGTTCCTACAACCGTCGACCTCACATATGCAGACATATCACCTCGCGCACTGGATAATGCCCCTGATGGTTATACCCCGAGCAATGTATCCTGTCCTGCAAACAGACCGACGATTCGCAGCGCGTCAACCCTGTCATCGAACGAGACGGCATGGGTGGACGTCCGGCGTAAGCAGACTGTCTCAGCGATGAAAGACCTTTTCGGCCATATCAACATGAGCTCATTTGACGCTATTTCGTACATCAACAGCCATTCATCAAATATCACCAACATACCCAACATCGGTATTGCCGTGTCCGGCGGTGGCTACAGAGCCCTGACCAACGGCGCGGGAGCACTCAAGGCATTCGACAGTCGAACGGAAAACTCAACCCATAATGGACAGCTCGGTGGTCTTCTGCAGTCAGCCACATACCTGTCCGGTCTCTCCGGAGGTGGCTGGCTCCTGGGCTCAATCTACATCAACAACTTCACCACCGTCTCCAATCTGCAAACCTACAAAGAGGGCGAAGTCTGGCAGTTCCAGAATTCAATCACGAAAGGCCCAAAGACCAACGGCTTGCAAGCTTGGGATACAGCCAAGTACTACCGCGATCTGGCCAAGGTGGTCGCTGGCAAGAAGGACGCGGGCTTCAACACTTCCTTCACGGACTACTGGGGTCGCGCACTCTCCTACCAGCTGATTAACGCGACCGACGGAGGCCCAGGCTACACCTGGTCATCGATCGCTTTAACCCAGGACTTCAAGAACGGAAACATGCCCATGCCGCTCCTTGTCGCCGACGGCCGCAACCCAGGCGAGACCCTAATCGGCAGCAACTCGACCGTGTATGAGTTCAACCCCTGGGAATTCGGCAGTTTTGATCCGTCCATCTTCGGCTTCGCTCCCCTCGAATACCTCGGATCCTACTTTGAGAACGGCGAAGTCCCATCCAGCCGATCCTGCGTCCGCGGCTTCGATAACGCAGGCTTCGTCATGGGAACCTCCTCCAGTCTCTTCAACCAATTCATCCTGAAGCTCAACACCACCGACATCCCATCAACCCTCAAAACGGTCATCGCCAGCATCCTAGAAGAACTAGGCGACCGCAACGACGACATCGCCATCTACTCTCCCAACCCCTTCTACGGGTACCGCAACGCGACAGTTTCATACGAAAAGACCCCGGACCTGAACGTCGTCGACGGTGGCGAAGACAAACAGAACCTCCCCCTCCATCCTCTCATCCAACCCGCCCGCAACGTGGACGTCATCTTCGCCGTCGACTCCTCAGCCAGTACCTCGGACAACTGGCCCAACGGAAGTCCTCTCGTCGCGACTTACGAACGTAGTCTCAACTCAACCGGTATCGGAAACGGCACCGCGTTCCCTAGCATCCCGGACAAGAGCACCTTCATTAACCTGGGCTTGAACACCCGTCCGACTTTCTTCGGCTGCAATAGTTCCAATATCACAGGCCATGCACCCCTGGTTGTCTACCTCCCCAACTACCCCTACACAACCCTCTCCAACAAGTCGACCTTCCAGCTCAAGTACGAGATCTTGGAGCGTGATGAGATGATCACCAATGGCTGGAACGTGGTTACTATGGGTAATGGATCAAGGAAGTCTTACGAGGATTGGCCGACTTGTGCGGGCTGCGCTATTCTGAGTCGCTCGTTTGATCGGACTAATACCCAGGTGCCGGATATGTGCTCGCAGTGTTTTGACAAGTATTGCTGGGATGGAACGAGGAATAGTACGACGCCGGCGGCGTATGAGCCGAAGGTATTGATGGCTAGTGCGGGTGTGAGGGGTATTTCGATGTCGAGGTTGGTTTTGGGTCTCTTTCCGGTGGTGGTTGGGGTTTGGATGATGTGAGTGGAGGTTGGGATCTGAATGTTGGGATGTGTATGCTAGGTGATCTTATGAGAATGAGTTTACGACAGTCCTGATATACTTCAGAAGTAGATCCAGTAAAGATGTGTTACTTACATAGAAAGCAGGAATGGATTGGATGTAATGCTTATTCAGTTAGACGTAAAAGGAACTCAAGTCCAATACTACTGCGGTACAGCATCACCACCAAATCCCACTGACATCCAATAAATCAAGTGCAAAACTCCTTCTTTCTCATCCCTCTCCAGTTGATCTCCCTGGAAGTTTCCTTCATAAGAAACGCATCTAATTATCTTCCCACCGACACAAACCCCAACACAATCCATGCCAGCAGCATCCAACTTTACATGGGGCTGCACGGCTGCAGACAACCTGCGGGAGGTTCCAGTCTACAAGATCGAGAGAAGTCTCTTCGGATCCTTCACCATCATCTACAGCTTCATCCCGCTCACCGCGAGGACACTTGGCCATACAGATATTCTGCCAGCAGCATCCCTTGCACGTTCTCTTGCTGCACATGCCTCCGGTGTGGATTATGTCTGTTGAGGTGGGAAGCAGGTCGGTGTCGGGCATGGAGTATCCTGGTCTTTTCATGAGAAGTAATTCGAAGAGAGGAGGTAAGGTCGGGACTCACTCTTGTGCATCATCTCCGATGCTGGTTCTTGTGCTGCGTCGTCGCTATCATCGAAGATGTCGGCATCGACATTGACATCGAAACCAGCGTCAGCATCAACATCAACATCAACAGCATAACCAAAAGCATCGATGGGATCTTCAAGATCATCTCGCTTATCCATATAGCAATACACACAAAGACCCTTACGACAGCACCCACCCTTGCAAGTCCTCCGGCTGCACTTCGGAGGCCTGCCTGGGGACTCTATTCCAATAAGATCATGATTAGCCTATACATCCAATCTAACCCACCTATAATATACCAAAGAATAAGGAAAGCTCACCCCAACTAGCACCCCCATCACCCCGCTTCGCCATATCATTAGGACAATACGCGAGACAAAGGCCGTGGTAGCAACATCCAGTTCCGCAGTCCCTGTTTGTGTGGCAGACGGGGGCGGTAATATCTAAATTCTCTTCTGTGCGGAGGAGGGATTCTGGATGGGTTTTAGTTAGTAGGTTTCATACTATGCGTAAAGTGAGTGAGGTAACTACCATCGACAAGACTGCGGACTAGGTCCGTGTGAACATCATCCTCATTGTGGAGACAGTAGGCGAGACAGAGACCGTTGTAGCAGCATCCGGTTCCGCAGTCGGAGTTCTTGTGGCACAGTGGGTTGTCTGGTAAGTTCAGTAAGTGGTGCCAGGCTATGTTTTTTTTGGTTGGGTTGCTGGGGTGTTGGCTTACAGATGTCTGTGAAGCTTGAGCCATCGGCGGGGATGGAGGCCACTAGGGTGGCCAGGAGGGTGAGGATGAGGGTAAGCTTCATTTTGGATATAGATGGTAGGGTAGGGTAAAAGTATGGTAATGGTGAAAGTAATGTTGGTATCGGGAGGGAGGAAAGAAAGGATGCTGATGAGGGAAAGAATGAGAGGAATGAAGATGCTGGGCAAGCCAGGGTTTTTGAGTATAATTGTTGATGTGAATACATGGATATAGAGTGGGTGCTTTAAGACGCGGGGTGCACTACAGTGAAGAGTAACACGGCCATGTCAGTTAATGCTGTTGATGCATGGATTGAATGCCGTGTGTGAATAGATATCAGGTGGTCATTGTTTGGGTATCAAGCGCATGTAACGGATGTAATGGATAGCTTCTACAGTGAGATTGTGGAATCAAGGTATGTACACAGATTTTTAGTCACACTGGACATAGGTAGTGCTTCTTCGCATGTCCAACAAAAGGAAGCATCGGGAGAGGCAAGGAATTCGTGTGATGGTAGCTATGTAGTACACGCACTTGTCGGAGAATTTATTAATAGTAACAGGGTAGTATAAACTCGATGCTCTTTCAATTTCCATATATGTATTACCTGGTTCATATTTGGTTATTCAGCTCGCATTGAACCTCTATCGTAATCATGAGTAAAGCTCCATACTACGAAAAACATACTTGACTCCACTGTATTGAAGAATCATGTTCATGGCATTGTGATCATGTCCAGGGTTGCACTATATATCCACCCGGGGCATGCATCTACTAGTATTCATATAATATGTACTAACAATCAAGCCTCCACCAAAAGAACAACTGCTTCATACGGGCGTAGAGACCACTTCTGTCCCGAGAACCGCCCCTTCGCTGCTTCAGCACTTTCATACGAGTTCAATAGCACATCCTTGACGCCCTTCACGCCGTTGGTAGTAGCATCCCACTCCAATGTCTTCTCAGTCCAGTTAGTGAGAACCAGCGCCTTCTTGTTCTCATATTGACGAGCATACGCGAAGATCTCCTGACTATCCTTATCGACCAAGTCGTAGTCCCCATAGACAAAGATGTCGAGGTATTTCTTGCGCAATCCAAGGACAGCAGCCCAGTAGTGGTAGATCGAGTTCGGGTCATTGACCTGCGCTTCAGCATTGAAGCGCACATAGTCCGGGCTGACGGACATCCAAGGCTTTGCGTTGGGACCGGTGAACCCACCGTTTGGTGCACTTGACCACTGCACCGGTGTGCGGCCGTTGTCTCGGGATTTCTTTTGGTATTCCTGACGGGCGCTCTTCTGGGCTTCGATATCATCGGGCCTGTGCTTGAGAAGGCTAAAGGCGCAGTTAGTAAGCGACCTATCTAGACGGGTGGGGACATATGCCTACCGATGCCAGTGGTTGAGACAGTCAATATCCTTGTACTCGTTCATGTCCCATTCAACGGGAACATTTCTCATTCCAATTTCCTGACCCTGGTACACGAACGGCGTACCAGACTGCAGCGCAAGAACCGTCGCCAGCATTTTACCTGCTTCTGTGCGGAACTCCTCCTTTGCTTGTGCATAGCGATCAATCGACCGCGGCTGATCGTGGTTCTCCCAGTAAAGAGCATTCCACCCATCATTGTTGTACATGAACTTCTGCCACGTCTCGAAGAAAGCCTTCAAGTCAGTGAGCTTCCAGCTTCCAGGCTCGAATTTGTCGTATGTTCCGTGGTCAATGTCCACATGCTCGAAGTTGAAAATCATGTTGATCTCGTTCCGATCGTAGCGCACAGCGCGGAGCACCTCCTCGGTGTCTCTGACGAAGGGCATCTCACCAACACTGAAGGCATCGTACTCCTTCAGAATCTTCCCCAGGTCTTGGAGATATTCATGTAATCTCGGTCCATTGGCGTAGTACTTGTCTCCCCACTGCCAAGGGGTTCGAGGGTCCTTTACAGGAGCATCCGGGAACCGTTGGTCTTTGCTGATGAAATTGATGACATCCATGCGGAATCCATCCGCGCCTTTGTCTAGCCAGAAACGCATGATATCGTGAACTGCCTTACGGACGGGCGGATGCTCCCAGTTGAGGTCGGGCTGTTCTGTCGCGTAGAGGTGAAGGTAGTATTCACCCGTGTGCTCGTCCCATTCCCAGGCACTACCTACAGCCAGGGTCAGAAAGCTTACTCCAAAAAAATGAATGACTTCAAATCAAAGCAAGAAACTCACCCTGAAAATGCGACACCCAGTTGTTAGGCGGGTGCCGGTTACCCTGCTCATCATACCTGGCCGGCTTCCAAACATACCAGTTGCGATACTTATTGTCCTTTGAGCTGCGCGACTGTTTGAACCACTCATTCTGATCACTAGTGTGGTTGACCACAAGGTCCATAAGAAGCTTCATACCCCGCTCGTGGCACCCCTGGATGAGCTTTTCGACATCCGCGACCGTGCCGTACTCATCCGCAATGCTATAGTAATCGGCAATGTCATAGCCCATATCCACCTGAGGCGACTTATAGGAAGGACACAACCAAACAATATCCACGCCTATATTCTTGATATAATCCAGCTTCGAGATAATGCCTGGAATGTCACCGATACCATCATCGTTGGAATCCTTGTACGAAGCAGGCCAGATCTGATAGACGGAGCATTCCTTCCACCAGGCGCGGTGAATCTGGGAGGCGGATTTGGCCATTATGCTGGTGTTTTGGGCGTTTTCTGGTATGTTTGGAATTTTGGTGAGAGAAAAGAGCTGTCGTGTCCTTATCAGGAGCTCGAGAGGTCAGAGGGGGCACAAGGAATTGGCTGATCTGCCCCTCGATTGATGGGCACCGCGGGGCAGTCGCTACTTCATCTCATTCATCGATGCTCGTGCGGAGAAATTCTCGGTGGGTTCGTCACCCACCGGTCGCGCATTGTCTGCCACTCACACCACACGATGTGGTGGACCAGCTTTTGGGATGGTTGAGAGGACCGGTACGTGAAATGTTTAGGACGCCCACTTCCCTTGTTCCTGGGATGAGAGGTGATGTCTGAGATACTCCTGGCTAATTAAAACGTCTCCGCACCAGCTCCGGCTCCGGATCGCGTTTATCACCACACTTCGAATTCCCCTACACCCTAATCGATACCAACCTTACCAAAGAATTCCAATTCTACTACTAGTTCATACATATAATCTAGGGATCGCCAAGAACAGTGTGTCCAGAACTGTAGCAATTGTGGCATTCTTGCGCGGCTATAAGTATTTCTAGATAGTAAGGTCCCCACCACTAAGGTACCCGAGTAAAGTTTAACCGCAGCCTTGAATTGCTCATCTGAGAGTGATACCCCGTACAACCAGCATGTTCCGAGCTGCAGATGCTGATGGTGGCCAAAGCTCCGATCAGCCGAGGGGTTTCTGCTATCCTATCCAATGACATGCTTCCATGTCAGCTGTGCAGATGGTAGGAAGCTGGTCATGATGGGCGGGGTCGAGGGGCAGGGCGAGCTTGGTAGGAAAGACACAACTTTATCATCAGTCCTTCGCACTACAGGCTGTTGCGATTGCGACGGCTGTGGAACAATTGCAATGGAGTATTGCAAGACTACCTTCATTCAGTCATAGACATAGTATTGAACGGATTTACGTGGCTGGCCGATACTTGCGAACATAAGCCATTGCTGGTTGGACCTAGCGTAGTTGTGTGAAACTGGGCCAAGCTGATGGATGTAACGCAACTTCTTACGTTGCATCAGTATGAGGGACATGAGAATCAAACTGCTTGCATGAAGTCTGTTAACACTCCTCCATGGCAGTTTGTGGTTCGCTGAACTCTCCGTCACATCGCATTGGCTAGTACCATAGCCAACCTGGCATAAATTACTAAAAAAGAAACACAAACGTCCATCGAGTAAGAATGCGGAAAAGTATATACTGTATACCATCTTACATCTGCCACCATCGTCATCCTCATATTCGTGTCAAACAGTCCAGAGCTACAATTGTCCATAAAACCCGTCCGTGTCGTTGTACATATATTCATCACCCGTTTGGTAGAGGAAAGCAGTCGAATCAATATCCTCTATTCCAGCCAGTATCGTCTTTCAGTAAATCATATCAGCCATGGCTAGTAATGTAGCTTAGTGCAGCCGCAGAGCACCGTCGCGATCCTCGACATTGTCCAGAGCATCGGTGATGCGCGACCCGTCTCCCTCATAGAGGAATGTGTCGTAAGTGGCGGCTCCGACGATACAACCTACAATGGGGGCAAAGATGGGCACAACGAAGTAATAGTTGGCCGCGGTAAAAACCTCCCTGCCATAGATGAAAGCAGAGAACAGTCTGGGACCGAAATCTCTCGCGGGGTTGATAGCCTGTAGATTTAGCTTCGATCACTGAACTCAATTATCGGAGGAACCTACATAGCCAGTCTGCCAGCCCAACGCAGCTCCAATAGCAGTGAGCAAGAAGAATACCGTCACCTGAGGCGAATGGAATCTGACGGCATTGACCGGATCCGAGATGCTCAAGATGCCAAACATCAGGACTGCAGACCCGAGCAACTCCGAGAATGCGGCCTCCCAGTTCGATTCGAAGAATGCAGCAGGATAAGTTGAGAAGATACCGGCAGAATGGTGTCCACGAGGGCTCAGGATTGAGCCGCCAGGAATGGTAAACTCGGGATCCCAGTCTTTGATGGCGGAGCGGTAGTTGATATACACAATGGCAGCACCAACAAATCCACCAAGGAATTGAGCAAAGAGCTTGCCGGGAAGTTTACGCCATTGTCCGGGAGTGGGACGGACAAGAGCCATGCAGATAGTCACAGCTGGGTTGATGGTTGGACCGGGGTCGGAAAGGTAGCCTGAGATGCAGACAGCTGCAGCCCAGGCGATGTTGATCGATAGCCAAGTGCCGTACTGGTAGTCGGAAAGGAGACACTGAGCGACGACGCCATCGCCGATGACGATCAGGAGTGCCGTTCCGAGGAACTCGGCGACATATGGTTTGAGGAATTTTCGCGAGAGGCCAGTGTTGAGAAACATGGCTGTTAGGATGTTCGACCTCCGAACGTGTGAATTGGGAAGATTCGTAGGGGTACCGTGGTAGAGATGGACTGTTTTGGAGGTTTGTTGACGAAAACCGAGGGGGGCCAGAGGATGCCCCGAGTGCGGCACGTCATAGCTCACCCACCCTCACCGCCAGTGCTGTGGATTCCCAGGAGAGGAAGGCGCGTTGGAGATAATGTTGGCTGCTATGCCTCAGGTGTCAATTATGGCCCCAATAATAGATTGCTGTGGACTGGATGCTTGCGATAAGGATGCTGATTTGTCTACTCCATGCCATTCCCACATATGGTGAGGATCCGCGAAAGTACTAAAAGCCTCGCTTGATTATTCCCTCCATATCCAATTTGTTCGTACAAAGCATAGAAGACCAAGACTCTGAAATTCACAAACGGATTTTTGACCAACACGCAAGACAGACAAATCCGCAACCCAATAATGCACCATGAAACATTAATATTATTTCGCGTTCCTCGCTTTCTCCGGTTCGGCCAACATTGCTCGGTTCCACCTCGGATCATCCGATTCTTGCACCGGCGCCCACCCAAGCTGGATCTGCATCATCCGTCTTATCAGCTATCTGCCCCACAACGGCATACCACACATAATGGTCAGCAACATACCTGCATCACCTTCTGATCCCAATCCTTCGTGAAGCTCTTAATTTTGCCATCTTGGATCTCAAAGATAGCAGCAGCGCTCCATCTCGCTTTCCGGGGTGGATCCGACTTCTCAATTCCCTTATACGGCTTTCCCGCATGCGATCCTTCGGCTGTATATCGCAGTAGCACATGTCCGTCCTTTGCCCACTCCTGGTCATAGCGAACTATATGCAGATCATTGACAGACGCCATGACTTGGGCATGTGAATCGGCGTAGTCCATGGGTGTGAGACATCCTGGAAAGGTAGAGGGACTCCAAAACCAGCTGTCCGGGGTGCACAGGTGGCGAACGGACTCGGCACCTTTGTTGTGGGTTGGCGAGTAGGCAAGTGACATGTATTGCTTCGCGACATCGATGTTAATCTACATATAAGTAATTGAATTTAGTCTGGGAGGATAATGGATCAGTATCGGATTAGATACGTGCCTTTTCTTCTGGCGTTTGGGTTGTCGAAACGAAGGGTGGTTGGCCATCTGTCGCAGACATGATTGTTAGTATATGGTACAGTGGTAAACCCTCCCTATAGATTGTTGTATATGTTAGTTATGGAGTTGAAAGTTGAAAGTTGACAGGATGGAGCCCAAACCTACCTATATAGTTACTCATATATATTGTCGTCTCTTCAGTCATCATGACGTTGTGCTACCTTGTCCAGCTTGTCTCTGGTCTTATCCGATATCCTGACAGCTGAAACTCTATGTTATTCGGTATACTTATGTAAACAAACCTTTAATCAGTTAGGAAGAATGGTACCCCTGGAACAAGATGGTACATGAAAAGCTACACAATAGTGTACCAAGGGAAGCCTTGCTGACTGGCCACGGAATGATGTCCCAGCCCGTATGACCGCAGAGTCGTAGAGAGTTTCAGCTTTCTGCAATATATTGGATCGTTGCTGGGCTATTTCGTATTCCTGATGATAGCTTCATATAAGATAATTTTAACGACAGAATTTTGAGTTGGACACTCATACTCGTACCGTCAGAAGGGGGACTCTCGCCATCCTTGATATAACCAATGACAAGCATGTACATGACGGTCACCGGATAATAGATTTCAAGGTGATCTTCTCCCTCAGGGATATGCACTATCGCGACATGTACTGGTGGCGTACTGGCGGCTATTCGGGAAGTGCAAGACCCTGTATACGAATCAGACCAGCGCGATTGGTTTTATTAACGAGCGGGGTAAGCGTCATCAGGCGTCTCAACTCCATGCCACCAATCGTTAATTGGCGTAACCTACCCCACTCTCACACCCAGCCATGCTATGGTCGATCAAGAACAAAATCATGCAGTGGCATACTATTAGTTCTCGGAGTTAATGGGTCAGTTGGGGAAGCGAAGGGCGGTATGCCGAGCTATCCGTCCACTATATAAAGTAGGACCTTCACCATATTTGGCAACACAGCATACTTGCAAAGTGTGGTAGGGGACTAGGCCACATCAGCTCTAACAAGATGTTGTACCTGGTACTCGCTCTCTCCGTTCCTGGCTACCTTATTGCTCTCACATGCTACAATCTCTTCTTCCATCCCCTCCGCAGCTTCCCCGGACCCCCACTGGCAAAAGTCTCGAAACTATGGAGTAGGATTGGCAATCGGACCGGCCGAAAGTCTGACAGAATCCACGAAGCCCATCTGAAGTATGGGCCTGTGGTACGTATTGGGCCAAATGAGTTGTCGTTCGCAGAACCCGCCGCCGCGCGAGCCATATATACATCGGATGCATTGGTAAAAGAGGAAACCTTTTATGTAAGACCCATTGAAACTCAATGTATGCATGTAAAAGAAGCTTAATATGATATTCAGCGGGCGAAGACTATTTTCCATGAGAACCACCTTTTCTCCACTCGGTAGGTCCGACAGCATGTGTGCAAGCCATGTACTAATAGTACCAAGGGATGTGCAGGCACACCGGCAGCGACGCAAGCTCTTCGCGCGGGGATATTCTCAGGCAGCCATGCTAGAGTTTGAGCCCCATATCTCCAACAAAATCGATACTGTTCTCAAACAATGGAAGGTACGGTTGGTTGGTGGTCCAATCGATGTTTATCCCTGGCTCCATTGGCTTGCCTTTGATGTAGTGTGTAAGTGCAGATTACCCTGGCTTTGTTCATCACACTTGACTGATATATTGCGGCATAGATCACTTGATGTTTGATGATGATCTAGGCCAAGTTACCTCTGGTAGAAGCCACGAAGTGATGGCATATCTTCAGGCTTGGAAGCCGACCTATATCTATGTAAGTTTGGAAAATCGGTTCCGGTATAACATGCTGATTTTCATGCAGAAAGAGTTCTTCCCGCAACTAGATCGATGGGGTGTCTATGTTCCGGGCTATGTGGGAGACTATTTTAGAAAGGTCCAAGCATGGAAGAACGTAAGTAAAGCTCACCGGAAGTTGTGCTGATTTCCTCAACAAGAGCTGAAGATGACAGTACTCTGTAAATCTAATCCAAAGAAGCCGTGAAAGGGGCACAAAGACACCATTTTTACGAGCGGCATTGAATGGCGACGAGGATGCCTTTCTCGGAAGGCCCTTGACCAACTCGGAGTTGGCAGAGGAATGCATGGGCGGGATGTATGTTCATCACGATACCGCAAAGTGACTTTCAATGACGGTTATTTCAGGTTCGCAGGAAGCGGTACCACCGCTAATACGTTTGCGTTTCTTCTCTGGGCTTGTCTGCGCAAGCCAGATGTTGTGGCCCGGCTTAAGGCTGAATTGAGAGAAGCGTTCCCAGATCCTTCCATTGTGCCAGACCATCGGGTAGGCATTGTTTGTATTGAAGGACTACAGATTCTGTTCGCTAAATCGCATTCAGACGTGCTCCGCTCTGCCATATCTTCAAGCCGTTATTTCAGAAGCCTTCCGTCGCTATCCCGCTGCTATTGCTATCCTACCTCGAACTGCAGTTAGAGACACAACCATTGCGGGTGTGCCAATCTTCAAAGGGGTCAGTTTTGCCTAGCATGCATCTCCACATCACAGCACTCACATACAGCAGACTGTTGTAGGCGCACAAAATCGAACAATTCATTTCGACGAGAAAGCTTTCCCTGACGCTCAAGACTTCCGACCGGAGCGCTGGCTCGAGAAGGAAAATGAGGCCCTGCGGAAGGAGGCTTTGGCCCCCTTCTCCCTTGGCCCCAGAAAATGCGTAGGTCTCAAGTGAGTGACTCTAGGAATCCCCGTTTACTCTAATACGTACTTATGAGAACAGCTTGGCGCAAATGGAGCTCAACAAATTAACCGCCGCTTTCTTCCGTCGGTTCGATGGGGAAGTCGATGGTAGCATGGGCGAGGAAGATATGCGAATGTATGATACTTTTACTGCTTCACCCGCTGGAGGAAAGCTACTGGTTCGTTTGCGTGAGTCGGTTTGATGCCTTGGAGTTATATGAGACTGCAACGTACCATTGCATACTCCTCATGTTCTGTCAATGGGCTTGCATCTCGGGTTGATGATTGCAACTGGCTAGATAAACATCATTATCAACTCCCGTTAGTTGATGTGGTTCTAATCCATTCATTGTATCAGACTATTTCCCCCGTCTATATACACGCCAGAATCAACCCCCCCCCCCCCCAATCCACCCAATTAAGTCTTATAAACTGGATCTTCTGGCAACTCCACTCCCCAGAACCTACCCATCCTCTCCCTAAAGAGCTCATAGCACGACCCCATACGAAGAACCTTCATCTCCCCGAAATCCATCACAATCGACGCCCTCCCATAAACATGATACCTCTGCAACCCATAATCAACGATCAAATCCGCGACCTCTATAATCTCCTCCTCAATATCCTCAACGAGGAACTTCTGCCCTCCCCCACTCAAATTCGCACTAGATCCGACCATCACCTGTCCAGCCTCGTAGTTCAGCCTACAAATCTCCCGTAACAGCGAGCCCCCACCCACGAACATCGCTATCGTGTCATCCTTGACCACGTTGGCTAGCGTTTTCGGTGTAAATTTGGCCAGAATGGGATGGTCCGCTTTATAAGGAGCCACGATGCCTAAGCCCATATCGAGGTCGTGAGTGAGAACGCGCGTCATTTCGAACCTCTCGGGCTCGAGAACGTGCAGTTCATGATGCAGCTCGTAGGATCCAATTAGACCATGGGCGTGTCCTGGCCGACGTCGTTTCGCGGAGAAAGCTCGCTCGATGGCCTCGACGGACGAGGCTAGGAGGCCGTAGCCGATTTCTGTGGGGACGATGGCGATGCCTCCAAGTTGGAGAACATCGAAAACGCGCTGGGCGTCGGAGGTGGTGTTGGGGAAGTGGCCAGGTAGGGGGATTGTTTTGGTTTTGGGGTTTGGAGAAGCCATTATGTTATTTTAAGGGATTTGAAGTCACGAGAAAAGGAGAATCTAGGATTATTTCCGTAATTGCGATTGTGGCGGGGTAGTATTCTGCCGTATATTTTATCGTTGATCACCACCTCTCAGACCTCTGTGCCCGCACTTGCCGGTCAGATTTTAGCAGGAAATTGGGTACAAACTTGATTTCTGCTTATCCGCGGGACATTGAGATTCGGTTGATGTTGCGGTGAGCAAGTACTACGAATCTATGAGGCTTTTGTAAGGTTGAATATACGTCCGTTTTACGATTCTCATACTATATCTCAGGATGCAGAGATCTTGTTCGTATGGGTCTAACGTGTTGCATTGTCCTCCAGCTACTCCTTCAATTTCTCCGCGGCAATTAGCAGGGGTTCCCCTACGCTAGCTCGGGCTTGCTCCCTTAATGCTGGCTGGATTTCCCCTAACCGAGAAGCCGTGTATTCGCTACGCTCGCTTCTCCTTCTCTATTTGTCTCTATCGTTGCAATGCAGCATGTTATTAACAAGATAATGCTTGCTACTACTCCTAATACCTGTCGCAATCAGGAACTCCAAACAATATTATTACTCAGTCTGACTCTGGTGGAGTATCTTTGTGCGGGGCGGGCTTCCCGATGATTTGCCGTGGGTCTCGATTCACCATAACGCTTGTGATGAGACTGAGCATCTTCTTGGCGGAAGTGATTGTTTGAGGCTACATGAACCCAACTTCCATCTTCTGTATGAAGATCTGACTTGGAGGCCTGGACAATGACCAACGGAAGAAACTAAATGATGAACGGGCTAGCGCATTATTAAGCCAAGCTGTCCAGGATCGGGGCCAAGCGCGACAACATTGCAATTGCTGGATGTGATAGGACATGATCGAGCGCGATAATGTAACTGCGAAGGCTAAGGGAGGGGCTCACTGATCGACCTTCCGCGAAAATTCTATGCTTTGGTGCATGCCACAATTGTGATCATACAGGCTTCCCTGATAAATTAATGCCCCCAAATGCGTTGCCGGCGTCTAGCGCAAATCACTAGTGCCTTCTGCCCCCGTACTTTAAACATCTGTTGCACCCACAAACTATAACTCCCATCCCACAGCCTAACAAAAATACCGATTAGCCATGGACAAGAACTGTCGAAGGAGGAGATCCAGCAAAAAGAGCAAGACAGGTTGTCGAACCTGTCGGTAAGTGGACCCTCAACGTTCCAGATCAGTCACCATCTGATTTACTTCAGATTGCGCCATGTAAAATGTGATGAAACTCCAGGCATGTGCCAGCGCTGCACATCCACGGGCAGAAAGTGTGATGGATATGACGCAGAGCGACTACCCAACCGACGAACTACTGCCACATTGACCGAGTTAGCACCGGATATTGCTCGTCGCTTTAGGTGGAAGTTGACTTCCGATGAGCAACGTTGTATCTCATTCTTTCAGAACCGAATTGGACCATCCATAGTCGCCTATTTTGACTGCGTTCTGTGGCAACGGCTTGTCCTCCAACTTAGCCAGGTCGAGCCGGCTGCCTTTCATGCGCTCGTCGCGTTTAGTGCTGTCTATGCGGATTATGAAGCCAGAGGTATACCTGTTGATAAGGATGATATGGATAATACTTTGCAACGATTTGCACTCGACCAGTGTGCGAGAGCGTACAGGTGGTTGAACTCACGCTCTGCTTCCCAGGATCCCGGGTTCCGCGATATCATGCTAGTATGTTGCGTGCTATTCATCATGGTAGAATGGATGCGCGGACAGTATGACACTGCCACCATACACCTGAAGAATGGGCTCCGGATACTGGAAGATGACCAGACCTTGACGGCAGCAACTGCCGCATTCAGCTCCGTCTTTGGGCAATGTCTAGGCGAATCACTTGCCTCCCTGAAAGTCCAATCAACTTATTTTGGCATCGAAGAGCCAACACAACCACAATCTCCGAAGAGCTCCGACCCTGGGACCCCAGTTCTCGATGATAAGGTTTTTCACAGCCTTCTTGATGCGCGTCTGACGTTTGAGCCGTTGATGGGCGAGATTTTTCAATTTCATTTATTCACCTCCCGCCTCTCCGAGGAACACATCAGTTTCAACTACAGTCAACTGTCCGACATACAATTCGAGCTCTCCTCCCGACTGAACCGATTCTCCATCGCACTTGAGTCCTTCCGCCTATCTTCCTTCCATCAACTCAGCCTCAATGCTCAACGAAGCCTGCACACCATGCAGTTGCACCAACAAGTACTTTCCATTGTCGTACATGTCTCCCTCATCGCCAACGAACACGATGCTTTAGACTTCTACAGTTCCTCTTTCGAGCACGCACTGTCTCTTGCAGAATCTATCATCGCTAGCTTTGCTGATCGTCCTAGTGTCTGTCTTGACATGGGCGTCATCCTCCCACTCTCCTTCGTTGCAACAAGATGCCGTGAGCCCGATATACGTGCGCGTGCATTGGAAGTCCTTCGCTCCTGGCCGCATCGTGAGGGCCCCTGGGAATCCTCTTTCATCGCCGACTGTGCTTCAAGACCATGGAACTCGGGAGATCCGTTTCTAGCTATGCTGCCTTAAACGTATACAGTAGCCCGACTATGATGTTCCTAAAATTCACCCAGCAGGCATGGAAAACTGTACATGCCTTTCGATCATGAAAGCTTTTTGAACGGTTGGCCTCTTTCATGTTAACTAAATAAATCTTGATAGTCAATGACTGTCGGAGCTACATCCGAGGAAGACAATAGGAAACAAGATGTGCAAATGCTTGGCAGCTTAAGGCTAATACCTCTTGCAGTAACCCCAGGCTATAGTAGGTGTCAAATAGAGGCAAGATTGTAGCCTATTTAGGAAATTCTCCGATGAGCTTCCGCACCTGGACAAGAATCAGACAATTCCCGGTTAAATCCAGACTTCATTCCGGGAAAGATGCCGATCCCTGCAGCACGGATGTAACATTAATTTGTGGAGTGGTGTAGATCGCAGGCTGGCGTGAATAAAAGGAGGATGGGTTAACAACAAAAGGAAATACCAAGCCCTACAGTAGGTAATCTCCAAAATGGGCATCCTGTTGCGCATCCTTCCTTTGCTATTACCCTTCACACATGCCACTACTTTCTCCACCAAGCATTTCACTGGTGTTCTTGATGATGACTCTGGAGTACTAAAATCACTCAAATCATCGTTGGATCCATCCTTCGACTTTTCCCCCTACGATGTCTTCGCCAATCGCAGTGGCAATGGTCACTACCACACGGGAGACCTGACTCTACGCTACCGAGTTGGCGATGTCAACTCGTGGATCGATGCAGACACTGTGAAGGATCGTGTTTCTCTTACTAAGGGCAATTCTTCAAAAGCCATACTCTCGTCCGACCTTGACCAGACGATCGGCAACGTTACCAATGACCGTTTGTTCATCACCCGGAACTGGATCGACTACCAGGGAGACTTGGCCGTCAACTTCACCTTGAAGAATGGAAACTCTCAGCCCATCGAAATCGGCAGCCTTGGCTTTCCTATCGAATTCAACAGCATATTCACGGACCGAACAGCAGTCGAAACAAGAGAGAAGTGTGTTCTGGTGGATCCTTTCATCGGCCTCCAAGCCGGTTATGCGCAGGTCACCAGGCTGCTCGGACAGGGTCCGCACCTCGTCATTACTCCTCTAAACCTCGATACAAAATTTGAAGCATGGAGATTTCTCACAGAGGACACTGATACCTCTCTAGCTTATCAGAGTCAAGTGTTCGAGGGCAACTATGAGTGGCAGGTTTACTCGAAAGCTTATGCAGAACAAGAATGGAAGGGCGTTGAGCCTTGGAATCCGCCAACCTCGTTGACCTTGTCGCCAGGCGAATCGATCTCTTTCGGTCTGCGTTTTACGGCCGTTTCAACCGTCGATGAAATCGAGCCTACTGTTTCTTCGCTCGGGCATCCGGTTGCTGTTGGGATTCCGGGATATGTGTTGACTCAGGACCTTGAAGGGCGATTATTTGTCAACACGACGCTTAAACCTGACTCCGTGGATGCTTCCCCGGATGGTTGTATCTCGGCCACATCTTTGGACCTGAGGAGCAGTACCTGGATTGGATATAAGTTAGTACCGAACAAGGACACTTTCGGCAGATGCAGAGTCGATATTGTATACGACACGGGCTTAAAGCATGCTTTGCATTACTACATCACAGATGCTGGACCCAGTACTCTCTCCAATGCCGGCCGCTTTCTGGAAGAGAACCAGTGGTATACGGATACTTCGGATCCATTCGGGCGCGCTCCTTCTATCATCACCCACGACCGATCTGTGAACGGTCCAGTACTCCAGGATAACCGCGTATGGATTGCAGGTCTAAGCGACGAAGGAGGTGCCGGATCCTTTGTTGTCGCTGCAATGAAGCAGACTATTCAGCCTGTTGCATCTGAAGTTACCAAGCTGGAACAGTTCGTCAATGAGACCGTTTGGTCCCGGTTACAAATAACCAACGGATCTACCGAGTATGGTGTTCGCAAGAGCTTGTTCTTTTACGATCCAGACGTCATGCCAGATTACAATTATGATCCTGGTATCTATTGGACTGGGAGCTGGGATAAGGAAGCTGCTTACCTGATTGACAGAGCGTATGACTACGTTCATGTCTCCTGTCTCTATTGGGGGTTGTACCGCGCTGGTCGGATCGCCCCGAGCGTTCTGACTCTACGCCCGCCAAAATGGTACCTGTTGCAGGCATGCAAAACGTGAGTCTCTGCCGCTTGGTATGGAAGTCCTGCTAATAGATGCATAAAGTGTATTATTCACATTCGGGTCGCAACCTGATGGAAGCCAGAATACATATTATGGTGACCTTGGGTTAATGGGAGAAACGATGTGGATGTATCTGCTAGACGATCTCAAAGCCGAGAACTACACCTCCGAAGCAACAAAAATGGAAGATATCATGCGCAGTCGTGCCAAAGCATGGTCCACACAAGAAGACCCTTTCGGCAGCGAGCAAGCATGGGATTGCACTGGACAAGAGGGCGTATACTTATGGTCCAAGTATGTCCACACCAGCCATTCCTCTCCAACAATTAACTAACACCTACCCTTAGATACTTCAATTACACATCCACAGCACAAAAGACCATCGCCTCCATCAGAGGATACATGCCCACCGTAGCCCACTGGGGATGGAACGGCAACGCTCGGCGGTACTGGGACTTCACGTATGATCTTTCTCGTTCCCAGACTCCTCTCGTACCAATCCCAATTCAACATTAGTACCCTAACATTATCACAGAACAGCAGGAAAACTCTCCCGCATCGAACGCCAAATCCACCACTACGGCTCAAGTCTCAACGCACTCCCCATGCTCGATAACTACCGCTCACTCACCAACCCAACAAGTCAATCGAGTCTCTACGACCTCCGCATCGGCTACGGAGGTAACCAGGGCCCAACGACCAACGTCGCAGACGACGGCTTCGGGTCCATGTCTTTCCACTCCTTCCCGGAGACATTAGCATGGGATGACTACACAGGCGACTATGGACCCGGATTCCTTGGTCAGGTACTCGGTGCTGTGACGGTTTTGCTCAAGCATCCTGAATTTGGATGGGTGAGTTTTGGAGGAAACGTTGTTTCATCTTCTTCAAATGATACTGTCACGGTGCAGCCACGCGATACTGCTCGGAGGAGGGTGTATCTGGCGGATCTGGGGCTGGATGTTTCGATTGATGCGGGTGCGATTTCGGAGGTGAGGGTTTTGTATGGTGAGAGCAGGATGGAGATTGATCTGGTTGATCGGGCTGATGGCTCCGATGGGGTGCCTGCTACGAGGGCTGCGGTGGGGTATTCTGTTACTACTGTGGCTGGGGCAAAGGCAGTTCAGTTGCAGACTAATGGACTGACGAAGGGGAGGTATGGGTGGGAGGTGAAGTTTGAGTCGGGTAAGGGGAAGGTGGTGTTTGAGTGGTAGACGTATAAGATGACTATCAGCGAACTTCCTTCAGCTAAGAAAAGCTGAATGTTGAGTCCATGCTTGAAGGGAAGAACAGATTGCAAAACAACCAGCCATAACCTTAGTCGTTAGACATCTATATTCCAGCCGCAGAACCCACACAATTCCTTCTTCCCACCTCAAAAGCTCCCTTAATGTATGGACTCCGAGCTCTTATCTCCTTCCCCCATATAAAAGCAGCCTACAGAGCAAGCTCCAGAACCAGAGAAATGAACCCCAAAAGCGAACTAGCCCAATGTGATCCCAAATGACTACTGTTGTGGTGAATGGCTTCGTCGGTTCCAGCCCAAGTACGAATAACACATACCATTAATTGATTAAATAAAGGGATTTTCACAAAGGTATAACGTATGCCCATACGAGTACATCATCCCAGAATCTCCACAGGAACATCCACCATCTTATCACGGACGTAATCAACAAACCCCTTCCCAAACCCATCGAGCCGACTCGAGCTGCTCACGCCACGTCCCAGAATTCCATAGATGACAAAGTGCACAGCCATGATATTCGGGAACTCGACGCGCTCGATGAAGAAGCTATCATTCCAATCCCCGCCTATGAGCTCTCGCATTCGATCTCTGGTCAAATATGATCGAAGCCAGAGCCAGTGGTTTGGATTCGTAACGAAAAGCCCACAGTTGAGATTCCCACCCTTATCGCCTGATCGGCCAAGAGCGATGTCTCCCAAGCGGAGTTTCTTGGTGGAACCTGAGAATATTTGTGGTTCAGCTGGGTCGTAGTTCTCCCGGGGTGTGAGATCTTGATACTGTGGGGGATGGCCGGTATCGTATGAGCTGATGCCGTTCGACGCGTCGATCAGGTTTATTTTTTCCTGGATCTCGGATTGTCTGATCAGGGCTGGGTAGTAGGCGAGGAATGGTAAGGGAATAGCTGTTCGGGTATCCAGTGATGTATGAAATCCTATGTATTCACACTTCCCGTTAGATGACTGCAGTTTATATAACTATGTTTATATTGAACTGAGTGAACTAACATTGGGTGACGTACCTGAGAAATGCTTAAGAGAGATATCTTTCAGAGCCCTTGCCACAGCAAGAACAGCGCCCTCTGATCGGGATGCAACAAATACGCGCAGGTACGTAGTACTTTCAGCCTGAAAGGCTGGGTTGGCGGCGGGAGTTCCAATCCTGCGAATATTAGACCGTGAATGCGTACGTAAAGGTCAAGCCATACCTCTGAAACTCCAAGGTCTCTAAGCTTTGCTTTACTTCTTCAGGAAGGAAATGGCGTATTTGCCGCTCGAAAAGATCCCACTTCTTATCCGTAGCATACCCAGTTGCGTTCAGCAGAAGTTGGGCCTCGTATCCTCCTGGGTAAAAGACCGCAAGCTTGGTCGTCGGGGGTGGTGGCGATCCTCGAATACCCGATACATGCACCCTGTGTAGGTTTTGGCCATGATCAGCTATATGCCCTAGTCCAAATAATCGCATCAAAGGCGCTTACCTATCTTTACCCACTTCTTTGACCATAACATCGGCGATATAGGCACTCACGTCACTATTGAGATACGTAGTCCCCTGTAGTTCATACAAGAACTGACTGCAAACAGTGTCTGCATTAACTATACCCTGTGTGTTTGGGTGCTTCGTGATAACGCATGTGCCGTCTGCGGCAATCTCGGCGATCGGAAAGCCTGGAGCAACAAGATCATCTAGAGGGTATCTATCAAACCCAGCGAAGTTGGCGCCTGTCACATAAGCCGAACATTCAATCAGATGACCAGCAATCAGCGATCCGGCAAGCTTGTCGTAGTCTGTCTCCGACCAGTCATGCCAGTACCATGCCGCAGCGATAACAGGGCTAGCGTCTGCAACGCGGCCACAGATGATGATATCGGCGCCTCGGCGCAGGCCATCCACAATACCACGGGCACCCAAGTACGCATGCGCCGATACCATTGGAATTGACTTCCCATCTTGTGTATTCAGGAATGCGTACGTCAGATCTGAAGGCACCACATCCGAGTTCCCGGCATCAAGATGGGTCAGCTCTTCTTTGGTGACGGGCATGTTTGGTCCAACGCGATCATACATGTCATCGCCTGAGAGATACGCAACGCGAAGATCGAGCTTCTTCTCGGAGACCTATCGAATAACCAGCCATCTCAGTATTGTAGTGAAAGTTTAACAAGCAGAAGCAGTGCGGCATACCAGAGCCCGAGTCTTCAATGCAAGAGCTTTAGGGTCCAAAGCACCGCCATTGATAACCACTCGAATACGCTTCTGTGCAATTACTTCGATGGTCTGTTGAAGGCCTTCCCAGGCAGTAGCTTCGTATCCAGGATGCTTTCCTTCTCGCCATACCTGGGCATTGTTGGCAAGATTGACTTCTGCACACTCGAGCTTAGCAAAAACTTGGTTTCGATCGGAGTGAGAGCAGTGTAGTTTACCCGCAAGATAATCGCCCGTTATAAAGTCAACATCTCCCAGAGTTGCCTGTCGGTACATTTCATACGCTGGATCGCCTGCCATACCACATCAGCTCTAAGAAACGCGTCCATACTGTCGGGTCGCCCACCATGATAGCCAGAGCAGTTGGCCACCCTAACAGGGCGTGTCTCCGTCAAAGTTGACATGATTACAAGATTTCAAGCCCGGTAGTAGTTGCTTGAAATGATCTCTGAAGATCGATGGACGCTTTCCCCGCATTTCTTGGTATACATGAACCACTCCTTATATACCAAGTTCCCGTACCTCGGCCATCGTTCGGATATTCAGGAAACTGGACAAAGAAATTCGTCGTCGAATAACGAATAGCCTTTGAGTCAAGGATGTTAAGCATGGACCCTTTGATCCGAACGGACCAGTAGCATCCCTCTGCTTCGTGGTGTCTGTATCCCCAAAAGGCTATGATTTACTTTCATTCTTCGGGTCCCCGTGGCCCGTGGCAAGACCCCTCACTGGATATGAAATGAGTATCCAAACTGTATCCAATTTATGAATCAGGTGAACCAAGTCTCCACCGATCAATCAGAGCCCCATAACAACGTCATGGATCAGTTGATCATTTCCAGTTTGTAGGTCGCTGTGCCGTGGGCCTCGGACAAGGAATCCCCGCGGGCCGTGGAGTCAGAATGTCCGAGACCATGCTTTGTCTCCTATATGAATATGACAGCTAACGCAAGGGGGTTCTGTTGCTGTGCTTTCTTCTCTGTTCTATTTTAAATTGAATTTCCCAAATATTCCTGTTCCCACTCGTTGATAATTCCGTCATAACTCTTCTCAACTATGACACTCGCCCACGAAACCGTTCCCGGGACGGAGGTGTACGGACCCGGCACATTCATCGACAAGACTGTGCTTCCAGTACCGGTAGATGCCCGTCGGGTGTTTGAGCTTCTCGCCTCTCGAACTCCTGGCTTCACCCAGGACAAAGCACTATGGGATACCGTTCACTTCGAAGGAGGGCCTGAGCCCATGGTCCAAGGTCCGATCAAATCACCCGTCATATCAGCTGCTCTTCATGCCATGGGGGGAGTAGTGGCTAATGAGCTTCTTGAACTTCGCGATGGGAAGCCCGCAACCGAGGATAGCGTAACAGTCAACACCGACCATGCAGGCATCTGGCTCGGGTCTGTGTTCACCACGTACATAAATGGCGAGGATGTATCTGCCCTGGCACGGTCTGGGAAGTTGGGTTCACTCTTCGAGCGGAATTATGAACAAGGCTTCGGCAAGGGCATAGCAAGCCGGGCAACTGCTATTTACCAAACCAAAGACCCCCGAGTGTGGTACCAGCTTCATGGCTCACTCGACGCAAACGCTGCTCTCAGGACAATGGGAATCAACCCTGATGTGACATTCAGCACACCCCAACAATATTATGATTACATCCAAGAGCATATTATCAAGTGGTCGCCCGATGAGCTTGAGATGCACAATGTACGCCATGGCCTGTGTGGAAGCATCTGCTACTCCCCGGAAGGCTGGAGGAAGACGGAGTTCGGTAAACGTCTGGCCAGATACCCCCTGGTCAATGTGACCGCCGAGACATATGCAAAGCCTACACCTCCAGTCCCTCTGGTCAAGGATCGATCTGACAAGCGGCCACTTGCTGGGATCAAGGTTCTAGAGATGGTACGTATCATTGCTGGACCGCAGATCGGCGTTACCTTGGCATCCTACGGGGCGGATGTGATCCGTGTGAATTGTAGCAGACTAGTGGACCTTAACGTATGTTTTGCCTCACCCCCATGTCATGAAGAAGCCTACTAATGGAAACTTGGGTTATAGGTACTTCAGCTCACACTGAATGCGGGAAAGCGAACAATTGACCTCGACATAACTAAGTCGGAGGACATGGAACGACTGCAGGAGCTCCTTGCAGATGTTGATATTTTCATCCAAGGGTTCAGAATGGGTTCGCTAGAGCGGAAAGGACTGAGCCTTCATAATATGCTAGAGATGGCAGCTAAAAGGAACAAGGGAATCATCTACGTCGACGAGAACTGTTATGGTCCAGATGGCCCATTCCATGAGCGTCCTGGTTGGCAGCAAATTGGAGATGCGGCATCTGGAAGCGAGTATGTAATGGGTCGATCACAAGGCTATGAGGAAGGAAAGAGTGTATTGCCACCACTCCCTGTATCTGATATGATTACAGGCATTGTCGGTGCGGTTGGCGCCATGATTGCGGTAAAGAGACGAGCAGTTGAAGGCGGCTCATATCACATCACTAGCTCCTTGGTTGCTGCTGATGCAATTGCACTGGAGAAGGAGGTAGGATTATACCCCCCTGAGGTGGTACGAGACACAATCGCACGCTTTGGGTTCAAGGAGATTACCCCTGATCAGTACGTTTCCGAAGTTCTGGTCCCAGTCATTGATGGCTGGAAACGAGGATTGCCTCATGATTTGGATGAGGACTCGAGGTTCATGACGACATTCGAGGAGCCAGGACCATGGGGCCGCCAGACTCTCTTGAAGCCTGTTGCAAAACTAGGTGTTGAGGAGTCGACTCCAAAATGGACTTCTCCTCCGGTCCCGCACTGCCATCATGATAGAAACATCAATTGGCTCTGAGGATAATTCGGGATAAGGAGAGTTATATATTCATATAGTATGGAATAATTTTCTGTCAAGTCGAGCAATCACATCTCAGGTATCAGGCATATTGGCCTCTGGTACATCCACTCCCGGAACGACCGAAAACAAAGGCGCAACTGAAGCAAGATCCTGCCAGTTCCAAAACGGCGGTAGAGACCACTGCCAGTTAGCCGACAGATCAACTTCGTTAGAAGATTCCGGAAAACCAATATCTGAGTAGGGGCCCTGCGGCACCATATTCGTAAAATGGGTGCTCCCCATATTTGCCGCAGAAGTGCTGCCCAAAGAAGTCGGTAACGCGTCCGAAAAGTTGGGAACTGTGTTTTGATTTATTCCATGACTAGATCGACTAGGCCTGTCATTTTCGTTATTCTGCATAGTTGCTGGGTGGTGGTGGCGGGCAGGTTGCGCTGTCATGAAGGCTCTCCTAGCAGAACGCTCCAAGTCAGAGCACATGCCCAATATAAAGTCGACATATGTATTAGGCTCTTCGGAAGAAGTAGATGTGAGGAACCTGACAACATTCTGGACCATTGAAAGGTCGTCCCCTGCATCTGAATGTGTAGGATGTGCGAGTATCCTTAGGGCAAGAGGGACACATGCTGCCGCTGGAAAGTAGATTATGTTCCTTCAGCGATCAAGGTCAGCGTAAATCTCTTGAAGAAGGCGACAAGTACCAACCATTTGTAGGTAGAACCGAACGAATGTACATGTGATAGCAGGGCCAATGCAGAACGTGCTGCGTCGAGTGAGCGTGAAACAATTGGCGCAATATTCTCGTCCGTTCCCTGCCTTGACCGCTCGATAGCGTTTGCTTGAAACACACATACCTGATAAAGGTTTGAGTAACAGCAATTATATGCGAAATGTAATCGAAGAACATGTTGCAGGAAATAACTTGGTTTACAAGAAAATGTGCGCTGGGGTTGAAGCTTCGAATTTATAGACTTCTTCCAGCTCAACAGCGCGTCTTCACAAGACTTTATTCTCACATTAACATCATCACTCGACTTCTGACGAACAGTTACCGTGTAAAGCTGTCTAATAACAAGCCGCTGAATCTGAGCTAGTTGGGCAAGGAGACGGAAGTAATTTATTCTGGTACCGTCAATCGTTAGTACGCCCCTGCCATCAGGAGGGTTCTCTGTCGGTAGATGTGTATCATAGTCTTCGATATCCTGGACCGGCGGGCGGCCCACCCGTATGGAAATGTCTGAGTCAAGTATGAAAGCGATCCAGTACACTCTTCGCCTTTGCTCCGCCTCGGGTGAAGCTCCAGAGGCGTTTTCCCTATGCAGTCCTATTGACTGGGCCAGACGCATTGCTGCAGCCGCAAACATAAAGAGAGCTTGTGGGTTAGGTGTACCCTGAAAGTAAAGCGCCAGTCCTAAGAGACCCTGAACGGCGGCGATGTCAGTATTTCGAAGGAAAACGTCGACGACAGCGTTCAATGCATTTTTAACGTGGCCCAATGATTTTTTCCAGTTGTCACTAGCACTAGAATATGCATGCGCCCTTTCTCTATATGATATGGCGAGAGCAATGTTGAGAGAGATCCACCATGATGCACTATCATCGGGATTCCATGAGTATTGTCTGTCGACCGACCTCATGAACGACGCCTCCTCAAAAAGAGGGATTGCATGGTTAAAGGTTGCAAAGTACTCTCTGGCCAGTTGCACCGTTGTGTCCTTACATGGCAGAGGTTCGAAAATGCGCCGTTCCAGGCCATCTTGAAGAACATGGGGGATCCAGTTTGAAAGTTGCCATGGATGAGCACTTCTTTGAGCCGCGTGTCGCCAGTTTCCGGTATGTGGCTGGGTCTCTAGCCCATTTACTTTGGCATCGGTCAGTGCAGAAAAGGCAGACGAAGCCCCTAAGATCGAAAAGAATATGGTCAATAATTTGGACATAAATCAGACGACGATATCGCAACCTACCAAAATAGCGCATTTTCCCGTCCTGTGAGTCGATGACAATAGATTGATCGTTCTCGGCGGAAGGATGAAGACCCTTGTCAGGTGGTACCTGAGGCATTCCAGGGATGTTGTCTCCGTCTGCTGGGTCTTCTGGCTCCCTGTAGTCAGTAGTGCTCTCGACTGATTGGCCCGGCGAACTTGATCGTGATCGTCGAGTATTCTCCACACCCCGCTGGATTCCAATTCCAGATCTAGTCATACTTTCCAATTGCTCCTGCATACGTTCTATTCGCTTCTCTAGCTCTTCAACATATGTCCTACGCCCATCAGTCATCAGTGATGCATGGTAGCTTCTTCTGGATAGGAGAGCCTAGCACCTACCGACTATCGCGTTTCCGGCTGTCCATGACATCTTGATATCCGCAAGAGAGATTGAATGCGTGGCAAGGTGAACAGATTGGTCGCCTTCCATCACATTTAACCTTCTTCCGCCGACATGTATTGCATGCCTTAAGTGTATCAGTCAGCGTGTTACTATATAATTTCAGATTAAACCCACCTTAGCTCGCCGGATGACATTGGCTGTAGATGATTGTGTTCCTTTCATCTCTCCTCCAACTTTGGTGAATATGATGGGTCCGAAACAGATTGCAAAACCTCAAATGCAATTATTTTGTGGTATTTAGTTGCAAATATAGTCTGTCGCAAACAGGAACCACCAAAGTTCACTGATCATAGTAACTAGTTGGTTCAAGATCGCGCCGTTGCTGCCGGTCTGCTAGACTAACCGAGGCTGACTAACCTAACCGGACAACGAAGCGTCGCGACAACGAGCCGTCGGTGACCCTCACCGCCTTATACCTCCAAGATATACAATATTTAATCTTGCTTAATTCAGTCAAAAATAAAGCTATTTAAATATATAAAGAGAGTTTTACTAAGATAGAATACTATAACTTACCTGTAAAGCCTTTATGTACGGTTAATTTGCCATGATAAGGATATATACTGCAGTATTTAATACTAAGATATCTAGATACTAGAAAATACTTGATACTAGCTATTATACTATAGCAATTACAATAAAAAAGATTATAATTAGTTTAAATACTTAGATAAGATCAATATTTAGTTTATTTATATATAATTATCTATAAAGTGTTAAATTACTTTAATTTGAATCGATTGTTATATTTTTAGTAGGCAGAGCGGCGGCTTGTTGTCGCGCCGGTTCGTTGTCCGATTACGTGTACCTGTGAGCTTAGTTAAGTTACTATAAAGGTGCGGGATAAAAATGTTCCTGCCGACACACCCAAAGTAGTATAGTGTGATTAGACGACGATATATAGATTATACATTGAACCCTCGCCTTAGGCGACATACAGGTATCTACTAGCTTTGATCCCTATGTACATCTGTCCATCTTGAAATATCACTTTTCTGCCGAATTTGGAGCTTCATCGTCATGGCCTCCTCCCGCGAAAAAAAAATATATTTAAAAGATTCAATCCTCTCTTGCCAACTATGTAACCAATCAAGTCCGGGGCTTGGCTCATGCACTATTGCAGCTGAGCCGAGTCTTGACATCAGCTCAGCTCGCTCAGTACACCGGCCAATTGCTGAACCACTTGTTCATGAAGGACCGCTTCTCGGCCGAAGCCACTAAGACTGGCTCCCACGCATCGTCTACTTCCATGACCACCGGCTCAGCGGCATCGTTGGCCGGCCAGTCGGGCAGCTCTGGGCCATTGGGATTCCCAGAGCGGAGAAAGTTTACCCAATAGTTGGACAGCCGGTCCGCGATCGCATAGTCCTCAGGCTTCCAAGGCTTGTCAGTTGCATACAGGTTGTTGAAAGCATAGTTGATTTCACTCATGTGGTACGCGCCCTCGTCCTGGCCTGGAGGCGCATGGGTCCAGTAGTAGGTGTAGGTCCTGACGGTGCTGTTGCCCGAGGTATTGCGCGCGACTCCGGCCTGATACTCGTTGGCCCACTCCCACAGGGAGATGCGGGTCTGATCCTGATAAAAGGTATTGCTGGCGGCATCGGCGCTGCTGTTACTGTTACCTGCCGGATACAGTCGAAAGAACTCGGCTGCCAGGCCGACGCTGCCGAACTCGTACTGGTTCTGGCGCGTATAGCTCTCAACCGTCATCCCGGGGTTTGGGGTCGCACCGTTCTCATCTCGGTTTCCGCCGGTCAGCACCGCGGCGATCGTATGGTTGCCCTGTTGCAGCATCTCCTGGTAGGTAGCCGGCAGAACGTAGCCGTCCAGGACCGGACGGAACAGCGGGGGCTCCATATAGACCGAGTTATTGGCAAAGACCGTGTTCTCGTAGGTAACGTCAGCCGCGTCGCCGCCGGCCAGGAAGACCTCGACTGGAGCGGCACGAGCCGCGGCAATCCCCGAGAGGTTGAGGCTGGTGAGATACGCAGTCCCCTGCGCCTCCGCGACGGCGAGATGGCGGTACCCTTCGGCCACACTCCCCATTAGGGGATTCGAAGGGTAAATGGCTCCGCTCTCGGCAATTACCTGCTCAAAAAGCCCGTCCGCAAGGGGACTGTTGAGGTGATCGAGCACGGCAGCGGCGCCCGCTGACTGGCCGCCGATAGTAATGCGGGTTGGATCGCCCCCAAAGGCGGCGATGTTCTCGTTCGTCCAGTGCAGCGCCGCCTGCTGGTCGACTAAGCCATAGTTGCCTGAGGTACCGCTCGATGAGTTCTGACTGAGTTCCGGGTGGGCTAAAAAGCCCAGCGCCCCCAGTCGATAATTGACGGTCACGACCACGACCCCCTTGGCGGCTAGACCGGCCCCGTCATACAGGGCCTGGCTGCTCGATCCCGAGCTAAAGCGGCCCCCGTAGAACCAGACATAGACTGGAAGCTTACTGCTGGCTGAGGTGGGTACCACACCAATCCCGGTTTCCGTGTTGTTTTGCACATCGTTGAGGGTGGCTGTGTCGGGAGTCCAGATGTTGAGGTACAGGCAGTCCTCGCTATAATAGCTCGACCCAAGCTGGGGACAATCCGGGGCAAACTCAGTAGCATCACGAACGCCCGTCCATCCGCTGACATGTTGCGGATGACGCCAACGATAAGCCCCAGTCGGGGCAGCGGCAAAGGGAATCGCCTTGAAGTTGTAGACCGAAGAGATGTATTGCGATCGATTTCCCTGCACCGTACTCTCGTAAGTGTCGATGTAGACGGTGGGTGACTGGACTGAAGCGACTGGCGAGCTCAACGTGCTCTTCGACTGGGTCCGCGTGCCAATAACGCGGCCATAGGCGGCACTGGCCAGCACAGGGCCCCAAATCAGGAGCTTCATTGCTGTGGATCACGATGAGGGAATCCAATTGCCCATTCAAATCGCCGTGATGTAAGCTCCTTTTATATTCCCCATTGCTCTTCACCACCCCCGCCCCCAACTCCATTCGCTCGAAGACCTCCTTTACCCTTTCCCCTCTCTTCCACAATGCTTAATCTTTGCCGGTCCATGATCTTCTTCCTTTCATCCGATGAATCCTGGTGCCCCTACGGACATCGGATAACGGAGATGGGGTGAAGTCCGACGGTCTTCCCGTACACGTTCTTAAGGCCCTTTTTCCTGGCTGGACGTTGCATATACACATATGCATAACATGCACTGCTCGGGGCAGATACCAATCGAACGAGAAATATTTCCTACCACCGAACGCCTGACAGTAGATCAGAGAAGGCCTGACGGTGGATTGAAACGAGTGAGGTTGATCTGGACATGCTGACCCTTAGCGCGAGACGGCCCCGCGTGCTTGTTCCATCCCCACAATAAAGGAAGTTGCAGGCGAAAAGCATGGGCCATTTCGGCCGTATCGGACATCGGAGGATACTTTACTTTTGCCTTGCTATCTGTATTGCGGCCTGCAATCTGATGGCTGGACCTGCAGACGACAGGAAAGGCTTGTCCCCGCATTTGATGACGCGGTCAAGGCGGCTGAAAGCTTAACTCCGTCCATGTTTGCCAGATAGCGAAGCAGGGCATGCCCTGAATTCTTGTCCCCCTAGCTCAGTAGCAATATAACAGCTGAAACCCCGCTTTGGAGGACTCTTTGGCACGGACAATGTTACTTTACTGCATGTCAAGGAATTGACGCACCCAACCGTCAACAATGTCGCGAGATTTGGACTGAGAGTGACACCAGTCCCTCTTTCCCTCAAACCCCACTAATCTTCTATCCGAGAATGAATTCAGTCATGAAAATGAGGAGGGTTGGCGCTCAAAGAGGAGCTGATTTTGGTGAAATGAGGGGATGAATGTAGTAGACGGGCTAATGTATATTCAATCTGCCGGCAATAATTACAACGAAATTGTTTTGTCTGATGGCCGATAACCGCCTCCGTAGCTTGTTTGCGCGGAGCTGTGTTTACCGCCTTCCATCAAGGACCAGCTCCCCGCAGCATCTTCGGTGCGTGATAAGGCACGCCGCTATCTAACATCCCAAAGTTGCTGGCACCTTTCGCACTTGCATTCTTCTTCTGTGTGCCATTCCAAGAGCTTCCCCCTGGGTTTCACCACATCGACTGCACCTAATAACCCTAGGATTCTTCCATTATATCTCTCAAGTCACCGTCCACCTCATAAACACCATCCGTTCCCCACCGTGGCATAATATATCTCTCCTCCGTCAAAGGGATAACTTACTCCATCACTCTCAATTCATTCATACAACAACTATCCACTCGTATTGATACCAAACCGAGACCACAATATGTCCTCCACAACACCAACCACCGAACCAGACCAACTACCACCCCATCTCGATCCCCAAACCTACCCCCGCACAACCACCAACCCCACCCTCAACACCCACATCACCCTAACCTACCACCCCCTCGATCCTACGAGCGCACTATCCAAGATCTCCTCTCCCAACGCCGGCGCAAATGTCCTCTTCCTCGGCACGACTCGTAACTCCTTCGAAGACCGCCCCGTCGCACAACTAAGCTACACCGCGTACCCGCCTCTCGCGCTGAAGACATTATCCAAGATCGCGGAGGACGCTGTGGCGAAACATGAGCTGCTAGGTGTTGTGATTGGGCATCGACTCGGAGATGTGCCGATTGGAGAAAGCAGTATCGTGATTGCAGTTAGTGCGGGGCACCGCGGTGCGGCGTGGAGGGCTGGCGAGGAGGTGCTGGAGCTGTGTAAGGAGAAAGCGGAAATATGGAAGAAAGAGGTATTTGTAGATGGGCAGGGGGAGTGGAGGGCGAATAGGGATCGGGATGCGGAGGGGAAATTAGTGCAGGGGTGAAACGGAATATAAGTCGGTAGGTGAGCGGACAAGACAATGATTAGGAATGGACGGTGAATGCTAATTGACAGTCTTATTTTACAATCACAGAGTAGGGTATTGTCTATGATACACACATTTAGGCAGGCAGAGACATCACCACTTAGTCCTTCTTAAGGGGCTTGCCCTCCCGCTTCCAGTCATTGATATGTTCCATGATCGTCCTCGTAGCCGACTCAGGCGTGTCCTGACGACCGATGCACTCGACGAAGTCATTATCGGGATCTGTCAAACAAACAAAAGTCAGCTCACGTGCCGCACATCACTCAACCTATCCCCCAAGCTGCATAAGGAGAGAAAATACCCATCAAATAGAAATAGATGCTGTGATCGACCAGATAATCCTCCCCGGGCTTAATATCCCTCGGGGTACTGAAGTACACCCGGTACTGCTTGCAAACATGCTTCACCTCATCATACGTTCCAGTCAAACCAATAATACCAGGGTGGAACTCCTTCAGATAGGTGCGCAGCACCTCAGGCGTATCTCTGGCAGGGTCGCAAGTAATAAACACAGGCAGGAAGATATTCTCGCCCTTCGTAGCCTCCTTCACCTTATCAATAATCTCGGCCATTTTGTCCAGCTCATCGGGGCAGATATCAGGGCAGTGGGTGAATCCAAAGTAAACCTAACAAGAACACCAAACACAATTAGCTCCAATATCCCCTTCATCATAACAACCAACCCTATAAGAATGAGATACTCACAAAACTATACTTCCCCTTCAAATCCTCCGCCGTAAACTCCTTCCCATCCAGATCCTTCAACGTAAACAGCCCTCCAACCTTCGGCTTCCCAACACCCTTACTCATCTCCGCGATGCGCTTGCGCTCCAATCTCTCCTTCTCAACCCGGAAGTAAATGATCATACCACCACCCGTCAAAACGAAAAGCAGCGCCGCCTTCCACGAGAACGGGCCCGTCGAGTGCCGCGCCTTCAATTGGCCCATTGTGCGCGCGCGAAGACAAAGCGGAGAAGTTGAGAAGGAGCGGCGAACTCCTACATTGCTGGTGCTGCTGTTGTTGGCTGCTCTGAGGTTGGCGGAGAAGAGGCCGGCCGGTGTTCTGAGCGCGGCGGTGTGTTCAATTGGGGATACGGCGGAGCGGGATGCCCTTGTGAGGATCCTTCTCATGGATCTCATTGTCGATGCCATTGTTGTTATTTGCCCGTGTTTGGAGAAGGGGGTTGGTGCACGGAGTTTTCTTGCGTTGCGGTAGGTGGTTTTCGGAGTCCGCGGCGGAGGTTTGGATGTCGAGACAGCTCGGTCCGGAGGCCTATTTTCTGGATGGGGTTTAGCGTTTACGCCTTAGGCATAAAAGGTAAGTTCGCGTCACGTGTGTTCTAGTATGAGTCGAATAGGCTTTAGGACTATTTTGATTCATCTATAGAAATTGGATGAAAAACCCCCATGTATGGTTCTGTATCCATGGTTTGAGAAGACATTAAGAGTGGTAAAATTACAAAAATTACACCCGACCTCCTGTCCAATGACGCCGGTCCAATGCACTGCGCGAGGGGAGCAGTCGTACATGCTTGCTTGCTATGCAATTTATTGCTCGCCGGGATGTATGGTCGCCGAAGGAACGAGGACACGCAGGTTGATATAATGGGACAATGAAGTATAGAAATAGCAAAACCGAGGAAGCGAAAACGACAGGTGGTATTTTGACACGGTGCGAGGCGTAGAGACAATGCGAGACTTGGTATAAAGAAAAGAAATAAAAAAAGGAAATGCATCTTTTGCTCCCGAAGGTTGTAGAAAGATGGTATGTACGGAGCAAGTCGGGAGTATTTCACTGTACACTTCGACTGGCTAAACTGGCCCGACTGGGGGTCGTCCGTGGTTCCTCTTCTTCGATTACATCGCTGAGACGCGTAGGATGACGATGGCGCGGGGTTACGGATTCCCAACCTGTCCCTACACCCCATCCCGAGCCGCTATAATCGACAGACTGAGTGTAGCCTCCGTATAGAGGCCCGGATGTTGTGGGCATGGAGCTGGGTGGGTATCCACCTTCCTCTACTGACCCATGCTCATACTCATCGCTGCCTTCGGACATGGCGGGCTGGTAAGCAGTTGACTGACCCTGCGGGTTGCGGCGGTAGCTGCTGCCGACATCTTCTTCTCCTTGCTCGCTACTGGCAACGCTGGGGCCGTAGGAGCGGTCGTCATTCTCAGATGTTGGCCGAGGTGGATATGCGGCGCTCTGCTCATAGAAATGTCCAGGGTATTGTCTCTGAGCTTCCGGAGATGTTGATGACGGAGGTTCCTGAATGGGCCTGTGGCCTTCCACGAAAGGATCGGTACCAGTAGGAGATGCAGGAGTGTCGGCGTAGTATTGACCTTCTGTCACCGCTGTGGTTCTCGCGGCGCTCTCACCACTTGCATATGGGCTTTCTCGGGTTGGCGGGCGATTGGTATTATGCCGGCTAGCGGGCCCTGGGATCATAGGTACAACCTGGACGCCTCCGACTAATGTAGGTTCTCCATTCCGCAGGGATGTAGTACGGTCGCGTTCTTCCTGTTCGCGCCGACCCAATTCCTCCCAAGCGCGGCGGGCCTCGTCCTTGGAAATTTGCAACTCACGGCGCATTTCTTTCAGCAGCTCTTCGGCGCGTAACTTGTCGCTCTCTGACTTTTGCAATGAAGTGAGAGCTTCAGATCGAGCCTGTCTCTCGGTCCTAACCTGCCTCTCTAGCTCTGCTAACAACTCCTTCGAGCGTTCTTGTTCAGCACGAGTGTCGAAGAACCAGCGCTGGAACTTGCGCTCGGATGAGGCCCGCAGACGTTGCAACTCGACCACAGCATGGAAGAGATTGGCTCCAGCGGCGGAAAGGTCCGTCACTTGGCGTGCCATTTGTTGATTAAGAGGATCGCGCTCAAGCGCTTCATTATTTTGCTCCAGCTTGCGAATCCAGTAACCAGTCAAGCCCTCCCAATGGGACGAGAGAGTTTCCCATCGTTCAAAGGCGTGAGGAAACGGAATGCGACGAGATTGTTGCTGGGCTTGAGAACTTGGCTGATCAGACGCCGCCTGGGTTTGTTGCTTGGACCACCCGGCAGAGCTCTGCGGGGCAGCCTGAGGCTGTTGAGATGCACCGGGCTGCCCAGCCGAGGTAGTTTGTCTGAGAGGTCCATGTGCACCACCAGTTCCAGGGATAGACGCAGAGGCTTGGGGCTCTGGTCGTTTCGTAGTTGTGGAAGACCGCTCTGGGATTTGCGTCCTTCGCTGCGAAGTTCTCTCACCGGCAACGCCAGCAGCATAAGCTTGACCGGGCCTATTCTGCTCCTGTTGCTGTCTGCGCTCGATGTCATCCTGCTCCCGATCCCTCGCCTCCTGCTCTGCTTTCTTGCGAGCCTCTCGATCCCGACGTTGCCTCATGATGTCCGTGGGCGTCCGCACCCCACTTGCGGGGTGTGGGTTAACAGGGACCGGGCCTTGAGTGGCGCGAGTCGATCCATTCTGAGTACGGCCATTGGCACCAAAGCCTGACGGACCGGAGGCACCCGCGACGTCAGACATGGGCGCATTCACTTCTTCCCAATCTAGCGTAAACGGAATTGGTTTGCGAAGTGCTTCCTCCAAGGTCCAAAGAATGGCAGACGCGGTACGCGGGGAGACACTGGTTGTCCTATGGGGCCAGTACGATTCGCCCGGTCGCCGGGAGGATTCCTCTTCGGAGTCGGCCTCTTCGTCGTCTTCTTCGGTTTGCGCCTCAGACAGTGCTGGACGCAGAGCAGCGAGTCCGCTTTGGTGTTCCGAAACGGGTCGCACAACCACTGGAATAGTCTGCTCTACCTGAGATGGACGCCCGGAAACATATACCGACGGTGGTCGTTGGGAAAGTCTCGCCGTTCTCCGCAATGAACGAGGGCTTCCTAATGCGCTCGAGGGTCGAAGTGACGGATCTTGGGTGGAGTCAGGAAGGACACGGGAAGCAGCCTGCTGCTGGCGTTGCGGTGGAGGGGTCGTAAGTGTTGTAGGGTCGTTAACGTCGTAGGTCTCGTCAAAGGCGGCGCGATTGCGATGAGACACCGCTGAAGATGGAGGTTGCTGAAACGGAATATGCGACGACAACGTGGGTGCGAATTGGGATTCAGCCCCTACAGAATGGGACCAGGAACGAGAGCCCTGCAACCAAAGGTGGGTTTTGACAGCGTGTCAGGAGAAATATGCAGAGCTCCAGCAGTATCCAGCACACAAAATGAACCCGCCGCTGGTGGATGTCCGAGTTAGCACAGAGAATGCTGCACAGTGGGTATTTTCATTCGATACACGACAGAACGGCAAAGGGCGCGTGGAAGCAGTTCAGAGCGAGCCACGCAAATTGAGAGTGAGAGGGGATTGAGAGGCAGTGGCTGGTCGAATAAGGAGAGCCGTCGCAGAATTACGATGGCTGGGAATCGGGAAGACATTGTAGCGACGGGATCTTACCTGTACCAGGAAGCGCCCTGCAGACCGCAACGAGCACCGCTAGAGGCTCGTAGCAGTCATGGAGCAGAGCAAGAAAGCCCAATGGCTCCCGCGGAGGATTCAAGGCCGGGTAGCAGCGGTCTGAGTTGTATGGACAACAGCTAACTGTGAGGCGGGCGACGGAGGTGGAAGAGGAAGGGAAATTGAAACGGGAAAAGATCGGGAAAATCGACGAGGAGCGCGTTGTCAGTCACGCCGGGCACCCAAAAAAAATCCACCCTCCCGATCGATGAGGAGACAGAAACTCTTTGGATCTGCACTACCACCCCCAACTGCACCGGATTCAGCTTCTGATGTTCGTCGCAGGCACTTAAGAAGGATGGTTGACCCGCCGATGGCCGTGATTCACAAACACTGCAGGCCAAGATAATACCTACAACACGCCTTACCTTCCCACCTTCGACTGGCAAAGGTCGCACAGATAGATTACGATGATTCAGATGGCCCGTTGGTTGGACAACAAACTAATTGTCTACCCAAGGTGAATCAATCAGTTGTCACAGTTTAGGCAATACATGTCTCTCTTTGTCTGCCGAAGCCCTGTTGCTCATCGGCTTATAGCAATGAAAACATTCATCAACCAATTTACCTGGCCGTTCGCTCTTCCCCTCCACTAGACATGGACGCCATACTACACTACTACTAAGACTATGATATCAAACCCGCTCTATACTTATGTATTGCATCATGGCCCCGTCGGAAAAGGCATATATATAGAAACCAACGCTAGTCCAAGCTTTGTCGTTGTAATGGCCCAATCCCCAGCGAGTGTGCTGGCAAATCCTGATTGGGGTTCAACTTAGTTCCACGCCATGATTAGGTAGCTGCCAACTAGCACCACCATGTACCTGGCCAGTGGCCCAGGTACTGAATCAGGTCTCTGGCAGAGTTTCGATAGTTCAGGCTGTCATTTCTTGCTTGAGAAAGCCTCTTGATCTCGAAGCCTAAAACAGGGTAAGATGATTGGCACCATACGAAGAGAGGCCCCTTGATGATCGGTGCTAGAGTTTTCAGAGCCTGGACACGGCCAGGGCCGGCAATCGTATAAACTCCACTCTGGGCCCAACTAAAAGCACAGACCCGGTGATGATGACGATGGAGCGTTGGCTTATTCCTCCACGGTCGCACAACAAGCGGTACAACCACACGGAAAACATATCGAATGGGTTTCTCGGAAGGGGAGTAAATGTGATGGATCAGTTGTCTCGTTTCCTACGAGACAAGAGCAATTGCTGAACCACGACCCTTTCGTTGAGAGGGGCTACCAGTCCTATAAAACAGGATTTCAGCGTTGATCGTGGGGTCCAGGTGCAATTTCAGCCTCTTGGTGGAAATTGAACCTAGATGTTGCAACACCTGTGGAAACTCGGAGTAATAGCCAAAGGGTAAATTTTTACAAAAGGACAAGCCATAGGCAAGGGCTCACTGAGTCGGGTATTAATTGAGTTCAAGGGAGGCAATCCGTCCGACCCGGTTTCAGACCTGTCGAGATTCCTTGCAGTAAGTCTCACCACTCTAACAGAACAGTCACTTCTCACCAGAATAGTTACATAACTTTTTACCGAGTGCATCAATTGATGCTTGAGTGATCTTCAACCCCGTTTATGCATCCACTTGAAGAAGTTTCAGCAATAATCCACAAGTCCAAAAGGGAGACACCCCTAAGGACAGGGGAAACAGTGACTGTGTATGCCTGCGTACAAGTAGTCAGCTCAGCTTGACCCCATGCAAGTAGCTGTGCAAAAATGCGTCAGGATCGTGCGCCTCCATCCCGAACTACCCGTGAAGAAACATCAATAAGCATTGCCAGAGTACATCGGGAGACATCAATGTCAATGACTGGCAAGAAAGGTTGGAGCTTCTCAGCTACTCTCCATTTGGCTAGACTGGAGTCAGCCCAATCTCCTGGCTTCTCACACCTACAATGAGCCTACACATAAGACATCTTTCACCTAAACTGAATTGGGTGTGCAAAAATGATGCGAATGCATAGCCGGCGGAGCGGTTGTGGGAGAGATGCATGAGTAAATGCAAAACCGCATCGTCATGCACAGGTCCGGGAATGCGGGCCATGCAACTTCGTGCTTCCCCGACGGTCTAGATGCTTGCTAAATTTGTACGACAAGGTCTCGTAAAGCCGCACTATCAGTCACTCGAGCCGCCCCAGGCTCAAAGCCAGAGTGGCCTCACCTAAAATAAATGCAAATGGACAAGATGTGATCAGTGATCAGTCCAGCTGAAACGAGGATAAAGTGTAGGTAGGTAGAAGATGTTCGGCCAATCAGGGAAAGGATACGCCATGATTGAATTTGCAATGGGCATATTATGAAGTGTTTTTACTCGTCTGGAGAAGGTAACGGTTTGGATGGACGATTGCTGCCGATGGACGCATATTGTGCCAAACAGAGACCTCAGACGAAAGGAACCAAGTGAACGAAGTTCACGTTCAGGAAACAGGCTGGTTCAAGGATAGGAGCTAGGGGAACCTATTGCGGCAACGAAGCCAATATTCTGCAGACTGCACAGCAAGGACTTGAGTACCAAGTCCAGCAGAGCGGCAAGCCAGCCGTTTCGGAGAATAAATGCGGAGGGGGCAAGACCTTCTTATACCCAGAGCACCACCTGATAGACAACGACTAAACTGAAAAGATGGTTTATACCGGAAGGATCTCCGTCCTTCCAATACCTGGCTGCAGTATCCGCAGCAACCTGGAATTCTGGAATGCGGGTCGTGGCATAGTCTCTGTATAGCCAATTGTCACGAAGCAGCTGCGTCGGACGGGATCTGCTCAGAACATTGAAGCTTTCGCACTGATGAGCTACGTCCAAAACTTCGACTAAGAAGATAGCAGCTTTGACAGTCCGGTTTAATTTTCGCTCGAGGTATATGAGCGGAAGAATGACCCGCAATAGAGAGATGGAGGTCACGGACAAGGCCAGACCCATAGATCGGCTGCCGATCGGCCACCAGAGCCGTGGTTGAGGCCGGCATGTCCTGCCTCTGCCATCCGCACCCACCTCTTCTCAATGTATCTCGGATCAAGTTCCTGGGAACAGACCCCAGCCTGAGTCTGTGTCCGCTGCTCAGGAATTGCCGGCGTAATCCAGAACATTGTCTACGCAAGTTGCTCGAAATCACACTGGGAGCAAAAGGCAGGCCTCACTCAACAAAGACCTTTGGTATCGCTAGCCGCGCTTACTAGCGGGACAATCATGCAGGACCGGTCGACTGTCTGCATGCAGGCCCTAATTTTGCGCTGCCAAACCTGAACATTGGGAGTAGATAGCTGACGGCAATGGAGGCAGGCCCCTGGATCTCAGCCGACAAGGCTGCAATGCTTGAAAGTCTCAACGCGGTGGACAGCGATTGTTGACGTTATTCCATTCTCAGGCCAAGTCTGAAACTCCAGGGAAACTGCACAAGGTTATAATGCCGAGTCAGAAAACCAGGACCCCGCGTCAACAAAGTTGCGGATCGGGATTCCGCGGCCTCCCTTGCTCCAGCGTCTATGGTCTGCCGCCTTGCTGCACATCCCATCCCTACCGAAGGAGACCATGTAAGGTCTGATAGGTCCTCAAAGTCAGTGCGCTCGGACGTTCGAGCTTTGTTTACGCCTTTCTGCATTGGCATGCGCCGGGGCTCCTCCCCGACCTAGCCACCATCCAGCAATGGGGCTGCCCTAGGCCAGGATAGGCATCACTGTTATTTTTGGGGAAGATATGTATAAACATATCCCCTCCGCCCTTGCCCTTTCTTCCTTTCTGGCCATCCTCATTCCTTCGTTTTTACCTAGTCTCTCCTTTAGTCCTGTATGAACTGCATCCGTCCCTTTCATTTCTGATGAAACTTCTGCGTGTCTGAATGCACCACATCAAATCCATACCGGCGTCAGAATCATAGCCCATGGCTGACGGATATCCTCGGCCTCCCGGCGAATCCAACGCCTTTCACAGCTGCCGGAACCGATCACAGACAGCAAGCATTGTGCCAACAGCTACGCCACCTAGGAAGCGGGCATCCTCATTCTATACAGTTAGAGGGCCAGAGATTGTTGACGAGTCAGTCCCTGATCCGTTCTACCTGGAGCACAATTTAGGAGGCGCCTCTCCCTGGGGCATTCGTCGACCAGGTAGTCGCGATGTGAGAGGCAGTGAAGAAGGTAACCCGTATTCAATGATCTCTTCGGTGTATTCCAAAGACATTCCTTTTGCTGTCACTGCACGCGGTGAATCTGCGAGATTGCGATCCAATAACAACCGATCTACTTTGTCTGTGGTCGAACTAGAACATCAACTTGGGCTTCAGCAAGTCACGTCAACCCGTCCGTGGGGAACAGCCTCTGGGCATTACGACCACAGCTCGTTCAGCTCGGTGCAGACCGAAGCTACCCCAGACTTGACACCAAGCAGCTCCTTCTCTTCCAACTACTCTGCTCCTATCTACCCAGAGAACTCCCTCTCCGCGGTAGAGCCTCTGCCAGTGCAGGCCCCTCCTATCCCACCCAGCCCTAGAAACAACGTATATCCTTGTTCATCCACTCCCTTGAATCAGTCCCAGGTAACCTTGTGTACACAGCCCTCCACGCCTGTACGACAAGGACGACCACACACAGCGACGCCTAACGCGTCGTCGGATACCCTGGTCATGCACCAAGGAGACAATCACGATCCTCCCTCCCATCGTGGGAAGCCATTGCCATCTCTGCCGAATGGAGCGCGGAATGGTATTGCCCATAGCGGCAGGAAGGGCCCCCCTCCCCCAATTCGGCCTCCTATTGCTCCGTCGATGATCTCTCCTCCGTCTCGGATCAACCCGGTGACTATGGAGCCACACGCCACTCATTTTGAGAAAGCAATGTTTATACCTGCCAATGATTGTCCCAGTCCTGTACCTAGTCCCAGTCCAGGGTCGCCCTTGCTTGAGCGCTATCCCACAGCGGGCTCGGCGCGCGATCGCCCATCCACTTCTGCGTCACGACCAGCTTACTGCGAGCAGTCAGTGTGGGAATCCGATTCGGACACCGAGTCGGTCGATCCCAAGTCACTATCCAAGAAGCCAATGGATACGTTGAAAAAGGTCCGCAGTCGAGTTCATCTCCGGGTAGCCAAATCGGCGCCAAAGCTCCAACCTCCGCAGACACCCAACAGTCAGCACAGCAATCACTTGGAGAAATTCTCCTCGATGCCTGATCAGCCCCCAGAGGATCTCTGCCCGTCTCCTGTGCGGAAGACCGTCAAGGCGCGGTCACGAGAAGCTCTGCGGCCTGCGGCTCAGACGTTGCGACTGGTTGCCCCATCCACGACTTCCTTAGTACCACCGCAGTCCAGACGAAGCAGCGGTCAAGCGCGCACCATCGACATTGACCGAACAACCGCGGCTGCAATGCAAGCGAAGTCGCGGCGCCGACCCCGGTCCGACTCGAAGAAGTCACTTTCCCCAGAGCGGGAGAAAGTGTGTACCCTCTGTCGCGAAGAGCGATCCGACAAGGCGATTCTGTCCCTGGCACGACCTCCACTCTATAAACGGGTGTGGGAGTCATTGCGTGTGCTCGGCTGTCATGGCGACATTACACCTCCCCGGTCCCGCAGACCCATGTAGCTATTTCCGATCTTTTTCCTTTTCTCTGATTCCTGTTCGAAAACCAAAAGTCCGATACGGCGTTGAATGATGTACGGCTATTTGCTACGATCTACCGAAAACCACCCTTACGGCCCTGTCCGACGATGCTGAATGGATCCCCATGATTGATCTAATGTTTATGACGCTGAACGCAACGACCCGCCAAAATCCCTACCGGCGGATGATGACAATCCACATACATATGATGGATGCGCGGCAACCATCCATGCCCGCGCCCAATCAATGATTTGACGAGATGAAACCCCGCCGAGATGGAAATCTCTCCGGCAGTCTCTTCGAAACGATGCAATGCGAACGCGCTGCGATATGATTCATGTAACGATGAGGCAACGATTGATTACGATAGTTGGTCTCATACCACTCTTTTTTTCCACTTACTGATTTCTGCTGATGTCTGTATTTGTGTCCATCCTGACACCCATTTCCTTGTCTGTCTGTCTGTCTATCTACTGTCACTCGCTCCTAACTACCGACACTCACTACCCACCATTGTCTGCAATTGCCCGCACGGGCGCCTGTCACTCCCTCCAAACTACGTCAATTCCTGAGTTCATCTCATACCATAACATACCATATACAATAACAAAGATACCACATTCACAACACCATTGAATATCCCATTCCTCACCGTAGCCATCCATCCATACCTTGTACGAACACCATGTCCTCTTTCCCGATTCGAATAAACCAAAACAAACGAACCATAAAGGCCCAGATTCCTACCTAGTGAAAAGAATTTCCACCGGCATGTGTGGGGTTTTTCCAGCGAGGGGTTCCAAATTGGAAACGCTATTCGACGGGAACTAGTCTAGTCACTACTTGGTTTATCCTCCATTCATTCATCCCTTGGAGCGATGCGGCCGAGAGCGCGGCGTACTAGGGATATCCATCCCTTGAGAGAGATGAGGAGCGTCTGGCTACGGACTTTACAACTGTGTGTGCGTGTGAATGACTCGCACCGTCAAACCGGTTTTGGGCGGTTTTGTACTTTTGTAGCTGTGGCTAAATGGTCAATTTGGTCTTGTACATAAGGTTTGTCTATCGTATTTAAGAAGTTTCTTTGTATAGAGTGATAGGCTTAGTGGCGGCAGGGAACACCACTCATAATTCCAACCCATTTCTGACACCATGATGATGAACAGTATCCATGCGGTCTTTTGCTCAGCACACCTACACTTCACGTAATCATGCACATCCAGTACTTATGATCGAACCACCGCCATCACCACCAATCCAGCCATCGATAGCTGCACAACGCCATGCAAATTCCCCTCCGTACCTTGCAGCCACGTCCCGTCTCGACCATCCGGCCATCCTGTCCTGCCGTCCCGACAGCAGCAGGGGGAGGAGCCAGCCAGCCAGCCAGGTAGCCATCCCGAGACCAGACCCCGACGTATGCAGAACTGCAGAGCTGCATACAAGCAAGCAGGAAAGTTTCTGCTCAGTCGTTTGTAGAAAGGCCAGGCTAGGCTGACGTCGCCCCGATCCTCTAGTTAAATCCCGACAGGCGCAAGGGCCCGCCAGAAAACTAAAGAGGTGGAAGAAAAGAAAAAAGTACCATTCCATCCCATCCACAACCACCCCCTCAGCTCTCTTCCACCTCTACCCCCGTCCCCTCAGCAGTAACGGTATCCTTCATCTCCAACGCATCCATATTCTCCTCCCACCTCGGAACCCTCACTTTCTCCTCCCACTTCCCTATAGCCCCCTCACCCTGCCTCCCAAGTCTAACCTCGGCCTTTTCTCCCCCTGAGATTTCCTTCTCACTGATCCCCTCGAATACCTTCCGCACATCCAATTCCTTCACGGCTTGTTGGTACAATGCTAGTATCTCTGCTCGCTTAGCTTGGCGTTCCTCGTCGGTCATTGTAGAAGTAGGAGTGGCGGTGCCATTGGTGCTGGTGGCGCCCTTCCGACCCGCAGGCAGCTTCTTCACCACGGCTTTCTGGCTCTCGTCGTAACCGCGCAGCACACCCTCGAGAATACCGAGGATAGTACCAGCGCGCATGCCGAGTTGTGCGCCGATGGGAAAGCCGGCGTCAAAGCCGGCTTGGACATGGGAGGTTTTGGAGGCGCTGATGCCGTCGCGGTAGCCGGCTGTGACGTGTTGGCGGCGGAGGGAGGGGAGGTCGGAGGGTTCGGTGGTGGTGGGCGGGTTGGGGTGAGCGTGGTGGGTTGTGGGAGGCGGGGAGGAGCCGAAGATGTCGTCGAGGGTGGACATTTTTGATGGTACTTCTTAGACGATGTAGATGTGTATTTTGTGTATTGTTTGTTAGGTAGATGATGGGTGGTGTTGGTGGTGTTGGTGGTGTTGGTGTTGGAGAAAAATTTGGGCGGGGAAGTGATGGGATGAGATGATCGGCTGGCGGGGTGGGTCGGGGATGGTGGGGTTGTTTAATCTATTATCTACTAGGTACGAGAAGCAGTAACAGACTAATATGATTATTGAGATTTCATTTCCAATTGAAAAGACTATTTGTTTCTATTTGATCTTGGTACCATACTAATATCCAAATTGCGATGTGACTGTGTTAGTCTACAAAACATCTCCATCTCCCCTCATCAGCCTGCATCAGGCTAACTCCTTCAGCACAATCCCAGCAACAATAGGCCAGCTCCTCCGTGCTAATTAGCGGAACATAAGGTCATACGACCGAGTCCGTCTCGGAGCCTGATCCTCAAACGAGGGATCTTCACTATTTATACCCGATAGCTACTATCTACGGCAACGCCAATATAAACCTCGGCCGGCCTTCCTTTGTTCCCTTTCCCTAGTACTACTTACTACCGCTTAAGTGCCCAACAATTTTTATATCCGCGCATAACCACTCCAAACCTCATCTACTAGTAGTATTGATTCATCCACCCTACACCTCCTCCAACAGACAAAAATAGAATGCGCTCCTCAACCCGCCTGATTCTCCTCACCACACCCCCCCCCATCCTAACCTACACCACCCATCGCTACCTCTCCACCCTCGAAGCCAAATATCCCCCCATCGACCCAACCACCACCACAAGCCTCGCTCTCCGCACCCCCAGCAATCTAACAACCCAACACTGTCCCGAAGTCGACGTCTACGAAGCCAGACACATACCCGTGAAATCGCTACTAAAGCGATACTCTACTCTTCTCCAATCTCAGCACACCGAAACCCATGACTTTAAGAATTCGAATAAAGCAACCCTAACAAACGCCTGGATCCTCACCTTCCTCAACACCCGTCCGTTGATAGTCGAAGGCAGCATCATCGGCTTAATCAAAAACAAATCCTACAACCCGGGGGATACGGGCCTCACTGACCCGGAGTTCATCACTGCACCCACGAACACATCTACATACATTTCCAGATTCGCATCCATCTTCACCACCCCGAAACCCCAAGGTTCAGACCACACAATAGAAAGAGCAAAAGGAGGGGGCCGCCCCCTCCTGAATTCTGCCCTCACAGTCCAAGCATCCTCCCCCACAACAGGCCTCCTCGTATCATGGCACATGCCCGATGAACCGCGCCTCTTCTTCGAGAAAATAGCCCGCTGGGGATACCCGTGGCGACTGATGAGCGGGGGCCGACACGAGATCAACATCTCGGAGGTGTATATGTACCAGGGGGAGGAAGTAGTAGATGTACGGTTCGCGTCAGCGCATGATTATGAGGTAGTGGGTGATGAAGAACAGAAGCAGAAGATTGTTCCTGCTTGGGTGGGCAGGTTGCATCGCGGGTATGCGAGGGCGTTGGTGGATTGGGCTGTGAGGGATTTGGCCGAGGCTTGAAGTAAGTGTATTTTGGCTTGAACGTGATCTCCGCTCTGTACAGTATATATATACCATTGTTTATGTTTAGTACACATCTCATCTCAACTCATCTCAAATAATATCATCACATCACATCATATCACATCAAATCATCTACTACTAAATGGAGCAAATGGAAAGAGAAGAAAGAATGTTAACAATCCCCCCCATGCTCAACAACCCCCCACCCCTTCCACCCCCAATACTTGACACACACTTCCCATCCATCGCGAATGACCTCTACCCTCCCGCTTCCATTGCCGCTCCCGCATACATCATACAAACATAGATCATATGTCGTTGCGCCGGGACTCTTCCATGAGAAGGTGTCCACTGCGGATACATTCACGCTGGCGTCGTCGAGAGTCTCGCATCCATCTGTGCCTGAGACGCCTTGTCGGTGGAAGATGGAGAGGTCGAAGCTGGTGGTGTTGGGGTCGCAGCCTGGTGTGAAGAGGCGGAGGTCCCACTTTATAGGTTCTACAATGTTAGTGTGGGAAGGATTGGGTGGAGTGGAGGAGGGACGTACGTTTTTGAAGCGGAGGATTTCAAGGGAGGATGTATAGGCTGTGGGAAGGAAGAGGAGGGTGGTTATGGTGGGGAGGAGGGTGAGCTTCATTTTTTGATACTACTGAGTAATCACAGTAACTATTCTTGTGAAGGGACGGAGGAAGAACGTGGTAGAGATACTTGAGGGGGTTGGGGATGTCTATACTATTTATACGCAACAGGTCCCTGCAGATCAGGCACGCTAGTGCTTCACATCTCCGCTAATGCAGGGATCCGGACCAAAGAGCGAACCATGGGCCTCGCTTACCCTCGCACAAAGTGTCATCTGGATACTTTCAATGCACCCGTCTGATTCTTCATGTCTAGAACTCTTGAGGTTTTATGCTATATTTAAATACATTGTCCACTGACTAGTGTCTGCCCGGGGTTAATCTCCACGCCCGGAGAGGCAGACCCTGCAGTTTCAAAACGGCCGGCCGGATGAAGAAGAAAAATGTCACTACGCCAATCAACACGCACAGGATATTTGTCGTGTAGTATCCGTCGTGCTGGACGTGGCAGGTGCCTCCTCCGTTGACGCAGCGCGTCCGGTCTGGCTCCAGTGCGCATGAGAAGGCCTCCGTGACGAGGTCACCCTTTAGTTTCTCGGACGGCGGGGGCACCGTTGGTGGAACACATGTCGCTTCGGTGAACATGTCAACCAGCTTAAGGATGAAGTATCGAGGGAATGTACCGCCCAGGTTGGAGACACTGTTGTTTGAGTGATTAGTAAAGGTTTTTATGTATAGTAGGGTAGCAGGACTTACGTTGCGAGCATTGTCATGTAGGTGCCGCCGATGCTGGGGTCGGCGATGCGCGCATGGAATGCACTCACCGCCACAAACATCACCGTGTTCATGAATGTCGAAAACACATGCTCTCCAATCACTGTCAGGAGGTACCAGAACGGGACCTGGTCGGCCGACGGGAAAATCATCACCGTGATCTGGGCCAGGACGGCTGCCGCCAGTCGTCCGATGAACGCCCAGCACCACAGCCGCATGGGCGTGTACTCCGTCGACCACTTGCCGGCGTAGTATCCCAGTCCGATTTCAAAAGGAAAGTCTATCAACACCACTAGCGCCATGTTGTCTTGACCGAACCCCTTGTCTAACAGTTTCAAACTCGTCACGCCGTCGTTGGCTTGGAAACCAATCTTGGCAATCAGATGAACCAGGATGATGGTATGGATGTTCTTGAGCTTCAACACATTCCACATGCTGCGGTACACGTCCATGATGCTATCGCGTTCATGCGTCCGGTCTTCCTTCTTCATGACGGCCAGACAGGTCGTAACAACAAGATAAGCCCATCCCCAGAACTTCAGGTACGTGCCCAGCGACAGCAATCCACCTTCCGCAGGAACGGCCCGGAACCAGCGATTAGCAAAGTCGGCCGAGTTGAACGCCAAAAACACAGTGTAAGACAGGAAGTGGCCGGCTGTTAATCCCACCGTCTGGGCAGTCGAGGCGTAGGAGATATTCGGTGGCGACATGAGTGTGATTGCCCATCCATCGACCGCAATATCCTGCGTGGCGCAGAAGAACACCAGCAAGAACCACCAGTATGTAAATTTCCAAACACCAGCACCTCCATTGGCGCCAGCCTCCTTCATCATCTCTTCAATGCTTCCGCCCAGGTAGATCATGGCCAATCCGGCGATGACCTGGACGGGCGTGATCCAACTCTTGCGTCTGCCGAACCGCCGGCTCCAGATGGCATCGACAATAGGGCTCCAAAGCAGCTTCAACGAGTATGGGTAGGATGCGAGTGAAAAGACACCGATTTGACCGTACGACAGGTACGGCTTCAGTAGGAACGGGACCGACCCAGTAGCCAGTCCCATAGGAATACCCTGGAGGAAGTATAGCACACACAGCAGCAGAAAGTTTCTCCGGTCGCTGGCGGGCAGATTCGCGAACGAGGTTGTCGTCATGGCGGGCGTTTGCGGGGTCATTGGAGGATCTTGGTCAAGAGTGAAACTGGGACGTGACATGAGGCGATTCGCCCGAGCGGACGTGGACTCGACAGAGGTGTCCCTCTTTCGCATCTCGATGGAGGAATCCATGCTGTCGCTCGCGTAGCCGTTCTGGCCCGTCGCTATGGTCAAGGAGGGCTTCGAGCGGCGTTTCAAGACCGTGCGGCCTTTGCGCTTCATGGGTGATTTGCCACGATGGGAGGAAGAGTGCGGGTGTCGCGAGTGTAGAGAGTGACTGGGGGAATCCGAATCGGAGTATTCGGGCTCAGATGGTGAAGGCGAGAGAAAGGCGGAGTGTCCGGGGCGATTGTCCGAGGGGTGGTCTGTGTAATGCAAAGGATGGTCGTGTTCACGCGTGTCGGTGCTGCATGCTAGAGACTGGAGTTCCACCTCCTGAGGACGATCCGCTGCGGAATGACGATGTTCGTGGGAAGAGTAGGGATCCGCAGGGTCATGGAGGGAGGAAGAAGCGGAGAAAGGGGGCACACGGGAAGAGGGAGACGAAGGAAGGACTGGAACAGGCCGGGATGAGGCATCCATGCGACGTGGTGGAGAGAGAGGCGACTGAACTTGAGGCAAGCTGGCCTCAAGCGTCAAGCTTGTTTGTCCACAGCTGTTTGGCTGGAACCGGCGATATCTCCCTTATGATTGGCTGCGGTTAGCCGTCATTATTAATGTTGCGCATTAAGGGCCTGGCGATCCCTCCATGCGGTGATTCTTCAGATGCAGATGGAATACCTTAGTAAAGATCTCGTGCTGGGGTAATTCTGTGCGACAACAGAGCCTCCAATTATTCCTACTCGAAGCTACAACTGAACCTCTTCACCATAGGTTGGATACTTATACAATACAGTGACAATACCAACCCTATTCAACACGCACACACATCAATAGCCTATTCAGGGATAAACATTCAAGACTCCTCGCTCCCAAAGTAAGGACTAAGTCAAATGCCAGCCGACCCAGCGCGGTGGATCACAGACCAGGATACAATTCACCCGCCAATCGAACTGCAACCTTGAAAGGAGCCGCGGGCCCGGATTCCCCTCACGTGATATTCCTCCTGTCAACAAACACCGCCCATTACCACCACCAAACAAAGCAGTACGTAGTATCTATCTCCGCCCGAGCTCCATCCACCACTAAACCCTCCACCTTCCAAACAACATAGTCCCCTATACCAAGAAAATGGACACCGACGACCTTGACTCCGAAATCTCCTCCATCCGCGCAGAAAGTACGCCCCAACCCTCCCATCCCCATCCCCCCCCACAAACCAAAACACCAACACTAACCCACCCGCGCAGTCCGCACCCTCCAACATCGCCGTCGCATCCTAACAAGCAGCCTCCTCTCCTCGCGCCCCCTCCAACGCCTTGCCAAATCCCAACCACCAACTCTCCCTTCCCAACAGCAATGGACCGACATTTCCCCCCTAATCCAAAGCACCTCGACCCACGCGCAAACAAATCACCACCGCATCGCCTTCTCCACAACCACCTTCCCATTCACGGACCCCTCCCCGACATCTGAATCCCCCAACCTCCTAGGCATCAGGATAGATATTTGTGCGCGCGACGGAACATACACCAAACCGTACTACATACTCCTCCGACGGACAGCACACAAGACACAAGATGGGAAGAGGGAAGTGCGCGTGCATAAGCATACCGTTCCGGCGGTGGTGGATATGAGGAAGTTGGAGAGGGTGTTTCTGCCGGCTTCATCCATGACTACTTCTCAGGATGAGGAAGACGCGATGGAAGAGGAGCAGGAGCAGGAGCAACTGAAACCATGGAAACACAAGGCGCGCAAACAGGATCTCAAGTCCTTTGTTCGGGAGGTGCGCAAGCAGTTAGTTGTGTGGCATTTACGGTGCGATGCGGTGCGCTATCTGCGAGAGAAACTGGGCGTCGTGACACGTGGAGTAAATGACGACGACGGTATTTATGAGGATGATGAGAGGCCCTGGGAGAGGGATATTCTTGGCCCTAATGCTTCTACAACGGCTGCTACTGGAGGTTCCGGTGCTGGGGAGGAGACGCGCATAGCGAAAAATGAACTTGGGATTGTGTCGTTGGCGCCGACGGCGTTGGAGGCGGTCTATGTGCGGGTGGAGTGGGAGGATGGGCGCGTGGGGAGGTTCAAGATCTCTAATACGGGGGTCGTGGAACGGGCGGTGGTGCTTGGGGATAGTGGTAGAGATAAGCAGACTGAGGGGGTTATTACGGGCGGGGACGGGAGGGTTGAGACTTTGCTGGAGCGGTTGGGGAAGCGTCGCGGGAATAGTAAGGAGGTTGGGTCTGCTTCGCCGGCTTCTGATGTGTGATTGATTGATCGTTTGATGCTTCTTCGGGTGCTTATTGGCGTTTACTGGGTGCATTGGCTAGCGAGCTGTACCTTCAGATACTCCAGATTTTGGTTAGAATTTATCCTGTCATAAGTGTGGGACTGATCGTCCTATTGGAAACATAAAGCAAGGTCTATTATAAGGGGAATGTCCACTATCAACGCTATGCACATGAATGAATCTGTATAAAAGCGGCTGTCGTGTATGATGCTTGATGCTCGCTCCTGAACAGCACCAGGCAGCAACAGAAGAATGTAATGAAGAAAAGGCCAAGGAGTGACAAGAAAAGAAGTAATTACAAAAAAAGGTAATAAAAGTAGGGTGAGTATATGAGACATTAGTGTAGTAGTAGTATATAGGAACCGCATATATGCATGATGAGACCGAGGGAAAAAGGAAAGGGTATCACTTAGGCATCACATCATAATCAAAGCACCTGTCCCCCTCTCTTGTGGTGCACCGGTCCCTCATCACCGCTGGCAGCTCCTGTCTGGTCGGTCACGCAAATGGCCGAGTCGCGCGTTTCATAATGCGAGTCGCTGAACGACAAAGGGGGCAGCGGGCCGTACGGCTGCCCGTGTTGCACTTCCAGTTTCTTTCGCAAGATGGCTTCTTCCAGAGCCCAGCGATGTCGTAATTTCGACTTTTTGGCGTCAAAAGCTTGTAGAATGTCCGCTTCTTCCTGCTGATGCTTTTGCTGCATCTGGGCAAACTCCAAGGCATGCTTGTCAATCATATCGTCCAGCTCTCTTTCCATTCGCGCGATGGCCTCTTGAAGTCGAAGTTCTTGGCGATCGCGCAGCACCTTGATCTTGGCTTGATGCAGTTGGTCCATGGTGTTATGGTCATGATACTCCTGTGCCAACTGAGCCTTGTGTTGCGCGGTGAACTTGCGACTCGGCACCACGTCTGCTTTCGAACTGGATACGGGCGATGGCGGCGGGCTCGAGTTGTTGAAGAACCCTTCCATGTACTTGATGCGCGTGCGCGCGTTCACTTTTGCGCGTTCGAATTCTCGCATTTGCTCCATTTCCACTGTGAGCTGTCGTTCCTCCATGCGAACGGCATCGGCGGTGTTCTGCAGAGGTCAGTATGTAAGATACAGCCTTCAATATCGGAGACGAACCTTCTCACGCTTCTTCTCTTCCGCGCGCTTGTTCTCCGCAAGCTGGTCCGCAACGATAGATTGCTGTCTCCGCCGCAGTTGTGCCATGAATGCGTCCTGAAAAGCATTGTGCCGATTCATCTCCGCTATATGGGACTCGCGCATCTGGTATAATTGTGCATCATGCAAGCTTCGCTGCATCGATTCATTGTCGAAGACGGGGATCTCAAGCCTGAGAACCTGCTTATCTTCCTCGGCAGAATCGCTGTTTTGTGCTTCCGACGGTCTCGACTCGACATATACTCGTTCGACGCCTTTCTCGCCCTTGGCGACGGTGATCTGCGCGGCCGGCGGAAGAAGAACCGGAGATGGCGATCGCTTCTTCCTAAAATGGATCTTCCCGATTGCCGACTTGAGTGTTGATTTTCTCCTTTCCCTTTTGTCCGCGGAGGTCATGCTAAACATTGATGCACGGTTCCCAGGTGGCCTTGCCGCGAGGCTATCTATCCCCGGCGCCAGCCTTCCCTCAAATGAGCTATAAGATGTCGGCCGAGTGGACATGGACGCGAATGACCGAGTGCTGCCACCCTGAACAGGCTCGGAGGCCACGGTAAAATCGGAGAGGGACGAGGCGAGTTGATCGATCTGCGGCGGGGTCTCGATGGACGGAACGACTTCGTAGGTAGAGTTGCGATCGGTCGAGGAGCCGGAGGATCTGATGGGGGAGGACAAGTCCACCATACCGGAGGCAATGGATGCAGCTAACGATGCCACCACCTCGACTTCCGGCACCTTTAGCCCCAGTTGACGTGCATCCTCCACCAATTTTTGTTCTTGCGCCGTTTCTGATTCCTCGGAAGGTAGAAGAAGAACCTCAGTGCGGTACCGAGACTCGTCAACCTCGGTGAAATTTATCGGCTCCATGATGCAATTGGCGATAGGCGGGATCGTTAATCACACATGGAGCACGTATCGCGGAAAAATATGACACTAATAACAATAACGCCGACAGGCAGATCGGAAAGTAAGGATATGGGCAATAAGAAATAATAAAGGAAAAAAAGAAAAAAGCAAAAGGGGGGTTCTAGTATCAAGAACGCGAATCGCGAGACGCTAGATGGCTCGTCCACAGTACTAGAAGCACAGTGGACGAGAAGAAGGCGCTCAAGAGCAGCATCCGACTTGCGGGGAGGGGCGGACTCTGGAAAGAGACGGGATGGGAGAAAGAGAGGGAAAGGAGGGCGACTCGTCGACTGAGGACGGAGGAGTCCAAAGAGAGGGAATGAGCTAATGAGAGCGAGGATTACTCTGCGGCGGGCCAACAGCGAGGAGCAGAGGCAATGCGACAACCTGATTTGGGCCTCAAGTTCGTTATTGTTATTATTGCGACCCACGGCCCGCCTGACCGATTCTTCCTCATTAAACGGCGGCGGAGGCCAGTGGTAATCTGCTGCATCCACTATGGGGGGTGGGCTGGTGGTGTGCTTTAGTGTGTATGGGGGAAGAACCAGGAAGTTAAGGGAAAAGATCGTTGCAGAATCAGCACGTTGATTATCAGGCCGCTTTTACTCAGATGTTAAAATTAATACCCCCTGTCACCAGAACAGAAAGCAAAGAAAAGGGGAACAAAGAAAAAAAAAAAAGGTGATGGATAATAGCCATTGTGAATCTGACACAGTGACCAACCAGGCTGTCAGCCATGTTGCTCTCATCCTCGGGACCGACTCAGGCACCAGGGCGTGGATACGTTACCCGCGTAATCCTCATACCTCCTTCCCCGTTTTGCCTGGCAAACCGCCGTCACTTCTGAAACAACCCCCTCAATCGGGCCATGTTGTAGGGTATAGGGTAGGGCCGCGGGTGTCAGCCGCCCACCACACAGCGTCAACCGCGGTTTCAGCCACTGCAACACCATGGCTTAAGGTCAGGAACCGCCGCTTCAGGATCCCACGCGGTCTCATATAAGGATTGGCATGGTGGCCCACTGTTCCTGAGTTTTTGCTTTTCCAGACCCTTCTCTTCATCACGCTTTTTTTCTCCTCGTCCAGTAGCATGCTGATCAATTGAAACCGATGGGGTCGGTAACTGCTGGCTCGCTCCCTAGTGCCAGACTAGGCAGGAGGGGGTGGTGATGGTGGTCTGATGTTTCCATGGATGGCTTGAGTCTTAACAATCCCGATCACTGACCACCTTCACCGCTTTTTACCTCGCGCTACACATTAAGAAAGTGAGGGTGCGATCAAGAAAATCTCGTTTGAGGTAGATTTGTGTCTATGATACATCTCTAGAGACAAACATCTACCTGGACAACATGGCAGCCGCCATGGCATACGTCTTCTCTCTTGCATCACCCTGCACCGTTCCTGGGCGAGCAGATTTATCCCAGCCGTGATTGCAGCCCTGCATCCGCTGCCGCACCACCTCCTTCCCCGGTTCCTTGGCAATTTTCTCCGCCAGCGCCTCCGCCTCAGGCGCCAAGTTGTCGCAGGCCGCAGTGACAATCATCACCCGCGCAGGGAATCGGTCTGCGCTTGCATAAAGCGGCGATATCCTCGGGTCTCGGGTATCATATGCAGCATGCGTGTAACACCTGTCAAAAATCTTCGAGATGACAGCGGGGATCGCTCTGCCTGAAGTATCCGGTGCGGTCTTCAACGCCGGGTCCGTATGTAGATCCACCACGGGATAGACCGCCAGAACGGAGTGGAAGGTTTCTGGCGGAAACAGGTTGGCCGCAGCTGCCAGGGAGAGGTTACCGCCCGCACTGAAGCCGGACAGAGAGACACGGCCAAGATCAAATTTCTCGGGCTGTCCCAGAACCCACTTGGCCACATCCTCGGCATCATTGAGAGCTGCGGGGAAGGGGTCCTCGGGTGCTAGGCGGTACTGGACATCGAGGACTGTACGGTCGGTTTCGCGACTCATCTGGCGACAGTATGCATCGTCGGCTCCGTGACGAGGGAGCATGAACCCACTGCCATGGAAGTTGATCAACACGGGGGTCGGCCCTGTGGATGCGGTTGCATTTCGGTAGACGTGGGCTTTGATGGTCCGTCCTGAGTCGCGTGACGGAATCTGATAGACGTCATCTGGCGTAGCTTGCGTATTTTTCTTAGGGGCGATGAATCGCCTGATCAAGAACGCAAGGACTTTGTAATAAAGGTAGACGATGGAGAACATTGCGGGGTTGTGTGCCGTTGCCGAGGAAGACGGACCGTCGCAAAAGGTGAGATCAGCTCAGGTTGAGAGCCAGAAAGCAATTGCAGCACTGCTGTACGTTGATGCTCAGTAGGAGACGGAATATGAATAGGAGGTTTGGTAGGCACCAGAGTTGTGCCGAACGAACTAATTTCCCCTCTTATCTCGCTCCACTCGTTGATGACGAAATATTCGCGTGGCTATCACCAGCGTTTTGGTCGGTCCCACTAACGGGCCAATCCACAAGCCACCCATTCCGCCCAAAGCTTAGTGTACGAGGCGATACCTTTCTATAGCATTCGAGCAACGCTCGTAGAATTTCACCAGATACCATTGGTAAGACTCGACAACCTCATGGTAGGACAAAAGGGGTATCAACTCCGCGAAATTGTTGTGTGAATCTCGATTTTCCGCTATGTTCCGAACATCATGGAAGCCGAGGTAGTCATGTCTGTTGTCATGTTATCTCTGCCATTTAGCTAGCAGGACAACGATGCGCAAGTCTGAGTTTGAAGTGAGAAATTTATTTCTATATTCTGAGACATAGTGAAGTATGAGCGTTACTTTATGGAAAGCATAAAGTGGGTTTCTTCGTTACACTTTCCTCATGCCTCAGCTACTAACCCCTTTCCGAGCGGCCAGCAGATTTATACTAATAGTGCCATCTTAGAAGTCATGATCGAGGCTAGATAAATACTACTGCTTTTGAAAAGGCTCCCGAATATCTTGACTTTATTGACGCACAGACCACTAGTATTTCCAAATCGTCAATATCCTAGTAACATCGAGAGAAACCTACAAACTAGAATTTCGCTTATTGGCGGAATATAGGCCAGGAGAAAATCAGTACCCGAGCGGAGGATGTCAGTGTAATAATGCTAATATCTATCAAGTGAGTCAGCAAATTCTGTAACTAATTAGCCTGAAGGGAAAGAAATGTTGCTATCAGGAAGGACACATCAGTACCTCAATAAAATGGCAATTCCCAGAGTTTGGTAGTATATTGAGTAGGTAAAACTTCACAGGGAAGTGTAAGCTAGATGTCAACCTTTAGAGAGTTAAGTTTGACCTGCGTGAACCGGATAGATGGGATAAGGCAACGTAGGGAGCTCATTTTAATGGTAAACCACGAGGAATAAACTGATTCATTGAATAAGTGCAATAAAGGCGTAGGGTAGTAGGATGTCTATAATTAGCAGGTTAAGAGTCTGCTGCAGAGGAAGAGTTCAGTTAGGGCAATTGTATCAACCGACTCATCTTATAGTAGTAATATATTATTTATATTATGTCTTCGGAAATCACTACACTTATCAGGCTAATAATCCTTTAGGGACTATGTTATTCCATATATAGCACTAATATGCCTTGAAATATGCTTTGCGTTAGATGATAATACTGAGCTATTCCTTTCTTTGGACCCCTCTACATACGCAGTCATTAAACATAGTGCCATAGTCTATATGAAAATCAACATGAGAGGAAAATATTGATTGACTGCAGCCCGAGCAGGCAGTCTTAAGACGGCAAGTTCGGGACAGGGACTGAAACCCAACCTCCCTCGCCAGTCTCCTCTCGACGAGAAAGGACCTGTAAGTCCCACCTCCCGCAGTATCCATCGTAATTAGCAACTCGTGTCACCTTCGAAAATGAACCCCCTTCACTCGATTCATCCTCAACCCAGACCGTCTCTTGTACTTCCTCGCCTGGGATCTCTGCTCGGCGGGGGTTATAAAACGGAAGGCCAAACGCGGTGCTGGAAAGCCAATGGGCGACAGAATAGAGCCTCTCCACCCGACGGGTAATTCTAAGCCAACTGAAAGAGCGAGGGTGGTAGGCCACACGAATGAAAGGATTCATGTAGATGCCTGAATCCTCCTCATCCTCTCCTTCAACATTCTGGGCATCCATAGAAGACGAAGAGGGCCAGCTTTGAATATCTGCGTGTATCAAACAACATTCAGACGATTCCCAGAAAAGATCCTCCTCACTGCGAAATTGCACAGGCACGCGGCGTCCGCGGTAATAGGTTGGCTGATCCGTGTCTGCTGCTGTTGGAGTCCCGCTCTGGAAAAACCCGGCATCGAAGGCAACCATTCCTCCCCAACAGCTACGCACCCGGACTGCATCAGTTTCCTGCAGAACATCGGAGCGGCTCTGCGCTTTACCCGCAGTGGTGAACCATGGAAAGAACGGGAGTCCCATGCCGTAACCCTCAAGGTCGCGCGAGGCAAAGGTATCGTAGAACTTGAACGGGTTGATAAAGTCGACTGCACACGCAGCTCGATAGTCAGGACGGCCGTCGCGGGTATGTGTCGAGAACAAAAGCTGCAAGGCATCCAGGGGATCGAAGTAGACATCGTTCAGGAAGAGCAGGCGGTCGAACCGATGGTTCAGATCATCTAAGGGACGTAAGGCCCGGTTGCGGACCTCTGCTAGAAAGGCCACGCGGCGCACGTGGCTGGAACCATCGGGTAACGTAACGGTGGGAAAGCCCGTGAAGTCGAAATGCTTGTCGTACACAATAGATTTGTTACAAGGGACTCGATCACTTAGTGCCCACAATGCTTGCTCGCCACTCGCATCGCTGTCATTTTCGTAGATGCTCAGGAAGACACGGTCCGGCCCGATCATGTCGATCAGATCCAGGAGGCTCTGGCCCCACGCGCCACCCGCCAAAGCTCCAGTCTTGTCATAAAGGCTGACCGCGATGAAGACGGTAGAGTTGTGTATATTTCCCCGGCCTGAAGTTGTGGAGCCTTGGACGGCTGATTGCAGGGCCCGATAGTGAGGTGGCAAGTGAGTATAGGAAGGGAATAATACAAAGGTGGTAATAATCAGGCCAGACAGGATGCAGAACAGAAAAAAGACAATCCTACGAACTGTGAAGGTAGCAGTAAAGTAGCGCCGTCGTATGCGCCACTTCACTGTTCGGGATGTCTGAGACAAGGTGGCTATCAGACGATCGACGCGGGAGACTCGAGAACGAGTGGGATACCCATCTATGGAATCATCCCTCGCCAATTCAATCTCTTCGTCCTCGTCAAACGAGGTGCGAGCGACGGGCTCATACAAATTCCTCGTAGATCGTCCCATGTTGTGTGTGGCCACGACAGTGTCAAATATTACTCCTGAGCGCAAGGCTGACGGGGGGATCTGTAGGTCGGGGCCTACTTCATATTTCTTCTGGGCGCTTACTTTTGGGCTTACTGAGCGAAGCAAACACTTTGCCTTTTCGAATTTAGATTCATGTGAATGCCGATCGCTACATTTATTTTGGTCATTTTGAGCTGCATGATTTACTAAGAAAATAGTGCTTCTTTCAACCAGTAATATGTAATAAGCGAAGGTACCTACCAACTAGGATTAGTACAGCTGCTAGCATAGTTACTACTGCAGCTACTAGAGCGTGGCTGAGACCACAGGCAACACTATTTGGAGTAGCACGGTAATTCCTTGAGAAAATCAAAACGCCTAACCAGGTTGCTGTTGATGGGGCAGATTTGGGGGAATTGAGGATAGAAATAATAAGAACGAGGAAGCCGGTTACTTTCTTTTTTTTTTTTTACAGTGTAGCACTACCTACCTATGTACCATATCAACAAGTCAGCCTAAAGGCAGCAAAAGCTGGGTGGTCTGATTGGTGATGGATGTAGTCTAAATAATATTAAACGCTGAGAGATGGAAGGGAACCTCAACGTAACGTTGCTACCGTAGGATCGCCTGAGGCGCCCTGGAGTTCGCCGGGAAAGACCCGTCATTTTGCGGTGGGTCTGAACCCTACCCGACAATCCTCCGGCGTGTCTCGTGCCACCACACATTGAATCTGACCTGGCCGTTTCTCGACGGCTGGCAAAGCTTAAGCTGACGTGGTCTATCCATCCGTGTCGCTGACTCTGGCAACTGTTAGCCTCAGTAGCGCACAACGACCAGAATTGTCTGCAGCACATTGAAGCATCCCAGAACCACAAAGTGCTAGTCGTAATTGATCTCGTTGAGAGTGCAGGGATCTCAACTGAGACATTCTAGAGTGCACTAGGTAGTTAGTATGTCTTACCAGGGCCCTAGTACTGGATAGATATTATTTATCCCGGTTAGCGCCTGTGTCATGGCCGGCAGCCTGAGGCTAATTGATCCAGAAAGCCCTTACCGAATACGAATAAGGCAGATCCACTCGGTCTGGTTCTCATATATGTGCTGTGATTAGTAGGCTAGGAGGGTGTAGGGTCTCGACTTCTCCAGCGATGTATTTTTCTCGACAGCTCATGAAGGTGGTGCTTGAAGTAGGCCTCCTCCCTTTGTAGACCATTCATTCGCAAAGCCTGCCCCATATTAAAACACCTGAGATCTAATCGCTTTGAAAATACCTGTCTACATATTCTTCTTGACGAGGCACTCGATGGTCCGCTGTAAAATAATCTGCGTGTTACTGAGTACACATTGGCCAGAGTGTGCGGGTGTCATAGGGTCCATTTTGAAAATACTATACTTGGACTAGTATTTCGAGACTCCGGGACGGGACCTAGCCGATGATAAGACAGAGTGGCAAACATCATTCCAGAATATACAGACATTAGTATCATGACCTAGCTTGGGATAAGCCGAGTTTGATACGGGGAGGCCATTTTCATCTCATACTTATAGAGATCTGCCTAGAAATCTGGTCATTCATACACAGATGCCAGATTCTGAGCAGACATCCGTCTCAATAGTTGTCTGAGGCAGGTAAATAGTAAACTTGGTGTGGTCCTGCGGAGGTACTGATGTCTTCTTGCCTGCTCAGTTGCTTACCATTCTGCAGGCTCTCAACTCGACCTATTGACCTATTGGTGGGAGCTGACTTGGGTGGGTTTGATGGGCCAGAGCGCTGGGTTCGCCTGCGCACTGTGCATGCTGTTGAGCCACCAGGCTCACCCTCAGCGCCTGATCAGTGTTGTCCCCAGGCTTGGGGAGTGCTTTCCGGCACCCTGCCCCGCCACCAACTCCGCTCCCCTGTCACCTTGTCCTCCTTCCGCTCCTCCCCCCTGTTCCCCAAGCCACCCTCCACTCCATCCCCTCATGTCCCTGGCTCACCCCCGCTCCACCCCCACCCTGACAATCGGCTTTCCGTCCGCATGTCACGGGATTTCCGCCGGATAATATATACTCTCGAATTCTTGTCGTCGCCAGCTCCCACCTACCGCCATCGCTGCACCACGTAGGGATATTTGTCGGGAGTAATACTTTGGACTCTTGCGGCTGTTATCTTGGAAGATCCTTGCCATTTCCTGTTCTTGAAACAGTTGATGGGATTGTATGAGTACCCTTGTCGAACAGTCTACATTTGTCATTTGAGCATTTAGCAGTCGCCACATGTTCAATTACTATATAAATTTACACAAGGTATGAGAAAGGGGAGAGAAGTGGATATCCCGCATTCTCTTTGTCAGTTAAAGAAGCAAACAGACAAGATGCTTTATTCGATCATGATTACGTCCTCTATACATACTTGAAATCACTGCTACAAGAACAACTAGCCTTTCAAGCTATTTCAGATACGTCAATTTGAATCTGGCACACACTCTCTAATCCCAACCCTCCCGAAAGGACCACCACAGCTTAGCGCCTCCTTAGATACGGATTATCCAGAGTTCTATCAGCGATCGGAAGATATGGGACAAGATCACCCAAGATAGCACCAATGCCATGTAAAATATTGCGTTCTCGTCGGTTTTCGCCAAAGATACTCAAAGTATCATCCTGTTCATACTGCACCACGGTAATGTTGTGTCCACGAAGCACAGCTCCGAACTTTGGCCAACCAGCACCGGGGCAATACTCACCACGCCTAAATAGATCACGTATAAGACCCATCAAATCATCTTTATCGGCTTCTTCTGGACCTGAAACGGCCAGAAACACTGGACACCTATAAGCCGTGCTGGTGACAACAAGGATTTCATACTTGATAAGGCGGCCAGTGAAAGACAGGTAACTGTGGTCTTTTATAATCACAGAGCGCAAGTCACCTTCCTCGAATCCTGCTTCATCGACGTAGCCGTGTCTATCGAACCGTTGTACCCACTGTTCTTGAAGGGTACGCGAGAGTAGACCGATATACCCGTGATCAGGGGCTGGCGTACTCGATGTTGGGGCATACATTGCGGACGATGTATGAGAGCAGATATGGTACGATAAATAGTGTGTCTGTGTGCGAGTTGTAAAGTAGTCGATAGATATATGGACGAAGCTTGCAGTTGATACCAGTGAAAGAGCGATTGCCGGTCTGATATACAGAAAGAGAAGCCAAATGAAGGGGTTCCAAGGCTCCTTATATAGTATTAATTTTCATCATCCACACCAGACGCACGTGCAGAAGAAGCCATTGAGGATTGCGTCGCTGCATGCCTCAACTATATGACTTCCATTATTATCATACGTACATCTCCGTCAATTACCTCTCTGTTGCGCTGATAAGATTCTATTCCCTGTGCCTCGAGCAGGATATATTCCAATTCTCCGGATGACATCCCTATAATAGTGGGAAACAACCCAGAGGGCGTCAGATTCACATACGACAATATGCAACTATCCATCACATACTCATATAAGAATTCTTGGCCTGCCATGAATGAAACGGAATCAACCTCAGACATTATCGCACGGCTTTAGAAAGACTGTAGAATAGCTCTCTCCATCTGTGCCTTTTTCTGGCCAACACAACACATATACCAATCGGGAAAATCAGTTCACTCATTCAGTGCACCAATCTTGATCTGGATCCTTCCCCATAGCCATGAATCACAAAAGGAACCCTCGAGACACCCTGCAATTACAGCTGGGGTGTCAGGAAGATTCCATGCCGACGGAAAATATCTGGAATTTGACTGTAATGCATTGGTTGGTATATAGTCTACATGTGGTATGTGATCATGGATGTTTCCCTGTAGTCACTTTCTGCAGGTCTTCCAATATTGCTGGAATAGAGTTCGAAAACTGGCCTACTGTCCCTTGGTTCCACTTTCTTTGAAACAATTGGGAGAATTGTACGGGCATTCACGTATACAGTTATGATCAAATATACATGTGTAAGTGGAATTATCCAATTTTAAACAAACATGTGCTCTACGCCTATACATTTTTACTACTACCGGTACGTATAGCCTCTAGAGCGATGGGCAAATGTCAATTCACACCTAGCACACAGATCCTACCCTCCTAACAATCCCACAAGTGGAATCTCAATTTGTCCCCATCCCATCCGGTATCTGAAATTCCGAAACGATCTCATCCAAGAGACGTATAATCCTCCCCCAGAGAACATGATGTACTCTTTCCCCCTCAAACTCCACCCATTGTAGGCGATGTTCGGAATCCACTTTAAAGACAGCTATATCATGTCCATAAATGAGAGCCCCGTACTGCGGCCACCCATCACGAGGCTTATTATTCTTGTCCGCGAACGCAGAGCGTAGCCTGGCGGCCAGTATATCGCAAACATATTTATGGACATTTCGATCACAGGCGGGAGCCTCCCCGTCAGGTGTTAGTAATCCATCGAATGCTTCAGCCCCAACGGCAACAAACACTGGCCCATATTTCCTGCTGCACACTATGAGATTTCCGTATGTGAGGATGCCCGGGTAGTTTGGGTCTGGTGTGTCCCTTAGGAATCGGGAGAGCAGTTTATTCAAGTCGCCGCGCTCGAACCCGCGCTTGGAGACATTTCCTTGTTCATCGACTTTTTGCTCGAACTGGCGTATGAGGGTGTCTGCAAAATTGAGAATGTTCGATGTGTCGACGGTCATCGCGGTTGTGGGTGAGGAGGGTGAGACTGTTTGGAGAATCTTAAGGAACGGGGATGACCAGCAGTATAATCGTCACTGCTGAGAGACCTAGTTTGATCTATACCAAGAGAAAGAGAGTGAGAGAACTCCGCCGAGTTTTTATGGACCCTTTCTCCCCTCATCAGGTGCACAAGGCGTTATCGTGCATTCGCTCTACAGCTGGGTATAAACCATCCTATCCAAAATCTCATATGTGCTCCTTCGCTACTTTCCTTCTGAAATTCCCAAGGGCGATAGGGCAACAAGGAGCCTAGATGCCTTCTTCACGCGCGTGGAGCTTGAGGCAGACGGGGTATATACCTCGAGAAACCACTTGCCCTGCGGGAAACCGAGGCAATGAGGCATAATTGAGCCTTACAGCAACAACTCAGGCACATACCTTACGAATGGCCGGGTTCAGCCTCACCCTTCATCGTAGTGATGTTATTCACGCCCATAACTAACTTTCGAATTCCACCAAAACAGGTACGCAGCCAAGACACTATAAGCAAAGAACAATCCAATATTTCCAGCTAGCAGATTCGGGATCTTCCCTTCACGTCCATGGAAGTCACTATCAGAAAAGAAGTTGACAGAACGACTTTGCCCCATCGCAATATCTCAATGTGCATCGTCAGAAACATTATATGTGTAAGGAGATGGGTGTAGCTTTGACTTGTAAGGTGATGTATAAATAGTGGTGTATACTCTTGCCATCGTAGATGGTTGTTGCTGGACTATGATGAATTGAAATTGGTATATTGATATTTTTGCTCATAGCATAACACATTATCTAGTGCGGAAGAATCCGTTATATAGCATCGATTAGGCATACATCTTTAACATCCCTCATGTCTCAAACAGAAGGACACATGCTCCCCATCACTTCTATTTTTACTCCGGAACAATGCAGAGTGGATTTACCGACCAATCTTCTGCAGCTCCAAATACCGCAGAGGCGGGAACACAAGCATCGCCCAGGAAACACCGACCCAGATACCCAGGTCCGCGCCGTCCGAGCCAACCATCCTGGCAATCGGGCCAACATACCATATTTGGTCCATGCAGACGATCGCACCCGCCCATCCGATCAAGAACGCAGCCAGAGCAGCAAGGCCGAGGGGCAACTTGGACCGGTCAGCCCAGGCATCCCAATCAAAGCCGCGGGTGCGGCGGAAGATGAGGTGTTCTTCGAGGGCGATGGTAAGATAGATGGTTACCCAATAACCCATCAAGGCCAAGAAGTTTTCGAAGATATCGTAGAGGTGGTTCCGGCCACCTAGGGCGCAGGCAGTGTAGATGATCACACAAACACAGGAGAGGAACCATCTGGGAAGGCTGCCGAGGTGGCGGCCCATGATCTGGAAGCCCAGGGTGGCAGAGTAAGTTCCAGGGATGTTGTTGGCAATCAGACCCAGGGCGACGAGGACGCCCAAGAACTTGCCAAATCCTCCGAGACCGTCATATCCGGCGATAATGAGAGCTCCAGCAGAGGTGTCGTAGGCCTCCGCCCAGGATGGGTTCGTTAGCGTGCCACTAGCGAGGCCGATGCCCATAAGGTTGGCAAAAGAGAGGGCAAGGCCGACACCGAAGAGGGTGAGAGTGAAAGTCTTCCACTTCGAGGTGGTGGGTGGGAAGTAGACGAAGAAATCAGCACCAGCAGGGGCCCAGGCAACTGAACTGGAAAGGCAGAGCGAGAAGAAGGTGAGACGGTTGGCGTTGATGGTCTGGGTGTCGCCAGTGGAGGAGATGTTGGTGTCGAATTTCGGGCCGGCACTGCCGACCAAGACGAAAATGGCGATGAGTTGAGGCACCCAGGCCCATCGCTCGTACACGTGGAAAGGCGCCATACCAAAGACCACGACGATCCACGTGATGATGGCAATGATGATGATTCCCACCACCACCGTTAACCCACCATCAGCAACCGCGGACAGCACCTGGCCACCCACGAGGCAGTCGATCATTCCATAACCCAACATGATGATAATGTTCAGAAGACAAGCAATCTTACTCGGGTAGTAGCCCATGAAATATCTCGCGACAACCTATAAGTTTCTGTTGTTAGTACTATAATTTCTCCAGCAGATGGCCTTGACGTTGCTTACCATTGTTCGATTACCGCTCTGCGGTCCGAAGGTTCCCATATACGCCACACCTGCCGCACCAAGGAAAGCACCGAACACCGCACAGAGTGCCGAGTCAACGAAACTCAGAGAGTAGTCCAGTGGCCCATACATTCCAACCGCAATGTTGTTAGCGGTGATGTTCGTACTGAACCAAAGCAGAGCCATTTGCATGTAATTGGACGCGGAGGTAGCGTAGCGCTCGGACTCCGGAACACGCTCGATACCGCGGCTTTCGAGGAATTTGATGGATTGAATTCGAGCGTTGAGCCTCGTCCAGGCATTCCCTGAAGAAGGGAAGGAGGCCATTTCTTTTCCACTTTCCGAGGGAGACGAGACCGACTCTACGGCTGGAGCGGCGCGGTGGCCCTTCTCCTCGTCACGCATGGTATCAGCCATGCTGGATATAGTGATAAAGGGTCTGCGAACTGGCGCAGGAGGGTTCCTCGGGAAAAGCAAAAGACGTTGAGGCCGCAAGTTTCAGAGATCGAAACGCAGCCGTTGAAGAGAACCTAGGAGGATTTAATGCAAGCCCAGCTGCATGGCGGGAAAAATCTCAGGGCCGGATGGGGGATAAAGAGGAGTTTTGCCCCCCTCGCAGTTGGCACTAGAGCAGGGACTAAGCTAAGGTAGAGTTGGATCCGGCGAAGATGGGATGTTGTTGGCGGAGAATGACTCCTCTGGCTTTCCTGCTCGGGCTTCGCCGTATTATTTTTTGGGAAATTTTTTTTCTTCATTTTGGCCACGAAAAGTTCAGTCACCCGCCAATGACAGGACCCGCGCGGCACCATCCATGCTTGGCTCGAGCACCCGCAGTGCTTAGCGGTTCAAGCAACGAGATTAATTCATTTCCGTCTTACTCTCCGATCCCGCCGGTCACCAACTTATTGTGATTAGCCTTGGGGTTCCCTGGGTCATCATCCTTGCCGTGGATGAACCTCAAAGGGTCTGAACATGGGTCGTGAAGATTATGCCGCGATTGTTATCTTCATCTGGAAGGCTTATCACTTTCATTGTCCCGGCTTTCCCTTTCCAGTTCTCCCGGTTCCTCTTCTGATTTGCAGTTGATGACATGACTAACACTAAGCTTTCTTGGGGTTAGCCAAATGCTCTCATTGGGGACTAATATTCTGCCGGCATCCCTCCACCGCCCAGGGGCAAATACTCTGTAGGGACGTGGGCTGATGGATTCCAGCTAGTTCTAGGCTACAGCATCACCTCCGGTTGCGAAGGCGTTTCAGCTACCTATGGTGCAGAATGTATATTAATGCCTTGATTAAGCGGAAATTCTATTGACATGACTCGATATTAAATGGCTCATAGGCGGTCTTGACTATGTCTCCAAGCAGTACATGGCCCGTTCTTATCACGATCCAAGTGGAGCACGTGCCCCGCTTTGCGAAGCGGAAGGTCTAGCCGTCGTTCCGTTCTTTCTCTCAATTGTCGACACTCGACAGAGAGAGAGAGAGTCTGCTGGTCCGTTCCTCGCCATGATCCAGCTCCCCACGTCTTTAGGCTGGGTCTCGACACAGTAGCACGGTAACAGTTGCACAGTAGCTCAACAGTCAACTCTCAAAGTTTTAGCCTTCCACCCTCCCTTTAGTTCCATTACGAAATTGATTTAGCCGGAACACAATTTACACGCCTTGGCTGGGCAACAAACGTTAAGCTCAGCGACACTTTTCGGAGATAAGCGTACAAATTCTATAATGAACACGTACTCATCGAGTCACGGAGTTTTCACCATGGATTATCTACCCTCCGTTGGAGGACCGAAGAAAAGCCTAGTTCGGCCAAAGTCTCCTCGGTTTTCCGGAGCTCCGATACTGTCTACTAACGGCACTAAATCGATCCATCCACCCCGAGACCACCTAGATTACTGCACCGGTGGCCCTTTAAAGTGGAGGATGGCCACGCATTTAATCTATAACTCGGCAAAGTCCAGATCCTAGACAGGCCCTCAATTTGCCTTCCACCTCATGGTTCGATCAAAGAGAGCAAGAAAGCAGGAGACACGATTGTACGTGGCAAGCTGGCCTGCTCGTGCATTCCGATCCATCTGACTGGCTGTCACGGTGGGTGCGCCATACGTAGCCGAAGCTTACTCGGGGGTCCCCGGTCATCTCCTGATGAGGTCCATGTTGCAAGTCGAAAACGCAAACCCGCTTTTCAAGCGCCGGAGAATTTCCGAATCTATGATGTTTTCCAGCCTTGTGGCTGGCGCTATTCGAGACATGAGCAAGGACCTCACGACTAGAAGGGGTCCTTACCACCTGTGGTAAACAATATTTGGTGTACTATTGAGTCTATCTGCCTCGTGTTCTTCGCACGTTGGACTCCGGGTCTTTCGGCTCTGACAAATAAATAGACTTTGTGCAGAATTTTCTAGTTTATGCAGGGATGCAGTCTAGCAAGGATTCGAATCCTGCGATAAATGAAATTATTCAGCGTTGATGGCGCGTTATGCCCCATAACCACTCAGCCGTCCCAATTTACCCCTCGTGCCGCCACCCAAGGGTGGGAGGCCACACGAACCATAGGAAGGAGAAAGCTAATAGTACTAACTCCTCAATCCATAGCCCTAATTAGCTGGAGGCTAAGTTTGGCAAGCCCCGGATTAAACAGCATGCCAGGTTCTAGAAGTTCATAAACAGCCATCCCGTACTTTAGGTTCAGAATAGTCCTTGCGACCATGACCCTGTTGCTTCTCGTTGCGCTCCCATAGAACTCATCATGGCCAATGATGGTGGCGGCAGTCCGCATGATTTGGTCGTGCAGACCTGGATCATGTACAGCATTGCTATTCTGCTGTTCCTGGTGAGACTGTATGTACAACCCTTTGACGTTCATAGATAACCTATCCTTCGTGGGCATTATCAGTAACAACAGTACAGGTTTGCGCGCTACAAGCGACTGGGATTTCGATTCCAGGTCGAAGATTATCTCATGGTGGTTGCTGTGGTAGGTTGAGCGCATTGCACTGTCATACATTGGGTTCTGTGTTAACATGCTCTTTTTGTGGTCACAGGGATTCTACACGGCATTCGCAGTCACAAACATTTTTATCATCGAGGGAGGAGGTAGCAATTTGTATGAACCTGCCAGTTTGTACAACACTTTCTCAGCCTCCGAGATTGCTGCAAGGGTCAAAGGTTCCAAGATCGAGTTTGCTTCGGAGAATGTATGGTTGCTTCCCAATTCTAGGCAAAATATGGTCTAACATGAATTTCAATACAGTGCCAGCTCTGCACCATCTATTCCCTCAAGGCTTGCATGCTGTTGGTGCACTCCCGACTCACGTAAGTGCACTCTCTGAGTCAACGCCGAGCTTCTGCTGACGGAAACTTCCAAGGTCGAACTTATGGCAGCACCGCCTGGTAAAAATTATCGCTGGATACACCCTAATCGGCTGGATCACCACAGAGCTGGTGCTGTTCCTGAATTGTCGCCCCCTGTCCGGATATTGGACGCTCCCGCCACCCCATAAGGAGTGCAGCACCTATTTTCGCTACGAAGTGGTGCAATGTGTCTTCAACATCAGTTCCGATATTTTCATTCTCTGCGTCATACTTCCCATGTTCATCCGCGCAAAAATGCCGTGGAAGACTAAGTTGCCCGTGATCGTGGTTTTCTCCATGGGTATTGTTGTGGTGCGTCCCTGCCCCGTTCGGCTTTGGCCCCCAGACTAGTTGCTAACCTGCATCCTCTGCCCCTCAGATCGCCTGTGCCATCATTTCCAAATACTTTACATTCCACAATATCTACGACGATAGCTACCAATTCTGGTACCTTAGGGAGGCATCGATCGGCATGTACGTGACGAACTTGCCATTCGTCTGGAGTCTCGCGAGATCGACACTTTCCTTCCTGCGAACGAGTCAATACACCAACAAAGGACGATACAATGAAGCCCAATACGGAACCGACCACGCCTCGAATGCACGATGGAAATCGGGGGTGAATTCGCGGTCGACTCGCAACATGCCTACCATTTACGATACTCGAACTGGACGCGCGGACGGAATCACGCGCACCGAAAGCGAAGAGAACATTATTAAATGGGTGGGGTGGGACATGTCACCAACAAATCGACCGCATCGACTGGTAGCGACAACACAGAGTGGGCTCATGGAAATGGACAGGATGACTTCATTATCAGAAAGACGACCGAGATTGTCATCCAGAAAGACTGATCAGGCCATGATTGTTCTATGGATCGTCTCAACCGAGCCGACGAGCAGTCGCTATGACCTTGAGTTCCTCCCAGGAGTCAGTCACTTTTGCTCTCCTGGTCGCGGAGGCAAGACCCTTTAATCGCAAACGACAGCCTTACGAAATCAAACCCCCCCCCCCCCTTCCTCGATTTCAGGATTTGAACCCCTCCAGGCTCCAGCGATCGCGAAGAGTTCGTGCAGCGCAATTGCCAACAACCCCGCTGTATCTGAACCACAGTGACGTCTCTCGGCACCACTGGGGCCCCGATCATCCAAACCACGCGGGGGCCGCATCCACGTTCCATTGAATGTCTCCGATCACTTTGAGCAAGTGAAAGGTAGATCAGTTCCACCGTCACCGCTACCCGTCCAGCCACGGCCGTCGGATTTAGGTAATCAACTACACTACTGTGTCTACGGTCCCACCAGGGACGAGAGTACACGTAATGTATGGACTACCGAGCTGCCTACTCAGTCTTCACGATTCTTCCGTTGGAAAGGACCTTCAGGCACGGAGCTGAAGCAGGCTCACGCCCCCGTTCTCGGCCGGGGAGGATTTTAGCGATCGGCCGGCCACGAGGTTTTCACCTGGTTGTGGTGGTGGTCGGTGCTGCGGCTCCCCCTCATTCCATTCTCCCTCACTCCCTTTCCGATCAAACATCTCAAAACCGATTCGGACGAGAAGACGATCCTCATCATGTATAGATTTCCCTATGTTTCTTGTATATAGCTTTGATGACCCTACTTTAATCATACCTAATGATGTATCAACGACACAATATTCCTTATTTATTTGAGGCTGTGCAATCAGCAATCACTTACAAGTCCCCCTGAAGGGAAATTGAAATTCACCATGGCTATAGCTGAAAGTCCGAAACTCTGCCAAGCCGGAGCGGGTCGTAGTCGGGTCGGCTACAAACCCACACCAAAACACTATTACTAGTGGTTCCTTTGAACCAACTCTGACAAGACATTTCCCAAGAAACCTTGGCGATGCGCTCCCAAAGGCTTATCTCAATTCCAGTCTAGTGTCCGATATTCCTTCCTGTTTATGGCATGATCCTAGTCAGTTCCGATTTCGAGTTCAACACATATCGCGGAAGATCTAAACGGCAGTTATCATCCATCTATCTAAATTTTCATCCATCCAGTCTCCAGGGTAACTAGCCGGTGAAACATAAAAATGCTAGTTTAGTGGGTAAGTACTTCGTAGTCAGGCGGATTTATGTTCGCATCTGCTCAAAACACGAACACACGCACTTTGCACTAAGACAAACTGGTCAATTTCACCCGATGCTAATTGACTTTTTGTTCTAAACTCTGTCATAGAGTTCAGGCTGTGCTGTGCTGTGCTGTGCTGTGCTATGCTCGCTCTGTCAGTACTTATGGGTATATCATGAACCCCGCTATTGGCTGGTTGTTGGATCCGTAGTCAGTCTCTCTACTATTTATTCCTCTCTACTAGATAACTAGACTAGTAGGTTTCCTCGAATAGAAGAAAGAATGCAATGCAAGTGAGACACTCTTATCTCGATTTGACTTTCCTTTCTATTTCCAGGGCAGGAGAAACAAAGTTAGTAAGCATTTAGTACGAACTCAACATGAACTACTACTACCTTCCTATCTCGTATTCACTAGCACAAAATACGATATCTCCTACTACTGCAGGGGTAGATAGCCTCGGTAGTCGGTACATTTTCTCATCAATAATAACTAAGATTAAGATTCCTTCCTTCGGCTTGGCTTGGCTTGGCTTGGCTTAATGCACCGGTAGTTAAGCGAAGCCGAACTGCGACAGGGGTGAGTGAGATTTTAGATCGGTTCGGTAAAGTGCGTAGTGTACCTAGTTGGCTGGTTAGTGGTGGGTGTGTTACTACTACTATAGAAGGAATCACTTGGCGGGCGAGCTTGGCCGTTGTGGTATTTGAGATATGGGTTGGTTTGGGTTTAGTGTGCTTTGTTAGTAGGTTTAGGTTAGTGTTGTTGCCTGTGCGGTTTAGTTTGTTGTTTTGGGTTTGTTGTTCAGGGACGGATGGGACGGCATTGTTAGGTTTGTGTTGGTTACTTGGTTTAGCTTCTTCTTTTTTTTCGTGAGTGGCTTTCGTGCGCTTTTTGGTTTGGACTGGTATTGAGTTATGAGGGAGATATATTGTGACTACTTGTAAATATTAATGATACTTTGTTATATGAATGTTGCTGGAAGGTTCGGAGCTGAGATCAGTATCGTGATTAGAAGGCAAATTAGGCTGCCAGTCTCGAGGTATTGATTGTGTGGCGAGAAGGTATTGTTCAGATGTAGATATTTTGGTCGACTGACTTGATAGCTGCTTTCCAGGATAGATTTATAATCTTTAATCAACTCGTGTCGTTAAATTTGTCCATGTTGTTCCAGTCTCTGCGTACATGGGTAGATGGTGATTTATGTACGCCAGAGGATTTACATAGCCAGTGAATATTAAGTAACTACTAGAGACTAAGTGATAGTCTGCGTGTCTCTAGCTACCCTACAGAACTACGTTTCATGTTACTATGTAGTCTTAGTATTGTTGCACTGGTAGTTTAGGTCGATTATATTAGTATACTAGTATCGCCCAGGCCGACAAAATATATTCCCCGAGCTGAGACTCACATCATGGCAAGCCGCCATTGCTCATCAGGCAGTCAAGTAGTGCCGATATTGAATCTGAAACACTATAGTGATACTTTGAATAGTAAAATCGCAATATTCGATATTGACCAAATGAATTATCCCGCTATTCATCGACAAACTGACTCAATCGTACCTCGTATCATTGCAACTTCACGAGAACCTATCCTCCGCCCGTCCTAGATATCGACTACGGATCGCCTGGCTGATTGTGCTCATGCGACTGGCCATCCCACCGTGCTGGATGTTGCTCAAGAGTGCTTCCTCAAGTGCGGACTGCGTGACGCTCGCATCTAGACGAGGAGTCAGTATGATATCATGCGCCCAGAAGAGAAGCTCACCATCTAGGTCACTAAAGCTGCTCCCCATACTAGGAGTCCCGTCGCTCGCGTCTCTCCGCAAAGCCATAGACTGTCGCGGACTGAAATGTGCCAGTTCCCCAGTTCTTCTAGGACTCAATGGCCCTCCGCTTTGATTCAACCGTCGCCGTCTGTCAGATTGTGGATGTGCAACTGGGACTCCGGAACTGGCAGAGCTTGCGGATGATTCGGTTGTGACTGATGTTCTAGAAATCGTCTGTGCTGAGGGGCGTCGGTGTGACTCAGAAACATCCTCGGCGTTCATCCTCAACGTAGCATTAAGATCCTGCCCAGACGCTCCGTGGGACGTCCTTTCTGGTTCCGGCAGGAAAGCAGGGGACTCATCGTCATCTTCATCGTCGTACCTCAGGCTGGCCCTATGCGTGGAGAATTTGCCGAAAGGGGGCTTGAATCGCAGGCCACGACGACTTCCAAACCCGTTGTCGTCGTCGGACTCGGACTCAGATGAGCTAGAGGTCGTATCATCTTCCAGAGGAGGGGATTTCGGAGCCGAAGGAGCTGCAGCTTGCTCCCTTTTACCTGCAGCTGGTCGATTGGCATAGCTTTCTCGCTTAGGTTCTCTTGGCTCCGCCACAGGGGTATCGTTGTGGACTGGTTCACGGGCAGTTTTGACTTGATTAACGGTGGTTGTTGAGCTGGTGCGTCGGGGGATGGGAGCTAGAATGTCCACATTAATATTACAGGATACAGGCATAGAGGCTGGATAAAACTTGCCACGCTGTGGAGGAGTATCTTTCTGCTGCGTCGAGAGGCGCGACGGAGCTCGAGGGCCTTTGGCTGTCAGAAAACTCAAAAGGACATTATCGGGGAACACCCACCTGCATTGGTGGCACCTTTTGTCTGTTGACCCAGCGCCGTGCTACCCGTCACCGAACCAGGAGCAGGAGATGTAGACGTCGACTGAGTGGTGGGCACTCTACTCATCTGTGCACGTACTTGTGACAGCTGCCGATCGTAGAGCCATGCTGCCTGTTGAAGGAGAAACTGCAGTGTTACATCAAAATGATCTGCCCTGCAGAGTTGATCAGTGATGCCTTAATACTCGATAAGACCAATCGTACAGTGCTTTCCCTATGGCACTGTCAGCATTTCTGAATGTCATCAGACTATCATTAGGCACCATCATTACAGTCTAAATCATCTCCCTTGGAAGGGCGCGAAAGGATATTCCAGAGAGCCTGGTCTTTGGCAGCGTTCCATTCAACCTGTCTGGTCAGCGAGATGGAGATCAGTTGACTAGCGGCACTTACCGGAGAAGGATCCACAAAGTCACCCCTGGGGAAGGGAAGGCGAATAAACACGGTGAACTTGGTGTCTCCAGACTGATTGAAGGATGTCATCGCGGTGACTCGTATATGCGTACGTAGAACTACTATAATACTCCAGGCGATACACCTAAATCATCAGAAGAATAATACAGATGACCTTTGCTGCTACCTAGCAGTTAGCTTAGTGGGTGCCGGGTTGGATGTGATGAATGCGGAGGGATTGAAGTGTCACGCCGCCACCGTCAGGGTCGGTGCGTTGCGATAACAGCTCAGCTTATACAGACTGCGATATGGGCTGCCAGTTGCTAATTCCACCCTATTGCCACGGCCGCATTTAAGAACTCACGTGACAGCTTCGTCACAAGGTTATCTCTTTCCTATTTGGGGTGAGACAGCCTGATCGATGGCAACTCGCCTGATGGACTTCTCCAGCATGAAGTGTATCGGCTTATGCGAATCAGCAATTCATCAAGCATGGTTGAGCTGGTTGAGCTAGTTGAGCACCTGATGGAGGTCTCCCAACTTTCCCATTGAGGCAGGAATATATAGACAGGATAGGATGTAGTTATCCATTACGCGTTGATCGTGCAGTTCGACTTATAGAGCATGCGTGAGCTATATGCATGCGCTATTGTGACATATAAGGAGCATATTGTACGAGCAAGTTATACCCAGAACTTCAGTGAAAGCCTTTTACCGCCCCATCAGACAGGGTCCAAACTCTTGGCGCAATTTAGGCCGGGTTAACGTCAGCCAACGAATGTCCAACAGACCTCCAACAGTCTAATAACCCTAGTACGTCAGTGCTTCAGCCTACAGCACACTCCGCAACAGGTAGCATATGCGTCGTCACTAGCACTGCTGAAGCGCTTTTTTGGATAATGCAGTCTGACAATGCGAACAATGACGCGGTCAGGTTTGCAGCCTAGACTACCTGCGAGTCGGAGTTTGATGGATATATCTGCCTCGAAGACCGACCCAATGAGACGCATATAAGTAGGAGTTCTACTCGCAGTTGCGATTCCATCTTCATCAACAATCTCATTCTCATCTTGACGTTCTACTGCATCAATATAGCAACAATGGCTGGTCCAGTCCCTAAACCAGAGTTTCTTCTGGGCTTCCATCAGGTTTTGTCACCCACTGGTGGCATCAAAGTGTCTCCGCTATGCCTGGGAACTATGAATTTTGGAACAACCTGGTCAGCCAATCCTCTTGCTTACAATAAAATAACGATTTACTGACACCCAGTAGGGAACCATACATGGGCGAATGCAGCAAGGAAGAATCCTTCGCAATCATGAACACCTTTTTCGATCACGGTGGAAACTTCATCGACACGTATGTTGAATTAGCATACACCAGCTCTTTCGACGAGCGACAGGCTTATAATCTCTAGTGCCAACGTTTACCAGGACGGACAATCCGAACAATGGATTGGAGAATGGATGAAGAAACGTGGGAATCGAGACCAGATGGTGTAAGTACACACCCTTTATTATCAGGTTGCTACATCTTGGTATGCTCTATATTGACAATGACAGCATCGCAACCAAATACACGACCGGGTTCCGCCGCCCACACGTATCCACTGAGCCCATCCAATCGAACTTCGTCGGAAATTCCGTGAAGTCCATGAATCTGTCCGTCAAGAACAGTCTCGAAAAGCTTCAAACTGACTACATTGACATTCTCTATGTGCACTGGTGGGACTTTACCACCAGCGTGGAGGAAGTCATGCATGGCCTGAACGCACTCGTCTTGGCCGGGAAGGTCCTCTATTTGGGTGTCTCTGGTACTCCTGCTTGGCTGGTAGTTAAGGCAAATGCCTACGCGCGCGCGAACGGACTCAGGCCATTCTCTGTCTATCAGGGCAAGTGGAATGCTGGATTCAGAGATATAGAAACGGAGATTGTGCCCATGTGTCGGGACCAGGGGATGGCAATCGCGCCTTTTGCAGTGCTAGGCCAGGCGAAGTTCAGACCTGCAGAGCAGCGCAACGCGGAGTACAAGGGCTCTGGACGAGCGGCACTACGGGCCGAGGAAGATGACAAGGTTTCTGACGTGTTGGAGGCTGTTGCCAAGCGGAATGGGACAACCCTTTATGCTATTGTGAGTTTCACCCTTACCTATACCCATATTCAGCACCACGTATAGAGACAATTCAACTGACATATCTCTTTTAGGCACTCGCATGGGTTCGCTTCAAGGCACCTTACGTCTTCCCCATTATTGGCCAACGGAGCGCAGCGCATATGAAAGCCAACATTGAAGCTCTGAGCCTGGATTTGTCGAAGGAGGATATGGATGAGATTGATAAGGCCACTAAGTTCAATCCTGCCTTCCCACTGGACTACCTCCTCGCCGAAAATTTCAGTACCGCGTTTACTGCAGCAGATGTGCAATTGACGAAGTGGACCGCGCATATAGATGCTCCTACTCCTGTGATGCCGGTCAGACCGCGTAAGGATTTGTGAATTAACTGTGGGGTTGTTGTGGGTGCTTCATCTGCTATTGATGCTATGAGAGGATAATAAAACCAGTGTCATTATAGAGGTTACTGGACAGTCCATGAGCTTGATCTCAGGTGTGGATAGGCCAATAAAGTCAGATATTAAGTTGTCTAGACAAATATCGAGTGCGGTAGTATACATAACATGTTTCTAGTTCTTAACATGTCTTCCACACCTGGGAATATGTGTATTAAGAGTGGGGTGCCCCCTAGGGAAGCAGAATCAACAGAATATTTGTACATGATTGCATCAAAATCTGCTCAAATGTTCTTTCTCTAGCGACAAGGATTTTCAGGTTTCTCTACTACACTTGCACCTGCTCTTCCTAGTAGACGGCACGTTACGAAGCCCTAATATTGTTGACCATCTTAGAATATGATGAAGAAGACACTGATCATTCTCTGATTTTAGACATCTAGATGAGGTTTGGAGAAATTTTAGTAATTGAAATGGTACACACAGGGATCGTTGCATATTTCAAGGTTCCATCCCCAATTCACTCTGAAAATTTGGACTCTGCCTGTCACTGTCAACGGCCACACCCAATATGGCTGTGGGTATTCACTGAAAGCCCACATGCCCTGGGAAAAAAAATATTCATGGCCATCCCTCCATCCCAAGTGTTCTTCCTTGCTTCCTTCTTCCTTCCCCAAGCCATTTCGAGTTGCTTTCTGTTCAGACTTTACACACGTGCCTTCATCTTTCTGCCGGCTCAACCGTCAACATGCCTATCGAAGAGGGTGCAAGCAGTCCCAAGCATCTCAATAGCTCTGAGTTGCTCAAGAAGATTGACAAGCTGCGAGAGAAAAACATTGGAAAACATGTGCCTCTTCCGCAGGTAAGACTCTGCCACCTCCAGAAACCGTTTACAAGTGATACTAATCTCATCAAGTTGGTTGTCGTTGGAGACCAGAGTTCAGGGAAATCATCTCTTCTGGCAAGCCTGACCAAGATTCCATTCCCTCGTGATATAGAACTTTGTACGCGATATGCCACGCAGATAACCTCCCGTCGTGAGAACGATCGCTCGGTTGAGATTTCGATAATCCCTGCTGTGGATGCATCCGCGGAGCACAGGGCAAAAGTACAGGGCTATAAGAGGACCCTCAGAGGTACCGAGGACTTTCGCTTAGAATTCCCAACAATTCTTCAGGAGGTCCGGCTAGCCCAAAAATATATGTGTCTTTGACAAAGGCTAACATACCGAATAGGTCGACGTGTGTATGGGAATCCGTTCAGACCTTTCATCTAAGGAGGGATCAGTCTTCAGCAAAGACGTGCTCCGGATTGAGCTATGCGGGCCAGAAGAGGGCTACCTGACCGTCATAGATGTACCGGGGATCTTCAGAGACCCGACTGAGGACATCACTACTGACAGTGATATTGAGCTAGTTCGAGAGATATGGTCAAGAGCTATATCGCAGATGCCCGCACTGTGATCTTGGCTGTGCTCCCGAGCAATGTCGATCTTGCAACCCAGGAGATCCTCAAGCTGGCTAAAGATTATGACGAAAATGGAGAACGTACCCTTGGTGTGCTGACCAAACCCGATTTGGTGATTGAGCAAAGCGCTAAGGCAGCTTTGTGCTCACTGGTCCTGGGGCACAAGAGACCGCTGACACTGGGATACTACTTGGTGAGAAACCAGGGCGCCGATAAAAACACTTCTTTCGATGGCGAGGAAGGAGAGAGAATGTTTGACAGCCAGCCTTGGAGTTCCTTGCCGAGAGACCGTATTGGCATCCAGGCCCCACGAGAACGGCTAGGAGAACTACTGAGCGAAGTTACGGAGCGCGAATTCCCTGAATTGCGTAAGGACATCAAAAATCAGATTGATACATGCCATCAAGATCTGGACCGCCTGGGACCTGCACGCCAGACTGAACAGGAACAGCGTGCATTTCTGAGTGGTATAGCTCGCCAGTTTCAGATCCTCGCACGAGCTGCACGTGATGCTCATTATACAGAAAATGAAGCATTTGCAGAGAGCGACCTCAGGCTTCTCACGCACATTGTCAATTTTTCTGATAGCTCAACTTTCCGGGCCAAAGCCCATCTTTACTCATTCGACTGCCCTACCTCAGATGCAGCCGACAATGACCAAGCAGACAACGGCACGAACAACAAACCGCACGGGAAGAGTCAAAGCGATAAATGGGGCCCAAGGTGGAAAGCCAACATGCACGCCCAGCCGACAGCCGAAGATCGCTTTTGTCTGGCTCAAAAATCAAGCGAAACCTGGAAAAGCCTGGACCCTAGCAACTTCCCGGAGTTAGAGCCGATTGTCAGCCGCCTGGAGGGCCCCGAAGATCCTAAAGGGGATATCAAAGCTTGGATTGAAGTGTTATATTCTAATTCACGTGGTCTTGATCTTGGGACCTTTGGCAACAACATTTTCTGCAACGCTTTCAAGGAGCATGCCGGCAAATGGGAAGCCATGACCCGCGAACACGTGAGTAATGTTATTATGGTGGTTCACCGTTTCCTGAGTACGGCATTGGGAAAGATTTGCGGAAGCAAACAGCTCTATAACAAGATTTGGTCCAGCATTCTCGATGAACTTCTGAAAAGATACGAGATGGCCATGTCACAGGCGCTGTTCCTTTTGTCGGTTGAAAGAAATCGCCGACCATATACACTGAACAATTATTTTAATCAGACCCTCCAGAAACTGCGCAGCGCCCGTGTAGCTCAGGCATTAGAGGACAATGCTATGGTTGACAGCGACACTTGGACTACCGGATCAGCGAAGATAGTCGATCTGAATGCTGTCAAGAAGACTGTCAGCGACCAGGCGAATGTGGAACATATCACTGGGGAAATCCATGACATCCTGTGGTCCTACTACCAAGTCGCACGCGAAAGATTTGTGGATAATGTCCACATGCAAGCAATCGAGCATTGTCTTCTGACCGGTCCTGAGAGCCCCCTTGAAGTTTTTAGCCAGGAATGGGTGATCAATCTGGAGCCGGAAGAGCTGGCAGCAATCGCGGGTGAATCGCAGGCGACCAAAGCACGGCGTACCGGCCTGAAGCAAAAGATGGAGGATTTGAAGTCTGCTCTACAAACCTTGAAATTCTGACGTTCTGAGATTTTGATGTTCTTTCAAGCTAATAATCCTGTTCTTATGTGAACTAATCCGCAGTAATAGTAATAATACCCATAACAATATGACTTGACAGCGTTATTCTGACCCAGTGATGCACAATATTGAAAGGGAAGACTCGTATGCGGATGGATGAAAGAGGAATGAGCCGAGAACCGGGGATGGTGCGTCATAAGCCGAAGGCGGTGAAATGCCCCTCCCGTTGAGAAAAGTGAAGTTCAACACATTCCACCAGACCATCTGTACCAATCTATCTATCTGCAGAAAGCCAAATCTGTAGATTGATTCTGTCACCGCGGAATAGCTATCAGTGCGTGCTAACTTGTTGGGAAACGCTAATCCCTCAGCTCACAGGTGGTGGGCTGGAATTCACCAGTCGCGATACTTATCGCACCCCGTGCTCCGAACTACCCGGCATATGTCAGAATACACCAGAACACAAACATTTCGAGCTTTCTCCTGATTTCCCTCGCGTTCTCTGTCGTCGATCGCCTGTCCTCTGGCTGCAATAAGCAGATTGCTTTTGCAGAGCTGTTGTGGTTCCCAAATCCTCTCCGTCGTTCACCTTTCCGCACCAACCTTTGTCCCGTCCCAGCCTTCGCCTGCACCGATGCAATAGAACTGTTCGGACGAATTGATAGAAATTGAGATTTGTATAAATTTGCTGGACTCGCATTCCAGCCGCATAGCAGTGGACAATTGCTCCACCGTTCAGTATGACATCCGCTCCGACGCCAGAGATGACGCCCGCCGAGGCCGAGTCGGTCTACTTCAACAACTACCCCCCGCCCAAAGCCCTCCCGAAGCATGAAGCCCTCGCTCGAGCTTTTGTCGATTACCACGTCCAAGCAAACCGACGCCTTGTCCTGGTGACATCGGGGGGCACCACAGTTCCTCTTGGTTCGTGGGATGGCTCGTGCACGTGAGAAAGATTTCTGACCGTTGTACAGAGAACCAGACTGTCCGCTTCATTGACAACTTCAGCGCGGGCACGCGAGGTGCTGTGTCGGCAGAATACTTTCTTCAGGAGGGATATGCGGTGATCTTCCTACATCGGCAGTTCAGTCTGCTGCCATACTCGCGGCATTACAGCCACTCGACCAATTGCTTTCTGGATTTCATGGATGAGGAGGAACCGGTGCCTGATGCCACAGAGACCAGCGAGTCGGATCACCGGCCGATCAAGGTGCGCAGTGAGTACCAGGACCAAATGCGCGATGTGTTGCGAAAGTATCGTTATGCGAAGCGCAACAACCTCCTGTTGCTACTCCCGTTCACCACGATCTCGGAGTATCTGTTTGAACTACGGTCGCTGGCTCAGCTAATGAAGCCATTGGGCCCCAATGCGCTGTTCTACCTGGCCGCTGCCGTCAGCGATTTCTTTATTCCCAGCGACCGCATGTCGGAGCACAAGATCCAGTCGTCAGAGCTGCCGGACAATTTAACCAAGGACCAGGCAGTTGGCTCGTCCGACATTTACACGGGCGGAATCGAGCCGCAACCCCCGTCGCGTAGTAAGAAATTGATCATTGATCTGGACCCGGTGCCAAAGTTCTTACATCGCTTGGTCAATGGGTGGGCGCCGGATGGCAGTATGATTGTGTCGTTCAAACTTGAAACGGACCCCAACCTACTCGTATACAAGGCGCAGACGGCACTGCAGCGGTATGCGCACCATCTAGTGATTGGAAACTTGTTGACAACGCGCAAATGGGAGGTGGTGTTTGTCACCCCGGACCCCCCGCACGAGCGCTGGATCCGGGTGCCGAAGTCGCGGCGCAGCAAGAGCATTTCTGGCAGCGAGGCGCAGGTTGGTTTGGCCGAGGCCAAGCGGGCGGGCGAGTCCGCAAAGGCAGAAACCGGTGGGGGCGGGCAGAGTCAGAGACCGTTGGAAGACGAGGCCATCTCGGCTGAGGGAGTGGAGATCGAAAGTTTGATCATCCCTGAGTTGGTCAAGTTGCATTCGAACAAGATTGCTAAACACAACGCTCAGTCCTAGACATGGTTGTTGAGGATTTTGGGTCGAGACACGAAGTCTGGCGCGCGAATGGACTCACTCCAAACGTTCCGACTGAAAGGAGTTTCATGTGTGCGTTTCTGGAAGCATGACGAATGCAGCTAATCCTGAGGCAGGAGGGTCTTCTCCAGATAGATTAATAGGGGTCCTTCACTCTTTCTACTGTGTAAACCGGAGGTTCCTGTGTAGTTAGTTTGTTAGCGTAGGAGATAAATCATCTGCCGTGTCTCAACCACCATGTTCAAAATGTAACAGTAGTGCTGCTGTCAGATTTAAACCATCAGTCCCGTCCAAGGGGCCAAAATCCTTAACTCACACACACACATTCCGGCCCCCCCTTCTTCCTTTCTCGTTTCTCCTTCGTCCATTAAGGGAATCTCCCAAGTTCATCCCTTCTCCTCTCTTCCCCCCCTTAACGCAAGAAACCGCAAACATGATGTGATGGATCGACTGGGATTTTGATTTTGATTCTCTCAAGGGATCCGCAGCACGCACAAATCATGGATCAGCAACCTCGGGAGTTCTCAACTTCTGACAGCTTCACCGGCTGACGGGTCGTCAGGGGCGGGTTTCAGGTTTGCAGCTCCTCAGCAATCCATGGTTAGGCGCCGCGAAGACCCCAAACTAAGCGATGGATCAAGCTCCATTCTCCAGTCAGACGGTACCATTCCGATGCTAACGCGTCATCGACAGCTTAGGAGCCCTCCAGATCGCCGGCCAGCGTGGGCCGATCTTCGCCCGTCTACGTGCCTTCCTACGTCGCCATCTCCACGCCCTCTTGTGTGTCCGAACAATAATAATAACCATAACGTGCCTGGTGTCGATCTCGGGGATTTGCTTCCTCGATTTCTTTTTTCCCCTGTTGCTCCTCCTCCTTTCTCCCCTCTCCTCTCTCCCCTCCACCGCCAGGGGACCCCGATCCCTTTGTCTCAGCCTCCTCCGTGCCTGCTTGTCCCCAGGAATTTCCCCGCCGGCAAATAACGACCGAGTGCATTTCACCCGAAATATTCTTCGTTATTGGCGCACAGTGACAACGAAAGATGCATTGAACACCTTGTATCAGTCTGGAGGATTGCTCGATAATAATTTCATTGCTTGTTTCAAGTCTCTATTGCATTCGGCGTCTCGATCCCGCTCCGCTGCAGGTCGGCGACCGCTTCCATCCCAGCCAATTTGAACTTCCCCTCACCGCGCGCTTCCTCAACAATGGCAATCCGTCGATTTCGTCGCATCACCATCCTCGCCTCCCTCTTGGGTGTATTCCTCCTCTACCACTTTCTCTCCATCCGCCCAGAGCTCTACACCCGCAGCGCTACCCAGCTCCGCACTCCGCAGAGCACCCCGCAGAGCGCTCCAAATGAGCCTCCCGAATGTCCCCCTCTCGAGGGGATCGAAGATGTCCTGATGGTCATGAAGACAGGTGTCACCGAAGCCCTCGACAAAGTCCCCGTTCACTTCCAAACAACGCTGCGCTGCGTCCCTAACTACATTATCTTCTCGGATTTCGAAGAAGAAATCGAAGGCGTCAAAATCCATGACGCTCTCCGCACAATGGACAGCACTGTCCGAGACACCGTTGCCGACTTCAACCTCTACAATCGTCTCCGCGAACAAGGTCGCGCCGGTCTCGAATCGGCCGACTTCGCTGACGAGGCCAACTCCAACATCGGCAAGCCCAACAACCCGGGCTGGAAGCTCGACAAATGGAAATTCCTCCCTATGGTGCAGCAGGCCCTCACTTATAAGAACAATGCCAAATGGTATGTCTTCATGGAGGCAGATACCTATTTCTCGTGGCCGACACTCCTCGAGTGGCTTTCGCATTTCGATCCAAAAGAACCCCACTACATCGGCACTGAGACTCAGATCGCAGACGTCATCTTTGCGCATGGCGGTTCCGGCTTCGTTGTCTCCAACCCAGCCATGCAACTCGCCTCGAACGAGTACGCAACCCGTACCGTAGAGCTGAACGAATACACCGACTGGCATTGGGCTGGCGATTGTGTTCTGGGCAAGGTTCTCGCTGACGCCGGTGTCCCCTTGCGCTACTCATGGCCGATCCTCCAGAACTCCAACGTCGGAGAACTGGACGAATTTGCCAAGGGCTTCTACCGCAAGCCATGGTGTTTCCCCGCAGTAGCATTCCACCACCTGACATCTCACGAGATCCGGGATCTCTACGAGTTCGAGAAACGCCGACGTCAACAGGTGAGCCCATCTCCATACCCCTGTAACCCAGCATACCCCTGCTAACACACAACCCCTCCACATCCAGACTACCAGCAACGTCCTCCTCCACCGCGACGTCTTCAAAGAACTCATCTACCCCGAGCTCTCGAACGTCCGCGACAGCTGGGACAACCTCTCCGACGAAGAACACCCCGCCATCACCGACTTCCACGAATGCAAAACCCTCTGCTCCAGCTCGCGAAGCTGCGCGCAATTCGTCATGCGCGACGGCATTTGCTTCACCGGCGAAACGCCCCGACTGGGTGTCAGAAACCCTACAGCCCGATCTGGCTGGATCTTAAGCACAATCGAGCACATGATGGATCACGCACCGCGGTGTCCTCATCCTGACTTTGGACTTTGAACGTGCTTCTTTCTTTCCTTATTTTTCTTCCTCTGCCCCCTCATCTCCACCTTGAATTTCGCGGGACGAATATTCCGTTTATTGGCCTTTCTTCTTTTGTGAAAACAAATCCCACAATACTCAGATTACCTGATTCATGTGTGTTGTATAACTATGGGTTTGATTGATTGAGTTTGCTGCTAGCGCAGTAGCATGCATCGTTGATTCGCATCGCATCGGCATACATGTAAATGTATGCTGAAATGGCGTTTGGGAGAGGAGTCGGTGGTATTTCTTTCCGTCCTGTCTTGTCATTGAGCCTCTGCTTCTTTATCCCCTTGCATCAATACCATGGCGTCTGGAACTGTCGGTACTTTCGTTTCTCTTTTTCTATTTCACTTGACTTATGTGTCAGCGTTTCAAGCCAGCATGCAAGCTAGCGTATATATGCTAGTTTGTCACGGGTGTTTAGCTAGACCAAATCAAAAAGATCATGAGACTAAGCTGGTCGTGGCTCGTAGATATCGAATTTTAATCTTGGCAGAGTAGCCACATGTTCCAAGGGCTTACCGAATTAACATTATCTTGGAAGTACGCTTGTTGATTTGAGCTGGCTACTTTTGAACGACGACATTTACAACGGTTAAAATAACAGCAACAATAACCTCTCATAGTGATGCCTAAGAAAATGGATCTGTGACAAAGCAGAGGAGCCAACAGAGGACAGAAACTAGGAAGAGAAAGGCATGAACACGTGAGTCAAGGGGCTGCAATCTTTAGAGGGGGAGCTTGTGGATCTTCCAGGCATTGATCAATGCGCATAATCGTCGCGTTCATGCTCTTCACAAATCGAATGACCTCGCGGAAGTATTGTACTGTAGTCGGACTGAGATAATGCATGACAGCCAGATTGCCCCCGCGTTTCACGTCTCGAATAAAGGCCTCGCGCTGCTTTTCGGGGGTTTTCGTGTCCGCCCAAAGCCAATCCTCAATATCCACACTCCAATTGATGATCTGGGGATCCTTGATATATTTTGCCAGCCGTTGACGGGTTCTCGCACCAAGTGTGCCGTAAGGAGGGCGGAAATAGCGACCTGTCAATAGTCAGCGAAGCTCTGAGATGATAACTAAGATTTGCGCACTCTCAATCCCAAGGATCTGTCGAAACGACTTGATATTATCCACAATCTCTCGATCAATAGCTTCAACAGAATCCAACCCTTCCAATCTGTAATTCTTTATCGTCAGTACTCCACTGAAGCCAGATAGTAGAGAACCACTCACTTTCGATGCGTGTCCGAGTGTAGAGCTACCTGATGTCCTCGCTTCAACATCTCTCCATAGACACTTGAGAAGTTGGTCTCCAGGTCTCTCAATCCCAATCCTACCACGAAGAACGTGACCAGAATATTCTCCTCCTCGAGTATCTTCATCACTTCCTGAGCAAACTTCGGTTGCCCATCGTCTATTCCAAACGCAAACGATCCGGGTCGGGAGCATCTCAGTAGCACACGACCATTGTCCACGCGACGTGGGATCGGAAACCCAGCGGGTACACTACCAGCATTGACAAGTTCAACTTTGTAGAGAGTAACCGCTCCAGGCGAGTAGAAGCCGTTGAAAGATACTGACACGGCTCGGGAGTGATCAATGTAGAAATGCCAGAGAGGAATGTATATGTCGTTTCCGCGTGCATATCGGGCGGCCTCGACAGAGTCCCAGGTTTCAGGAAACGGACTGCGGGTGGAGTCGCAATGGATGTTATTCTGGGTAAGGGAAACGCTGAAGTTGGTATGACCGGTGAATTGAAGATGTAAGTAGTGGGTTGTCCTGTAGGGTAGAAGGTTGAAGCATGTTGCTGGTGAGAGCTGCGTATTGTAGTTATGGTCGGGATCTGTTGGGTAGAAGCGGACGTAGTTGCGGCCATAGTCAATTTTGAGTCCTTCTAAGCCACCGTGCCAGAAGCCTAGGGTGTTGTGATGTGAGTTATTGAAGGTATCAATGATTATAGGAGCGGTGAGATTGTAGGGGGTGCCAGTGGTATTACTGCTAGTTGTGTTGCTTGGGAAGAAGACATGAGTAGCAGCTGAGGTGACGAAGGTTATAAGTATAAGGAGGATGACGGGTCGCTTGCAGGTCACCATGATTGCGTTCAATCCTGAATATGGCCCACGGCTACTAGTACCTGTAGTGTAGGTTCAGCGTTGCTGAATCTCCGAGGCATGTGTCATCTAAGTCTACGTGAGAGAGCGAAGTTATCTACCGGTTGGCTGCTGTCTACCCGAGGAAAGAGCAAGTTGGTGCATCCGAAAGGAAAGCGCATATCTAGGACCTCTAGCTCGCTGAAGCAAAGAAAGACTTTTAGTAGATCAATTACCATTATGTTATGTCTCCGTACAGCAGGGAAACGACATTGCTTGCCACGCTCCCACCCTGCCTCCCAACATGACCCGCAGTTGGTTGGATCGATCAGGTAGCCCAGATCCCTTGTATCCTTTCACAAGGACAATCGTTTCCGAGCTTCTGTGATATCCCAAGGCAAGAGGTAGGCTGCAAAGAGTCTCTGTGCCATGGAGTCAACAATTGGACACCAGATCCTGTCTGGGTGAAACATGATATGATCTCTAAAAAGAGAAGAGAAAAGAAAACAGACGCAATCATCGAACCCCCCACGAGCCTGGCCTTACACTCCCAAGTATGTGCTGTCCTTTTTTCTTTCTTTTTCTTTTTATTTTTCTTCTTGTTTCCCCCCTTTTTTTGGACTTGATCAAAGGAATAGCACTCTGGGCGAGACGCAGTGTGGAAGATGAAGCATGGCGAGGTCAGGACGAGGATTAAAACTCCCACTTTGAATTATTTTCAGCCTCTTCGGCGTCATCAGACTCCATCGGAATTCCTCCTCCTCCCCAGGCATCGGTATCGCCATTGTTGTTTTCTTCACCACTCTTTTCATCATCAGTATCGTCGTCGAACTTGACAACGTCATCCGAAGGACGATAAGATTCAAGGAAGTCAGGGACAGTTTGTTTGTTCTCGATGAGCAATTTCACCAGATCTGGGGCGAGATCCGCATCATTGTCATGGTTGTAAAACGAGGTGGCAAGGCCTTCGTTGCCAATGCGTGCAGTGCGTCCTGTAAAATCTTAGCTCATTCCATATTTTATCTTTGAATTCTGAGACGGCGACACACCAATTCTATGAACGTATTCCGTAATACCACCATGCTGAACCCGTGGAAGATCAAAGTTCACGACATGCATGACATTCTTGATATCCAAACCGCGAGCAGAAACACCGGTAGCCACAAGGATGGGGCACTTTGCAGTGCGGAATGCACGCCTTGACCGCATTAGTAAATGGACACAGGGATTGACGAATAATAACTTACAAAGCGTCTTCCCGCTCACGCTGGGTACGATCAGAGTGGATAGAGGTACTGGGAAGGCCCATGTTGTATAGGTAATCATCCAAGAAGTCTGCCTGGGTCTTGGAATTGACGAAAATCAAGGTACGCGAAGGCGGCATGGCTAGAAGCAGGTCATAGAGGCATTGCTTCTTGAGAGGAGGTTCAGCGTAGATGATCTTAATAAATGCACTGTCAGTGGATTCTTTGATACAAGTGCCACGCGTGCTTACGTTCTGGTCAACGTTGGCGTGAGTACTGCCAGGCCTTCCGATGCGCACACGGACATGGTCCTCTGCGAGGTAGTTGCGCGCCAGCTTACGGCAGTCCTTGTTGAAAGTGGCCGAAAACATCATGTAGCGGTGGTCAGCATCCTCATTAATGTCTTCAAATTGTCAGCACATGAGAGCCAATGATTCTGGCAAGCATTTACCTCCTCCAGACATGATCTTAGCAAAATCGGACTCCCAGTCTGACTGCAGGAGCTCATCTGCCTCGTCAATGATAGTGTACCTGATGCTATGTTAGTGACAGGTTATAGTAAGCTTCAGAAACCTACTTGACACGACGAAGAGAGAGAATGTGTGGCTTATCCATAAAATCCAGCAACCTGCCAGGAGTCGCAATAAGGATGTCGCAGCCACGCTGCAACTCCTCTCTTTGGTCACGAACCGGCGCACCACCGTACACAACGCAAGGACGGAGCATGGAGCGATAGCATAGGCGTCGCGCTTCATCGAAAATCTGGGTGGACAATTCACGGGTAGGGGCAACAATGAGCACCAACGGCTCAGCCCGAACAGAATCGGCGCTTGAATTGTAGCCAGCTGCAATATTGGGACGCGGAGCTGCCAGCTTCTTAGCTTTTCCCATCAGCTGAGAAAGAACCGGGATCAAAAAGGCGGCGGTTTTTCCAGACCCTTCTTCTGTTAGCATGACTCTGCTATGTAAGAGCCATCACCTACCAGTCTGAGCGATGGAGATTAGATCATGGCCAGTAAGGACCGCAGGAATTGAATATGCTTGAATTGGGGTTGGGAACTCGTATCTGCACAAGCGAATATTCTCGCGCATGATAGGATGAAGACCAGCATCATCAAACTAGACATAATCAGCCAAGGTCACTCTTGTGAGTATTTTGGCGAGACTTACATTCTTGATGGGACTTGGTCTCTCACGACTTTCCGCAATGACCTCGATGTTTTGGATGCTAGCATGATTCAGAAATGAGCCTAATAGCAAGCAGGGTATTGCCAACTTACTTTCCGATCTTCAAGCCGGTTCGGTTAGTATATTCGCTCCGGAACAGCATCTCCTCAAGCTCAGTGTTCCGTGGGCCAACGTCCCCAAATTCATCCTTCCATTCATATTTTGCAGCTTGAGCGGCCCACTCAGGGAGCTGCTCCTGGTTGTCACCCTGGGGCTGATTGAGTGGCGGAAGAGTAGAAGTATACTTTTCGTAATCGTAGCCTTTTGGGGTCGTCCAACCCTTCTCACGGGCAGCGTTGGAGGATTCGGTAGGATTGTTGGCTTGATTGCTCGTGCTTTCTTTGAGCGCGGTGCTCATATCTGAGACGTCGAAGCTGTCCATTGTTGCTCGGTAGGCACACTGGCAGGTTCAAACACGCGTAATCCGAACAAATCTGGAGTTATCTAGATAGAGATGGTTGGTAAGTGAGGCGTATTTTGGCTAGAAGGGATGTTACACTAACAGAGAACGAATATCGCCTCTAATCCTTGAAGTGTAATTGGTGCGTCTGAGATGGGGATTGAACTAGAAAGAAGAGAGTGTGGGAGTAGGCGAGAGAAAATGAAGCTTTGGGAGCGAGAAAGACTTTTTAAAGTAAAAGACGCGAGACGCGTGTGAGAGATGACAAGAGCAAAACAATGACAGATGGTGGAAGGAAATTTTATCGAGCACGGTACTGTAAATGGAAATTGGGCAGTGAATATCGCTGGTCTGCAGCGCTCCAGGTTGCTAGGGGAGAGAAGAACAGGTGAGGGGAACCAAAGGACCAGCAAAACAGTCAGCCAGGCCAACCTGGCATTCAAGCACCTTTTAGTTTAGCAGGTAGTAGTCAATTCATTGGAGGCAGAACTGGAATCCAGAAGCCAGTCAGCTTTTAATACTCACTGATGTCCTGCTTATCATCGGCATAATTCGCGGAACATACCGGCGAACAGCCATAGAAAAACTACTTTTCTGCAGTTCGTAAGGTTGAAGGCGTTTTAAGCCTTATCAAAACGTACTATGTACCTAACCAGAAAACGGCTGAGTGGCTACGGACTATGGCTCGCTCAGTTAGACTGTGCTATAAAGTAATTGTTTAGTAGTAAATACTAGTATAACTTAAGGTTGTGGCAATTGAAGGTTGAACAGCATGCAAATACCCAGCATATTTATATAAATTCATCGGTCATTGTGTGTATGGTGTGAGAGACACGGCTCCTAGATCTAACAGGCTGTCAAGAATAGCGCAACATAGCCTACAGAGTGTATCCAACCCAGGTATTATAGAAGGATTCACAGAGACGTGTCTACAAAAGCCGAATTATAATACCAAGATAGATTCTGGCCTAGCTCTAGCCTTTCCATTTGTTCTGATCCAGGTTTTTATTTTTCAATGATTTGTATACCGCAGTGCTAGTAGCAGCTTGGTGAGAGTTGGTGAATCCTTTACTTCTAAACAACTGGCCCTTGGGTCGGGGGTTAGTAGTTTGAGTGAAGCAGTAGCTCGGCTGGAGCAGGAAAAGTACTACGCAGTGACGGGAGACATACCTGGGAATGTGCAAACTAGTAACTGCTAATTGAACGTCACTCGCACACAGCAGTAACTCCTAGTACAACGTCTACTACTAGTAGTAGTCATTGGTACCTTATCAGTGCCGACAGAGGTCACCAGCACCCGAAAGTGGGATTTTTGAGTTTGGTCCCACAAGCCTGAAATGCATTGGTATGTAAATTACATCGAGATCTATTTCCAACGACCATCTGATAACCGAGTGGCCGTTTAGTATTTCTTAGTAGACCCTCCATCATGTGGGGTTTCATGCCTGAGACTCCATTCTAGTGCCTGAGGTATCAATTCGGCCAGGCAACGTCATTGGCCACCCCCTGCCATCCTCCAGGCTGGCTGGATGCAGTTGATCCCTGCAATGAACAACGAGACTAGCGATTCTGCAAGTACCAGCTCACCGGGAATCAAGAGGGTTGCTTTTGTTTGGATGCCTTCCTCCTGTTGTCTGACTGAACTTGCTCAGGAGCAGGAGTGACTAAGAATGCCCAGCCCGTCAGAACAATAATTCGGTTCCACCCGACCTCAACAAAAGCGGGCAGAAGGAGATATACGCCGTAGGGACCATCACGGGATCCCATTACTCCGAGATGGTAACTACCTCGTCCGCCGGTACGGCCATCTGCTCCTTGCTGTCCATCTAATTCCCCTGGTCCCGTCGCTCCATTCTCCTGTGTATTTTTATGCCATTGACACGACATGTCCTCTTCCACATCCAATTCCGCCGCCCGGGGTGGTCGCCTGGAGCAGGCCATCACCAATCCTGGAGCCGTCAAGATCAACGTCAAGGGCGCCTTTATCGTTGATGATGACCCGCGATCAAAAAGTCCCGTAAGGACGGACGGTGTCCATTATGAGGGCCATGATATTCGTCTTCCACATCACACGGGCCTGGTGAGCCATGTGGCTGTAGACGTGAGTGACAATTTTTTTTTCTTCTCCTTCCGCGGTTCCCCGCACAATTTGGAAGCTCCCCGCAATCGCACCCCTCGGCGCAATTCCACCACCACGGCTTGATTGACTGACTCTTGCTGCTCCGACATTTAGATTGGCGGATCACTAGCTAAACTGGTTTACTTCACACGGGAGCTGGACTCTGTCGACAATGGTGGCCGACTCAATTTTATTAATTTCGAAACATCTCGCATTGATCTGTGCATTGACTTCATCAAGCAACTGAAAGAGGAACACGAGAAGCTCGGCGGACCATCCGGAGATGCTTTATGTGTGATGGCTACGGGTGGAGGCGCTTTCAAATACTACGATAAACTCAAGGAAGCACTCAATGTGGACATTATTCGGGAGGACGAGATGGAATGCCTTATTACGGGTACGCTGTAACCGCGAGCTCACTCGCAAGAGAAACAAGCAAAGTCTGAGATCTGACCATTCTACATAGGCCTTGACTTTTTCATCACTGAGATTCCGAACGAGGTCTTTACCTACAGTGAAACCGAGCCGATGCAGTTTGCCGAGGCCCGACCGGATGTTTACCCGTATCTATTAGTCAACATTGGCTCCGGTGTATCGATGATCAAAGTATCAGGCCCCAAGCAGTTCCAACGTGTGGGTGGTACACACCTCGGTGGTGGTACGTTCTGGGGCATAATGTCATTGTTGACCGGTGCCCGCACCTTCGACGACATGCTGGCAATGGCGGACCGAGGGGACAACAGCGGGGTAGACATGTTGGTTGGTGACATTTACGGCATGGATTACAGCAAGATTGGTCTCAAAAACACTGCAATTGCTAGCACGTTTGGCAAGGTCTTCCGTATGAAGAACCAGACGGAGCCGAGTGACATGGAAGGGGAAGGCTCTTCCCATGGCGAAGCCGGCCAAACTAATGGCGAGCCGAAGTTTCACCACGAAGACATGAGTAGGAGCCTACTTTATGCCATAAGGTATGCTTTCGCATATTCAATCAGTACTGTACGGTTGGGACTAACATTTCACAGTAACAACATCGGGCAGATTGCCTATCTGCAGTCCGAAAAGCATCAAGTGAAGCATATCTATTTTGGCGGTTCGTTCATTCGAGGCCATCGGCAGACCATGAACACCTTGTCCTACGCCATCAAGTTCTGGTCAAAGGGCGAGAAACAAGCCTACTTCCTGCGCCACGAAGGCTATATCGGCGCAGTTGGCGTATTTCTCCGTAGGCAGCCAGCTAACTGGGGCCGGAGGAATAGCATCGATGAGACAACCATGCCGCAGGTGGCCAAACTGGTAGCCGAAGCGCAGCAGAATTCTGATTCTCAGAACCAATCATGATGAAGAGCCACGACTGCATGCTTCCGTCAGCACCATACTGGGCGAGTCACGTCCAGTTCCATCATTTTGAGCGTTTGATACCCGTTATTGTGTTGTTCTTGTGCTACTTAGACCCAGCGCGTTTATGCCACTCTATTTCCCGAGGCTGCTCGGTTGTTTGAAGACATCTCTTTCCATACTTCGGTGCATTGGTTCAGATGAGCAACTATAAGAGTATATCACCCAACTGTATAATGATTCGGTTTTCATTTTGTTGCACTAACTCCATCTTCCCTTTCGGGCTTTTGTTTTGAATCTGACCATCTGTCTGTGGCCCACAAAGGGCAAGGCAATCGCGCTCGGATGTTCTTGTTCGGTCCTTAAGTTGGAAGGTTCCCATTGGTATAGAAGGGCAACCATTATAATAGCATTTAGAAAGAAAGCCAAGAATAAGAAGACCAGAGATTCGATAATTCCGATATGTTGCAGTCATCATCTAATAATCCTGCCGGAGAACCTACAACGACCCTGTCGTCCATGGCGTAACATTACTACCTAATCCGAATACTTTCACCAGCTGGTTTGTCTCTCCATCATATACTCCGACGTGTGTCTCAGCGTATGTCCATTTATCCAATCGAACCTCCGTCACACCTATAACAACCAAGCCCGTACGCAGACAGTATTCAAGAAAGTTCATACTAACCAGAAGGTGGCGGTAGTCAGACTCAATCTCTGCTCTGCTCCAAATGCCAGCCATTTTCGTACGCGTAACACGCCCAGTACCCTTCACCGAGGACGCTCTTTGGCCATGTTTCAGAAACCCCCCTAGACATGACACCAGACTATATATCCAGGTGAAACCATGACCTCGTACTTTCAGTCATTCTCGGCTTGAGATAGCTGCCTGATCTGTCCACCGCTTCTACTGCGGTTACTCACCGATAGGTTGTTGACTGCTTCTTGTGGCGCAAGGGCCCAGTCTGATCATGCTATCGTCGGGCTTGTTGCCAGCGATGCGCTTTTGTTGTTTGTGTATATGAGTGTGGTGAGTCACATAGTCCTTGACTGGTGATTAAGCCATCCCAATCATCTATAGATGAAGCATGCCCAGGTTGTTTAACTGGATCTCTTAGTAGTAAGTAGGCTTCAGTTTCGACTGATATATATTTGGTGGTTAGTGTGCTCTGGTTGAGTGATTGCACGTTTAGCCTGCCGCTCCGTCGGGCAGGAAAACTGGAAGTAAAGTTCAAGCCAAACGGAGATAGCCAATATTGGCCCGGAAGGAAACAGGTTCGGACATTAGCTGGTGGGCTTGACTCCCCAACGCCGTGTTAAAGGAGAAGAGCAAACAAAGATCCGTTCGTATTTTGCTCCGGGTAGATGCAGCTGGCCGCTGGATCTGCGTTTGAAAGGATAAAACAGAGTAGTCTAGAGTGCCTTGGCTTGCATTTGTCTTCAATCGCACAGAAAGGGTTGTTGCCTCTGCTGGTGGACTTTGTGGGCGTGAGCGAAGAAGCGCTATATGAATGTTTGAGTTTGATGGGGATGCATGCATACTTTCCCCGGACTACCCATCCCGGGATTATGGGTAGATGAAGGCCCGCAATATGGTAGGAACATGCATTACTACTAGTTTGCCAATTACTGAGGTGAAGAAAACTATTGGTGGTTTCCGGAACGCGTCAAGCAATACGGTCCCATACCTGGGGGGTAATGTATGATAGAGCCTGCGGAGCAGTCCATCTTCTTCACTCTTGACGCATCGAGCTGTCAGAATCTTCTTGGTGATCCACTCTATTGCGTTTCACGGGTCTTTGATTTCACGTTGAACCTGTGCATGTGCATTGATTCCAGGGCTTAGGCTTTGACTCTGCTCTGCTGCATCCATACCCTCCAGAATCCGAGACATTGGCTGCAAGCTGCCTCACCTTTCCACTAAGTTGGTGGTTTCAATTGAATTGATTTTACACACTTGTACGGGACACACCGAGCCTATCGACTTGAAGTTAGAGATGCTAAACTGGAACATGCTTCACTAGTCATAATCGGGCTTCATACTATTCATTTGTGAGATACCAACAACGGTGACTTGCGCGTGTGGCAGGGCAACTCCATTGCTTGAAAGTTTTGACAGACAAGCCACATTATGCTTAAGCTCCTTCTGTATGAAAACCAGCCTAACGAGAATAAGGCCAACTGTCCAGACGTCTTTAGAATTCTTTGAGCTAGGTATCTATCATCAGCAGGCGTGTCATTGTCTAGCAAACGCGTCAATTTCTTTTCTCAAGGAGTAAGTCATACGCGAAATGTCGGCAGGCACTCTTGACTTGCGCTAACCCTTGCTAACTCTCGCGTCCAGACTGAAAAATGGACCCTGCGCATTCAGACGGTGTCATCTTCTGGAAGGAAAGGTAAAATCAATTGTTGCTTTCAGATACATGTTAGCTGACAGCTCTCCTGCGCCATCACTAGGGTGAGACGCATCTCTCGCCACATCGTCCACACGGAATCTGACGACGAAGAATAGAAGCCAACAATCTCTGCCGATGGTTCTCACCCAGACGATAACGAAGATCAGGCGGTGCAGGTCAACCCGAAGCCAGAACTTGGACCCGACATCCCGTTTCCCAGTTATCTCATGACAATTTTGAAACAATGGCACCAAGAGAAGGGGAACGAATATCCGAGGTGCAAATTCAGTAAAATTCTGGGGTCAATGGTCTGGAAAGTGTTTGATCGGCAGGGCAATGAGGTCGAGCTGGCATGGTACCTCGTCACCAAACCGCGCAAGTACTATGCGCTCGTGTTACATGAGGCGGATGGCACGGCGAGATTCGTGTACTGCGATCCGCCTCATCGCACTGTCCATGGCACGTACCTTAGGCCATGGTCAGGCGTCAATGAGAAAGAGGAACTAGAGCACTGCGCAGTTCGAGTGTTTAGCAACGACTTGAAAGAAATTGAATACTCTGCGGAAGCCTGGGACCACCTAAAGGAGCTCCAGGATTTCTCAGGCGAGGATGCCACAAGACCTCCTTCGATCACCCGTCCCAAAACTCCGAAAGATAAAACAGACACAAGGAAGTCAGTTAAAGCAGGTTCCTCGACAAGATACTCGATGAGAGGTCGCACAATTGCGAGCGCAGAAAGTTCAGTCGGGGCATCGTCATCTTCATCGGAAGAAGGTTCATCTTCGGAAGAAGAGAAATATGTGCCCTCACCACCACATAAACGACATAAAACTACCGACACCAGCAATACGAGCAACACCACTGAGCCTATGAAGCCTAGCAAGGTTGTATTTAGGCTTGGGTCTCAGAGAGTCATCGGAGCGATACGTTATATCCCACTGGACGAGTGTAGATCGAGGAAGGAGCTATTTGATAAAGCCACGGCATTCTATCAGGCTTGCGACAGAGACGCCCAGGTCAAGATACTGGTATGCCAGATCTCGTCACAGCGTGAACAACACTATCTGTTCGAAGACAGTGACGGAGAGTTTCGACTCTTAGTTGAGCAGGCACAGAGTCTGGAGGATAGCTTGGACCGGATTGTGATTGACGTTCTGCACGTATTACAGACATGAGTGAAAGTGTTGTCGGGAGCTATGCGCTGTATGCTGTCATTCAGGCAAATTGTGAAATATTTTCTATCAAAATACATAATATAGTTGGCAATGTCTTTTTCCGGCGCGTAATTCCACCCCCGAGAGATGCATTCGTCCAGAGCAGTATAGCTGACTAATCACCACGTGGCTGCAGGTCTGAATTGGAGAGTGATTCGCGTCACCGACCAGCGCAATTGTGTCTTCAGCGACAACTATAGATCCATCACATCATGCTACAAGCATGAATCCCGCTGCTCCTCCATGCCTTCCCTGCCCGACTCGCCTCCTCCGGTTCCTCCCCCCGTCCCCGTCGAGACCCATCCGAACCGCACGGTTGGCGTAAAGCCTACCGCCGCGCAACGAGCTCTCCCGGATCCCAACCGGCTGGCCCCTGAAGATGCATATTACACCTCGTCCCTGCCTCGGGCCCGGCCGACCCAGACGGGGTACGATGAATCTCTCCGAGCGCTCAATGGCAATTCGGGCACTGCCGCCTCCGTGGCGGCCCTGCGACCGCCGCCGGCGGTCCCAGGAGTAGGGAGTCGCAAGGTGCGCGGGACCAGCAGACGGAGACGACGAAAGGGCGCATGGAAGAAGCTGCTGTGGGTGAAACAATCATGTGCGCTTATACCCACTGTAAAACATATATGGCAGGAAATACTGATGATCCTAGACCCGGATAATTACACCGACACGGAGACGTTTCTTGACCACCTCCAGCGGAACCCCCGAGTGCGGCCCTACGATTTCTGGCCGCTAGTGGCCGACTCCACGGTCATTGTACAACATGTTAGCTCCGTGGCTATATTTGTGTGTTGCTTTGTCGGCATTGTACAGGGCCGCGTGAGCCCGGTCTCGGTGGTCTGCTGGGGCAGTGTCGGGACAGCGTTGGGATGGATCTTTTGGGACTCGTGGATACTGAGGGAGCATGTGGAAAATGCGCATGTTGCGGAGCGGTCACTGGAGGGTGACGATGGCTCCAGTTCTAGTTCCATGACCAGCTCTGTCAATCCGTCTGGCACTAGCTCGCGAGCCAATGGCCAAAAGGAGAACCAGGTGCATGGGCTGGGGTTGAACATGTCGCAGGGCGAGTCAAGTGAACTGCTCCGGCGACACAGCACGGGGTATGTGAGTGATGCCTACGGGGCTCAGGAACCCGCTTCACCTACGCCTGGGCCTGCGAACGGGACCTTGGGTGGCGGTTCTCAGGAGCCAGACTACCTGTCGATGTTTTCTTCGCGGAATCGGCAGCGGCTGTCCACTGTGAAATCGGCGTTCTTGATCTACTTCGCGCTGCTCGGGCTCAGTCCGATCCTCAAGTCACTTACCAAGTCTACGGCGAGTGATTCGATCTGGGCCATGAGTTGCTGGCTATTGATCATGAACATCTTCTCCTTTGACTATGGGAGTGGGGAGGGCGCAGGCGCCACCAAGTTCCCGGCTTCTCTGTCCACTAATGCAGCGGTGATGGCCTCGACGGTGCTGGCGTCGCGCCTACCTTCTACCACACATGTGTTCAGCTTGATGCTATTCTCGATTGAGGTGTTCGGGCTCTTTCCCATTTTTCGCCGGCAGCTGCGTCATGTGTCCTGGACTGGGCATGTGCTGCTGACCTTGGCTCTGGTCGGGGTTGCTGGCGGCGCGGTGGGGATCACCCTGCGGGGAGGATGGATGGCGGCGGTGGTTGGCTCGATCCTGGGGAGCATCCTGACGGCGCTGGCCATGGGGGGATGCAGCTGGTGGCTCATCAGCTTACAAAAGTATAAGAATGTGGTGACAGGACCATGGGACCCTGCGCGGCCGATCATCCGCCGGCATTGGGATTAGCTGTACGCTTTCTCAGCTTGATATTTCCTTTAGAAGATACCCTACAGTTTATATTCAGACTTGTCTAGCGCTAATAATGAAGTTTGACATTGAGACTCTGTTTTGTACGAGTCAGCTCAGACTAGAAATAAGACACAACAATCTGATTGACAAATACCAATAGATGTAGCTTTTGATGTCTCATCCAGCAATGCAGTCCAGTCACAATCCTACCAAGGCCGCAACATGCCGGAATGCCGTTTGGTATGTTTGTTGCCTTTTGTGGCGACTCTCCATCGCAGCTTCCCCAAACGCCCCCCATTTGATGTCTCAGCAAGTCACACTCCCCCCATTCAAGCTATGCTATAACTGGAAACTAGTGCTTCCGCAGCCACGGACATGCCTGGCCTCCATCTCCGCGATCGAGCATCCACCCGGCATCTTCTCCAGAATGTTACGGCGATGACCCCAGACTGATCGGAATGGTAGGAGTTGCTATCTGTCCCTCATACCGGTAGGCCCCGTTCGATAGGCAGCAAATGGTGCCACAAGAGTTACATATTTAGCACCACAGCCTCGGAGTGACCCAGAAAGAAGCGCGCAACACTGCCATTTATACCTCTGTTTTCTGTCCTCAGGTGGGACAACACAGATCCAAGGTCTTAATCAACAAGTATTAGCAAAATGAAATTAATCGCTCTCAGCCTAATGAGCCTGCAGTGCGTGGCGAGCATGCGGTTCGCCATGTACGTTGATGAGTGAGTACTAACAACATCCTCATATTATCTCCAATCATACGCATCTAACAACAACGGGGAATCAGGTACCACACAAGTGGCCTCCCCGGCGCCAACCAAACCCAAGGCATCACGCATGCTATCATGGCTTTCGCCCAGTCTACGCTCTTCAATTCTGACTCTCCCCCACAATTTACTCCCTTCGAGTCTGTCTCCACCATGCGCAGTCGCTTCAGCCCGGGGACTAAGCTCATGATCGCCATCGGCGGATGGGGTGATACCTCAGGGTTCTCGACGGCCGCGAAAGATGAGACTTCTCGCAACCAGTATGCGAAGAATGTAGCGGCTATGGTGAATCAGGTTGGTTTCGATGGTGTTGGTATGTCTCTATACACGTCCTCACCATCCCTCCCGTAACTGGTATTGACCAAAAATGTATAGACATAGATTGGGAATACCCCGGCGGTAATGGCCAAGACTACAAGACAACACCGAACAGTGCCAAAGTGTCTGAAATAACCACCTACCCTTTATTCCTGCAAGCGCTGCGGAGCGCCCTCGGCCCCAACAAACTCCTCTCTATTGCGGTCCCTGGCAAGAAAGAAGACATGATCGCCTTCACCAACACCACAGGCCCGCAGATCTGGCCCTCAGTCGATATGGTGAACATCATGTCGTACGATCTCATGAACCGCCGGAATAATGTCACTATGCACCATACATCTGTCGTGGATTCATTTAATACAGTGCAGGCGTATCGGGATATTGGCCTCCCTGGTAATAAGACAAACTTGGGAATGGCGTATTATGCCAAGTGGTTTGAGACAGATCCCAGCGATGAGCAGGAGTGTGAGGACCAGCCGATTGGGTGCAAGGTTGTCGTAATGGAGAACGCGGATGGAAGCGATAACGGGAAAAGTGGGAGTTTGACTTTTGAAAAGAGTGTTATGAGTGCGCCTCCAGCTAATCTGAAGACGAGTACGGATGGCACGTGTGGATTTGACAAGGGGATGAAGTGTCCCGCTGGAAGTTGCTGCAGTCAGTACGGAAACTGGTATGTCGACTACTCCTACTCTCCTTGCGAACGGTGTATGCTAATATGTGGCGATGTAGCGGTACAACCGACGACTTCTGCCAAGCAGGTTGTCTATCTGATTACGGAACATGCAAAGGCATCTCGATTACGGATTCATGGCGGCGCGCGCAAGAAAACGCTAAATTGGATGATGTCATGGGTGGAGAGTACTACTTCGATGACCAGGTCAATGTGTTCTGGACGTGGGATACCGCAGACATGATTGCACGCAAGTTCACCGATATCGTCGATAAGCTGGGACTAGGAGGTGTTATGGCGTGGAGTTTGGGAGAGGATACGCTGGCATGGGAGCATTTGGGAGCCATGCAGGAGGGTGTTGCTGCCAGGTAGAAGTCTTTCCTTATTAAAGAGTTTGGACATGGAAGGAGAGTTCGGTAGCTTGGGGTTAAGAGGGAGTGGTTCATTTGATAGTAGTTTGATTGGACCGCATATGCATATGTCCTTCTAAAACAAGTCACTCGCTGTAGTAGCAGTAGTATGTGTATCAATGTAGAATGCGCATCACATATCACACCCCAAAGAACCATGCATGTATGATGCCAATGAACATAAGAACACCCGAAACGCCAAGAACAACCAGGGTATCACTCATGCCTCATGCCCCGTATACGGAGTAATCCCAAATAAACAACTCTAAAAGCAAATGGGAAATAACAGCAATCAAAGAAAAGAGAAAACACCACACCGCACCACAGTAACATCAACTAGACGCCAACCCCTGCTGTCCCTGTCCCTGTCCCGACATAGATATCCGATCATCCAATCCCTTCTCCTCCCACTCCGTTAACAACCGCGACACCTCCTTAAACGACACTGGCTTTGTGAGGAACAGATTAACGCCCGAGGTTAGAGCCTCTGATTCATCGCGCGAGCTGCTCAGTCCTGTTAATGCGATGATGACGGCTGGCTTGTACGTTGCGCCGCGCTCTTTTTCGAGGGCGCGGATGGCGCGCGTGGCTTCGAAGCCGTTCATTACGGGCATGGACATATCTGTATTCATTTTTTTGTTAGTATGGATGAAGTGTATCTGTAAAGTTGGGGACGAGAGGGGGACTAACCCATGAAGATAATGTCGTAGCCCTGTTGGGCGCGTTCGACTGCGTCGACGGCTAATTTGCCGTTCTCGGCGGAGTCGAGAGCAGCGAGGTGCCTCTTTTTCATGAATGTAAGCATCAGGTTCAGGTTGATGCTGTTGTCATCGACCACCAGGACGCGGGCGCGTCGCTCGGTTTCGGTTTGTGTTAAAATAGGTTGTTTGAAGGGAGATGGAGCACGGATCGGGAGAGGTGAGTTGATGGTGTATAGGGGGGCATCCATGCCGTCGGAGTCTTGGGAGCGAGGATACTCGGCTGATGAGGTCGAGCCGGAGCTGATGGTCATCTCTGGGGCAAGCTCGGAGGTGTCGGTTGAGATTTCGAATAGCCTCTCTCCGGGTGAAAGGTCGCTTCCGGAGGATATGGTAGTTTGGCGTGGCCGTTCGGGGAGCTCGATGGTGTGTGGCACTGTGTTTCCACTCTGCGTATCGAGACATCTGCGGATGCTGCGAGCGAGCTTGTGTGGTCCACATGGGCGGCAAACAATGTTTACCACGTTCGCCAAGGATGCCCATTGCGAACGCGCGGTCGTGTAATCGACGGATTTGTTGCAGAGGATCAAGAGCGAAGGGAGAGTCGCGTCGCCACTTGGCCTCATGCCCTCCAATAGGCTCTGCTCTTCCGCCAGGATGATATCAACGGGCGTGCCCGACGGCCACGAAACAAGCTCGAGGCCGTACCAGTCGATCAGGTAACGCGAGTAGATGGACCATAGCGGATGAGAGGAAGCGTCGGCAGGATCCACGCCAAGAATGGCGGCGCGTCGGCCGACATGATTCTCGCGCAGCAGACGGCACTCGGTTAACAATCCCTGCTCTCTCGTAGATGGCGACACGGGACGGACAGGTTCTTCCAGCTCCAGTTCCGGACCAGGTCGCACAAGAGGCAACGAGACCTTGACAATGGTTCCCTCGCCCGGCCGGCTATGGATGTTGATGCTACCCTTTAGGGCCTTGACAAGACTCCTCACGATCGAGAGACCCAGGCCCGTGCCGACTGCAAGCGTGTCCTCCTGGGCGAAAGGCGTGTACAGGCGGCCACGCAGGAACTCCTCCGAAATACCCTTGCCGGTGTCCGACACCGTCAAAGTCACTAGCTCTTCGACACCATTCCGACGCACGCGGCCCTCAGATGCCTCCGTAACTTCCAAGTGTAGCGACACGCGGCCACTTTGCGTGTATTTCATGGCGTTGCCAAAGATGTTCATGACAATACGTCGCAGAGCTCCGGGCTGCGTCTGATAGACCCAGTCGTTGTGAGCAATGTCCACGACCACCTCAACTTCAGAACGGGGTTTCGGTTTCGTTTCTTTGTCGGGCTGGATCTGGCCCTGTTGAGCAAGAGGCAAGACAACCGGTTGGTCGTAAGGAGCAGCAGATCTTTGACCATATGCATGACCCAGGCACACGCCTTCTACCACTTCCTCGGCCAGAAGGGCCAAGTCGGTCGCCACGTAAGTGTCCAAGTGGGAAGAAAACCGGTCCATGCTCTTGACGTCTGTGGACGATGTCTTGTTCCGCTTCAGACTGCGATATGTTCGTTCCAACGATACGATCTTGCTAAAATCGAGTACCTGGTTCATTGTATCCAGCAAGGTGCGTCCACATGCGTTGATGGTCTCCAGCAGAGAACCCTGAAATTCATCCAGGTTCGTCCCATTCAAGAACTCGGCGGCTGCCAAGATACCGTGCAGCGGACTGCGCAACTCATGTCTGAACAAGGTTAGTATTTAATAAAACACGCAAGAGGACCCAACTTACGAGATGCTGCCAATGAAGTCGCCCTTTTGCCGGTCGGAAATGAGCGACTCAACCCGGTTACACTCGGCCATGATGGAGGAACCAAACCCTAAAATTGAGCTGAGCTCCACGGACGAGCTGAAGACGCGCGTCTCTTCCGTGTTCCAGCAGAAGCACCCGGAGAACCATTGTGAGTTGGCGGAATTCCATAGCGGCACGAAGAGAACCTGAGTCGCATTGGGAAAATAAAGATTCAGCATGGAGTTCTCCATGGATTTCCACTTTTTCGGCCCGCCTTTGCCGATCTCGGGACCCTTAGACGCACGCGATCGGCTCTGTCGAGGGGTCTCGTCATCGGAGCTGGAGATCATACCGTCCCGATGGAACGACCACAACTTCCCCTTACTGTAGCGTCGCAAGAGCTGGTGTAGAAACGCGCTGTCGAGATTCGCGGCAGGATAGAGCATCTTGGAGCCTGGCCCCGGCGCAAACGGCTCATCGTTGGTGGAAATTGCCAGCACTGGTGCAGGAGTGTTACCTTCCACAGAGCCATCGCTGCCAGTGTCCGTGTCCAGCATCGGACTGTTGCTGTTCTCCACGAAGATCACGCCGCCATCGGAACCCAGTTCCAAACTCTCCCGAATCAAGTTCGCGGCTCGTCGGAACGCCCAAGTGTGTCCCTGCGACTCGTCCACTCCCTTCAGTTCCTTCTGGCGGCTACCGGACCACCAGTCTGGTAGCGGCGTGTCAGGGCCCGACGACACTGCTTGGTCGGCTTTATAGTCCGATACAGAGCTAAAGGATCGGGCGTCGGTGCTGTGTGAGCGTCTCGACGGCATATCGAAACTGTTGAAGGAGCCCACGGACAAGTGGTTGGCTCTTTGGCTCGACGATGGCGGGGTGCTGGGTGCAGCGGCAGAGCTGCCGGCTAGCGACGGATGAGAGGCATCGACGAAGCTGGAGCTGCCCTCGACAAAGCAGCTAAGACCGCGCGATAGTCGAGCGGCACGACGACCTTCTGATGCCTGGCGGCTGACTTTCAAGTAATCCATAATCAAATCCGCCAACGACCCCAGGGCCTCTTTCTCCACATCGTCGAATCCATTGTGTGGTTTCGTATCCAGAACGAAAAAGCAACCGATGTTGATGTTGGTTTCGGTGGTCAAGGGCGTACCGGCATAGAAACGGAAACCTGGCTCACCCTGCACGAACTGAAGGCGCTTGTAGCGATCATCCTCGCGCAGGTCATTGATCACCAGGAAGCTGTGTTGACCCTTTTCTCGGTTGTTGGGCGGGAGCGCAACCGTAGCCTGCAACGAAGGACGCAATACTTTGTTGAGTAACCGATCTACGAACTTCTCTGACGAGTAGGTACCTACCTTACACATGCTCCAGGCGTTGCTAGACATGGAAGCACAGCCGTTCCAGATGCCATCGCCGGCAGACTCGTAATCACTGACCTTGCCAGTGCGAGTGCTTTGAGCTAGAATGAATTGTGACTGACGATCTGACACGCTAACATACCGATTGAGTCAGCACGGCAAGGGCGAGAAATATCGAGATGCGCTGGTATCGTACCTGATCAACACGCGCTCAACATTGAGACGCAAAGCTGCCAGCTGCGCGAAAGACGTTAGAGTCGCATTAGGGTCACCCAAGACCAGGGCCTCGGGCACTAGCCCCGCCGAGGTTGGACCGATGGCGGGCGCGAACTGCGACTGCGAGCATAGCGATGGTGATGGCGGCGGAAAAGAGGGATCTAGAATGGTGGGTGGTAGTGCGTCGTCGGACGAGACACTCTGATAGCGCTCCTGATAACTGGCTGTCCGTTCGGGCCGGAAATAGCGATAGAGCTCACGCACCCTCCGACCCGTGCTATGATCATCGTCCCTCGGAGGAGGAGAAGTGAGCTCCATGGTGGGGGAGATGGGGAAGGAG